GCGAGAGAATGTAACAGGATTCGGTAATATTTCATCTACTAACAGGTATTCTAAAAGATGGGAGCAAACGAATTATTTGGTACAATTATTCTGGAGGTAGTGATCCAAGGAATAATTGTGCCAAATAATTTATTTGCTCCCATCTTTTAGAATACCTGTCAAACAGTGCAGTGAAGATATGTGTATGGCATTGTATTGTTATCAAGTCTAGAGTTTTATGGATATAGTTCTCTGCCAATCAGCACTGCTAGCTACAAAGTATTTCTATTTATAACAAGTTTATAAAGTAGATTTGTCTTTTGAAAGTGATGTTCCCTTTGATAATATGGATTGTGATTATTACACATATATTATTCTATATTGTTGAATAACAATTTTTGACAGGTATTTGAAATATTTGTTACATTAAGTATAAAAGAACAAACGCATAAATGTATCACTTTGTTCGTATTAAGCTGTGTAATTGAGAGAGACACTTATTTCCTCAGACGTAGACTTGTTCTTTTATACTTAATGTAACAAATATTTCAAATACCTGTCAAAAAATTGTTATTCAACAATATAGAATATTCTATGGAGATTTTTAAACTGCAAATATGCTATTCAGTGCAAATAACAACATTATGTTGATAGCTGGTAACTGCTGTCTGATGGATCGACGACATTGTAACATTAGTGGACGTAGAGGTTTCGATCTGAAACTCTGTAACAGCAGGTAAGGTGGACGGGGCTGGAGGTATACTACCGTAAACAACTTGATATGCATTATTATACACGATTGTACATTGCTCTTCGGACATACACCTAACTAAGGCATACAGCGATCTTCTTACACTTGCCTGCATTCGCGTATCGATCCAATATCCAGTGCGAAGAAGCACACTGAATATTAATCTCAACACCGGTATTCTTCTGTTCAGCTTATGCAATTTAGGAATCCGATGAGTTATCTCAACGAAATTCGTATTACTTTGTCCCAACAGCATCGCTGCGGGTCGAAAAGCATTTGATCGCTTGTGCTTTTTAGGCAACAAGTGATCTCTCATATATCGGTAAAAATTTCCGTCTGATGCTTCAATTAAAGGAAGATAACTATGGAAACTACAAAAGACTGTAATGCATATTTATATGTACCTTTCGACATTTCTAATGAACATCAGACGGAAGAAAAGTTGTACAGTTTCTGCTCGTAGCATCTACAATGACGATTAATGGCTTAATGTTAAGCAACGAAAAAATTACCCTCCTTAACACATTACGAATTATGTGTACGCGACATGAAATGTGGTGGGAATTGGGAAACACCTGCATAATGGCAGCAGCTATTGCAGGTGAATCATCTGTTACAATGCCTACCACCTCTCGGTTGTTAGTTGATCGGCGGAAGAACGAAAGGAAACGAACAATTAAACTAGATGTTTCGGAACTAATGAATGCAATATAAACAGGTATTGCCATGAAATTCATATCAAGTGCTACAACCTGATACAAATATAAATTTTCCTTATTGGTTTTGTAGGTCCCATCAAAACCAACAACATCAAAAAATCGACTTGATAAACTCATTTGATCTGCTGTTATGAAGAAGAAATACAACAGACAGTTATCTCCATCTAAGTCGTATTCACAGAGGCCACCAAGCGACATGATGTGATCTTTCAATTGGGAGTAATCACTTGACGTTGACAATTTAAATAGGCACATTGCTTATCAGGAAGGTTGGCTTGTGAGAACACTTTGTGGCGCATATTAAAAACATCTTGAGCATTTTCTATAAGATTGGTAAACAAAGTGCATTATATTGAATGCCGCTGTCCCAGATATCAAAAGTGGTCTCACTGTTTCGAATTCCACATCCGTTAACCTGCGCATCCAATAATTACTTTGGTACCTTAGGGAATTGCACTCGTGATTGTGGTGCACATTCCCACGAACAACGATCCAGTAACCTTCAATGAACTTGCAAAAGATGAAGGAAGGACATTGAGTGCTCACGGTAGTCCTTAATGAAAAATTGTAATAACACAAATCAAATTACCTCGTTCGTCTACTCGGCCGTGAGGAACCGCTAGATGTTCCATGGCCATTTCTCCAACATACGAATTTAATATACGACTTCCGATCTCTATGGAAATGAGAATCTCTCACCACATAATGGCAATACGTGGCTCTTTCATACGTCCTAATGGCGCTCTTCAACGCTCCAAGAGATTGGAACGCTACGAGATATAATGTGCTCAAGAATAGGTAATCGGTTTCTGTAACAACATGAGGAACGACGTAACTCGTGCTCTGCATGTTACTACCGTTCATAATAATTGTAAGAAAATGTGCTCTGTCGTCATGTCCTGATATTTTATATAGATTTAAACAAATAAACGACCAATTGTAACGAACTCAAAACTAGTTATTTGATTGAACGAAACAGAATGAAAATTATTGGAAGATGGCGATGAAAATTTTTTCCAAAGTGACGAAAAAAAATTTCACTCGAAAAAAAAATACAAAAATGGCCGTGCACTAAATGTTTTCCCACTTGCATTAATAATTTGTTTCTTAATTGTGTATTCAGTATTAGACAACCGACCGAATTTAGTAATCACTATTTTCAAATATTCAAACCGATTTTCAGTTCCCTTTTTCACTCGACTTTTTTTATGTGATACATATAAGTACTCGTGACATTAAATCACTTGATCGGAAATCAAAAAATTATCCCAACATAGTTGCGCTCATTGGAAACCGGCACTGCTCCCACGATACCGATGCATACATTTTCGAATCCAGTGTCTGGGTGAGTGGATGAACCCATTGTGAAGCTAGTATTACGATGTACTTTGACTTTATGGGATGAGTGGTCGCGGTCGGCCTTTCGATATATCACTTTCGCGCTACCGAACTGAACATCTTCAAATACTAATGATGTCGTATCATCGGATCTTAGCTTGCTTGGCACCAACAAAATAAGTACTGATGCCACTCCATCTTGGCAAATAGCAAACAATCAGGACATAGTAGATAGTGACCACCTCTTTAGTGAGAAGACCACTGAAAGAAAGACGAAAACACAAACAACGTTTAGAAAGTCTACAGATCTGATATTAAATAAATGGAACTAACTGCGTGAGATATGACATTCTTCGAATCGAATAGTGGAAAGAAACTCTTCGTTGCCAAGCACCTGAAATAGATGTAGGCAGAAGGGAACAGACAGTGTAGTGAACTATTTCTCAAGTAACCTTAGTCCGTTAATTGTTATGCTTAATAATGCACGCTGTTTAAATAGTAACACGACAGAACTTGAAACAACTATATGGTTGACAGGCCGTAAATCATCCCAATAACGGGAACGTGACGCTCATCTACAATACTAGATTTAGAGTTAAGTAAACATAACTACACAATGCAACTGAGATCATAAAAGAGCTATAGGATGTATGATCATTAGTATGTATGTGGACAAATAAAAACAATCTGAATACAAAAGATGTATGACCGTTTGTTATCAAATATAAATATTTAGCTCTTGTTGTTCACCCTAATTATATCACGAATATTTGTGTCAATGACAAACAGTTACGTGACCAGACGTGATATACAATTCTTTAGCATGATACGATGAAATTGCAGCGAAACGAAGGCGGACGATAATTTCACTAAGTTTACGTTAACCATACTACAATACTTAGATATTTAATATTAAAATACTTGTAGTTAACATGTGTATTTTCAATGAGATAATATGCTTTGTTATACTGAAGCCTCATGGTTGAGTAATATCATCCGTTTCTCAATATCAATCAGTACTGAGCAATGGATGTTCATCATTAGTGTATACAATTCTGGCCTTTTGTTCGCTATAATTCTGATCACAAAATGTTATCCATGAGTCAATTAATATTACTGTTAATTAATACAAATGTTGTTAGTCTGTACCATTGTCGTTTCATAAGAGTTATTCATTTATAACTTTTAGAAACAACTATTTATTTGAATGGGATGTTGAATACGACAGAAGTCTAGTCTCTATAGTAACTGACTAAACTAATCGTGTAATTGGTTTGAAAATTTTTTGATAATACTCTAGTGAACGAAAACACAAGCGGGGACAACCAAATGTACTGTAATACAACCTTACAGAATATCTTTATTCGCAAAATATCAGTCAATCGTCTCAGACTTTACTGTTCCTTCATTTTCACACCAATGATTCTCTGTTCTTATTGTCTTTTCTTCGATCTTCTTAAACTTCTGCCACCACATTTGATTGATGATACATACTACTTATATCCATCGACATCGGTAACACACACCACAATATTTTAATATTACCAAGTTAAATTAAAAATGGATATTTGTTCTCTTTATTTGAACCAAACTTATTACTTTTATAGACATTGTATAACGTCACACAACAGTTATCATTTTGGCTGCTTCGACATGGTTGATGAATTAGACCTCACAATACGTATCAATATTCTATAGGACTTAGTACCAAAGTGGATAACGCGATGGCGTATGAAGCGAACGGTACCGGGTCCGAGTCCCAGAGTAAACATCAACTCTGAGATGCGGGTACATCCTGTTGACGTGTCCCAAATAGGAGGAAATGCGCGTCAAATTGGATTTCACTGCTAGCCACTTTCCATCTCTGCTTATAATGCTTGTAAATTAAGACAATATCGAGACAATACGCACAGTGTGCATATATTCCAATAAGAGACTGATCAGTTGCAGTCCTAAACATCAATAGGAATATTTAAGTAAAACAATACCAAGTGAATTATAGTGCAGTATGTTTACTTTTTATAGTTGAGAAATAAGACGAAATAAATTAATGAATTTAGTTTGGTTTATTAGTAAAATGCGAATCAATTACAAACACAATTATTCGTTAACATTAAGAAAGTTGAAGATCACTTCAGAAATCAGGCAATTTCGCATATCTCAATAATTTCACTGCATGTTGATCGAATTATCTTCAAGGACTCTATATTGTTTCACTAAAAGAAAACAACAAATAACACAAATATTCATTGATAAACTATGAATAAATAGTGTATGAACAAGTAGTGAGTATTGAGTGAATCTAAAACGCACATTCACATCAAAATAAGCGATGTATTAGAAAATAATATTGAACAGATCCGACGCTTGTCTTATGTCAGTGTTGTTGTTTTCAAAAAATTCCAATCAAATTTAATTTTCTGAAGAGTGATATATTATCAATTCAGGTATCCACTTGGTGTTGTTTTACCTGAATCTTCCCATTGACGTTTAAGATTGCAATTGAACAGTCTCTTATTGACATATATGCACACTATGCGTATTGTCTCGATATTGTCTTAATTTACAAGCATTATAAGCAGAGATAGTGGCGAGCAGTGGAATCCAGTTTGACTCGCGCTTCGTCCTATTTGGGAGTCGTCAGCTGGATGTACCTGCATCCCATAGTTGATGTTCACGCCGAGAATCAAACCCACCACCGTTCAGCACCGCATCAAGATTCAATAGCTAAGTGGATAACTCACTGTCGTTCGAAGCGAGCGGTACTGGGTTCGAGTCCCAGAGTGAACATCAATTCGGATGCAGGTACATCAAGCTGATGAGTCTCAAAAATGAAGACACGCACGTTTCGTATTCAACTGCTAACCACTATCCATCTTTGCTTAATTCAGGTATCCGTTGTAAGTTCCGGTTAAATAATTTTATACATGGGTTTTTAATGTTCGACACGGTTCTTATATACACAAAAAGGATACAGACTACAATAGAACAATACAGACTACAGTTTTATTTCATAGATGAAAACTTTGCTTCAGCCTATTTGGCAAATACTCGTTCATTTTAAAATGAAACATAAATCAAACCTGATCAAACTTACATTAAGTTTTTTTACTGAAAGAAAACAAACCGTTTTATAGGTGATGAGACCGTGATAAACTGAAAATAGAATAATTATTATCTAGATCTTGATAAAGATACAGATTTGGGTAATTGTGTATGTAAGTTCATCTAAATCAAGTGGAAGAACGCAACCAAATCAAATTAATCATCTCGAAGAGTGAATACTTTTCATGAAGATTCAAATGTACGTTTAAGAAATAGAAGCATATTCTAATCAGATAATCTACGTTTATTTGTTGCAAATTTTGAAAAACTCAGTGAATATTTTTTTTGTAACGAGAATTCAGAAGGCTGAATTACGAAATGTATGATTTCAGACCCTCATGTATAGTTTGACAAACGAACTGTATCAAAATTCAGGTTTAGTAAAGATCATTAGTTTAAGAGTGGTTCAAATTTAAAGTTGCATAACAACGTACGACATATGTAGACACACATGTACTAATATCTACCCATTTCATATTGTAATGGAAACAAATTGAAAAACACTACAAAAATGTTCAAATGTTTTTGAATTTGCTTACAGAGAACTAAGACCGAAAGTAACTTACGTAACTCTCCTAGTTTGTGAGCTGAAGTGGCAAACATGTTTTAAAGTCAGCGTCTTGTAAACTTGAACCTGATAATAAGAGCCTTATACACTAAAGTTAAAATGTAAACTTCAAATATTTGAGGTGAGGTATAAACGAACCATAGTTGGTTTAAAATCAATCCTCTCGATATTATTTAATCATCAATAATGAAATGCCTGTTATTCACCAAACACAGAAACGGTAATCGAGATATTATTCACGAATAAGTCACTCAGAAATCGTTGTGATTTATTCCATACAACCAACAAACTTTTGTGATGTTTGAATTAACTCTAACCATCATTACAAGTAAGTCTGACGTAATTTAGTATAGAAGAAAGGAACGTTGATTTATGGTAGTAAATACTTTTAATGTCATTAAGTCTAATATGTATTTTGTTTACTATTGTTTTATCTACTGACAATACTAAATAACTATTAATCAATGAAGGATAAAACAAGAGATCACCACCAAATTGTACAGATATTAGTCTTGCAAAATAACATGATGAACAATTTAACCATTTGTAGTCTATGGTACCACCCCCAGAGCATAGATTCTGTATTCGCTCTCTGAACGTAACTAGATGATGTCCATTACTAAATGTTATCTTTGTACGGTAAATGTTATTTATGAATTCGAAGAGATCACGGAGTTTTAAAATACGGAACGAAGTCAATATAAATTATATCAATTTTCACTTGTGAAATCATATTTTTAAATATACATTATATGAATAGAGTTATATGGCATAAGACTTACCCATCCCAAGTTTTCTCCGATCTGTTTCATAATGTCAAGAATAAATATGTGATATGAATGAGGGTAATTGAGATCGAATTATATAGTGTACATCATTTGACTAGATAATACAGGTAAGTTTTGGTAACGAACCGAACAGCAAAAAACCTTGGTCCAGTGTAAAATGACTGCTCATCACAAATTCATGCTAATTAATTACCCAGTATTAGCTAATTTCATGTCATCTTGTTACAATCCCTGATCAAATTTTGTAGATCAAGTGACTGCTAGTTTATACATTTTGACACACTAGTAGATATCAGGTGCTTGAAGGAAATCTAAGCGAAACTCACTTTGTCATTTCCTGTGCACATATTGTTTACGAAGCATGCCAGATATTTTAAGCAAAGTAATCACTATCCCAAATTAATTCAGATTAAGATATCTGATTGTTACGAAGTAACTGTAGCCACTGAACATCTTAACACAGCGAATTCACTTCCACTGGCGACCATCTTACAACGTGATCAACAAATTTGATCAGTACTCATAAAATAGTACGAACTCCAAAACAAATGTTACCGAATAACTACATTTCTTGTAATCCATAACTCATCCAAATATTTTTTTCAGAAACTTTATACTTGAAACTTTCCAATAAATTTTGACGTTAGTTGTCAAATGAATCAGAACAAAGTCATATAGCAAGCCGCAAATGACCTCACTCATGTCCGCTATAGTGAATTAATTACCACCGAATATCATACAAACGGCCATCTGAATGTGCTTTTGTCCACGAACAATCGATCAACTAATCATTTAAACTTTCAAATATATGTTTTCTCTCTAAAATCAACTTTTTTATCAACACATATGTATTTCAATGGTTAAGATCATTAGTCAGTTGAAGCTTGACTACCATGGAAAACCTGGAAGTACTGGACGGTCGTTTCGTCCTATTGTGGGACTCCTCAGCATCCACGACCTTCCCTCCTGCGAGATTCGAACCCAGGACCTACTGATTTTGCGAGCGAGCACTTAACCACTAGACCACTGAGCCGGCATTTATTTGCTTATTTTTTTTGTTACCGCAAATTTACTTTCAAGAATCGTTTCCTATCATATACTTTGTCCTAAACTTCAGTTTCAATTTATACTGATATTTGATTTCTGAAAAATAAAAACAATCAAACATATTGACTGAAACACATGAAAGGAATGATGATATGGTCTTACATAAATTGACATCATCTGCTCCAGAAACTATATAGTTAGAATCGAACATAAAATTTATACGTTTTCAAAAGATTGAAGTAAAACATGAAATTCTACTAAATTGAAAAAAACTACAAGTTTATTAGAGACATAGAAAAAGTGTAATGTATTTGATTAGACACCTATTCGTAATCAAATGCCCCAAACGCCCTGATATGACCGAAAGTGGGAAGAGTCAGCTCTTCATCTCGAAATGCTCTCACATGGCCACTTGCATGCAGCCACTACCAGGGAAGTCCTACTCATCGCCTTTTCGCGACATTACTGTTTTTACGAAATTCAGAGAACGAAAATCGAATGTCCGGCGCTTTAACTGGATTGGTGGATACGGAGAGTCTACCTAGAAGAGTTGGAAAACCCTGATTCCAAACCGGTATTCTGAAGTAACAAATGGCGTATGAACCAATCGTTGATTACCGACTATCATGGGACTGCATCTCCTGACGTTATTCCACTGTCTTTTGAATCAGATCAGGGGCTCGGGGTGTGCCTATCTAAGAAAACCACCCGTCTCGATTTGGACACTCTGGTAGCAACTCATCCCTAACACAAATCGAATGATTTATATGGCGCAATTCTATTTGGTGCCTCCTCGTACCAATGTTTATGTGATTAAATAAAATAATAATTATTAAGGTTTCTTTCAACAACAACAAAATTGTAAAACTGAACAAGAAATAAAGAATAAAAGCGACATATTTTAAATCACCGAAAGTATTTGAAACATCTTTTAAGAAAATAATTTGTAAACAGAATACTGAACATACGTCTTGGTTCTGAGATGATAATACACATAAATAGAAAGATTGTTAGAAGTAGATAGATGTAAGTTGAATTTAAACACGCATTTATCAATAAAGTTTTATAACGATGATATTTAATATAATACATGCACAGATAATCAGTAGACATTCTACACAGTTAAGCGTATGTTATTGACTTAGTCTGAAATATCTCATCAATATACCAATGATACTGAATGTTTCTAGTTATTTCGTGATATACCCGATAGTAACCTGACATTATTAATCCAATACAGTATAAAATCCTTGAATCAAGTTTAGTATTTGTCAGGAAATATTTACATAATGCAATATTGATTGTTGATTAAAAATGGCTCGTTTGGAATTAAATTCATAGTGCTAAACTTACTTCTGACATCTAAAATGTCGAATTATGTAAACAAGTAAGCATTAATAATATGAGAACGGATGTTTGAATACGTATAGTTTGTACACTCGTTGATGTGAACAGACAATCACAGAATCGCAGCGAATGAGGCGAAGAAGAGAGAGCGAAGCGAAACGAAAGGACGTGCAGTGGAAAAGGCGTGTGAGCCAATTCGATTGAATTAAGCCGGAATCACTATTTATAGTCACACAGAAACAACTTACAGACATACGATGAATAGGATACGAAGTGCACGCACATACGCTCATACAAAAACAGTTAAGATTGATAATCATTTGATTAACAAGGTCTAAATGTAGCTTGAGAAGAATTGATAAACTGGCTTGTCCGGAAGCTAATATAAGCTATGTGGGCTCGACATAGGGACATCCACTACAAATCAGTTTACTATAATAAAGAACAGTTGTGTCTCATTCGTACTAGCATGATTAATAAAGAATAAATAGACGCAAAACACTAGTATAAACTATGGTTCAATCATTCTAAAAAGGCTTTAAATCATTTAGAAAGCAAGATAGGTAGCTGTTTTTGTCAAATTTTGATACAACCTACCCTTACAATCATTACCGACTAAAGAGGAAAAAAATTAGGTGAAAATCACCATAAAGAAGTTCATCCACAAAACAATAATAATCAAATTGATCACGTTCGTACAGTCTTGCGTGTTTTAAGTGTATTTTCGTTTACAGAAATCAAATCGTGTGTATAACCAGATAGCATACAAAGTCAGACAAATACATATATTTAGCTTCATTGAAACTTCAGGTAGATAAATGAAGATCCTGAAGTCCCTGAATATGATGGAACTAAAATAAATGATATTAAGTTACGGTTTTTTTCCAATGCTAAATATCATTTAGCATCACGTTATTGGAATGTGAATACTGATATATTTTGTAAATTAATGTTTAGGAACTTTATAATAGAATACTAAGTTGGTGTATCATAGTGGTGTAAATGCCCAACAATCTTATCTTATTATTACAATTGATTGATCACAGGGTAGTGATCAATGTCTTGCTTGTCTAGTCCTTATTAGTGCAGATCGAATGCTATCGATCATGTTGCAATGTGGCCACCAGTCTAGGTGACTCGACACTGCGGGCACTATGTATTGAGATTTAGATGATGGTTAGAGGTAGTTGACTACCTCCAACCACCATCTAAATCTTATCTTATTCATTCTCGACTAAGATAGAATAGAAAAGATGTCTACTTATAACTTGTTTATCTTAGACTAGAGGATTCATTCATCAGCTTTGTAGTCAATATATCTATTCGACAGCACAAAATGAACAGTGATTTGTCATGAACAAGTCAACTTGTTAGTTAATCACAAATAAACTCTTAATGTATATAAAAAATGTAATTGACGTACCACAGCATATCTTAGCTACAAAAATAATCAAACCAACAGTCAACAGTAATATCATTGTAAATTATAACACTAATCAGTTGAATTACGCTGTATTAAATTACTACGCATATTAATAAAACTACTTATTACTTACAGTCTCCATCTTCGTCTATTATAGAAGTGGTAAAGCAATGAATACTGTATTCATAAAAATGTATGGTGATTAATTATAAAACAGAGAAAAGAAGTTCTTTATCAATGATTAGATTCCTCTAATCTTTAAAATGTTTAAGAGTTGGTCATCCATTTTCTATAAAATAACCTACTCAATTGTTTTTTCAGTAGTACTTAATGGTATATCCATCTATGATGAAGTTAATGATCTATTTCTCATTCTGATGATTATTTTTTTTTTCTCACAAGCGATTGTTGTACATCATCGATATTTATTTCCTCTATTTTCTGATAATCACTCATTTTGATGCAACCAAATAAAATATTGGAAAACTTTTCTCGATATTAGAAATAGGTTGTATAGCCTTTTAAGTATCTTATTCAACTGATTAGCATGATCCAAGTAGCTAGATGAATGTAAATGAATACACTAAGATTGAAACGATACGTTTACAAAGTTGATTAACACTTGAAAATCCGGAGGTATTTGAAAGTTGTTGAGTCACTGAATAGAATATCTCGGATGTGTACATTTACCATCCTCAATTAGATAGAAACTCGCGGGCAGCACTGAATCTCTGGAACACTGGGCCATTGTCCACTTATCTACGTTTCTAACACAAGTCAATTCTCAGAATTGTGAGTCTGCTATGTCTTGAAACTAATGATATTCATTCAACACCTAACATTTTTATACAATCCTGGCTTCAGTCTTTAATGAAAAACTCGAGAATTATCTCTTGAAGTTAGTTACCAGTGTACACATGATATTCTGTCATATAAAATTGTAGTGGTTGCCAAATGGGAATGTTTACTTATGGATTAGTCACTATGGTATATTTAGCTTAAAATAAGTGTGGCATATACTTAACAAATGGTTTATTTGTTCTAGTTTGATGATGTAACCCAAGCAAAGATATTGTTTGTATGTCCTTTTTAGAGTCATAAAATTAAACGTTCAATATAACCTAGATAAACTTGTTCGTCTATTATGTACGGCTAGTAAAATACACCTCTGAAATAGCATAATACATTTTCACAATAAGTGATTGTAATGAGATAAACATAAATTCATATTATTTAAGTTCTGTTCTATTAGAACTAAAGTAGAATTCAATTTGATTGCACTCGAACTCTTGCATCAGTTTGTTGTTCCCATTTTTATTCATTTCAATCCTAAGACGTGTATTTTCGTAGACTTCCATAGCCCAGAAATAGTGAGCATTTCAAAAACACTCATTGAGCAATCAGTTTAATGTTTACATACTTGAAAAATTAAAAGTAGTATAAATTACACTTACCACAACACGTTGTTCCTGTCAGATACAAATATGTAATTCGCACTTCAAATTAACAATGTGATTTATCATTGAAAACATTATAATTTATGGATTCGCAATGTTTCATGTTAATGGATTTTTGAAGATTTTCATTCAACTAGTTAACAATAATACCGGAATAGGATCATTTATTCATATATACTAAGTGGTCAGCACAGGACAGCTATAGTGAATCAAAACAGATAAATGTGTCAGTAATGTGGCATGAAATACTGTCATAAGGAAGTTCTACCTCATATATAAACCTTCATATAACATTCACATCATTGTTTAGTCTTAATAAATCACAACTACACATTTAATAAAAATCATTAAAATACGTTTATCCTAAACATTAAACAAAGATGGATAGTGGCTAGCAGCGGAATCTAGGACGCGCGTTTCGTCCTATGTGAGACTCGTCAACTAGGAAGATACAAGCAAAACAACACCAAGTAAACTAAACATTAAAGTTATATATTTGTTAGCACTTTTTATTTCTCTTAGCTCAAAGCATTAACCAGAAGCTTATTGTATCTCATATTCAAACTTAAATTTTTCAATATAAATATTTTAAAGTGAAATTATGAAGATCATTTCAAAATGTTTCAGCTTACTGTTACATGTGATAACTTTTTAAAAAAATGTTCAATGAAGACGTTAATGTATTTCGATTAATGAATTTTTAATTATAGATTTCTATCAATAGAAAACAGATCGACTTCTATTCCATCTCATAATGTGAAATCAGTCTATATTCTATGAAATGTGTCGGGTGATTGACAGAAAATGAGTAGAATATGCTGATATCCCATAAAGAGGAATTCAAATAGTACTGGCGAAAGCACATTGCCAATATAACGTAGCTTAGTTATTACTTCTTATATTACATAAAAATAATTTAGATTTTAAAAACAACATTTAAGCATTAATGATGAACATTCGGGTTATAATTCGCATTGGTGTTTTATGTATCTGAGATAAGCAAATGTTATTCTATAAAAATATCAAATAATCAGCATAAGAGATGAGGCTGTGTGGTGTTTATATGTGATCGTAACTAAAACAACTGTGAACTGACTCACTCCATTCAGCACCTAGTAATTCAAATGAGTTCATTTGAATGAGTTCACTCTATATATTTATTATAATGACTAGTTAAGTGTTGAATACCCTTATAGTTTTCAAATATCAGGTACTTTTCAATAGACAATATTCATGGACATTCTCAAAACAATCAGATTTTCAGCTGAAGTCGTAATTCATTTATTTTGGTACGTTTATTCAAATTATTCATTCCAGACAGGAGTTAAAATTATTATTATTATCTTCTTAGAATTTATGCTCGTTGCTTTCATGTGTGAATATGATGAAAGAATAATCGATGTATTAGATACCGCTTAAAACGTGCATTCAACTTGTCGAATAATATTTACTGATACTATCTACAGAATTGGATCATGCAAAATACATTTATTCCTGAACTTCGAAAGTCCCATTACGTTTGAAGCATAACAAGAAATGGCTTGATATTTTTCGTAAAATCCAAGAGTTTATCACTAAACAACACAATATAAATGGTTTTCTCAATTAAACGTTGACTAATGTTAATTGGTTTATCTTAATAACCTATTACTGATGTGCTCTATGTCTTTTTAGTAACTGTTAACCTTCAGCAAAACCATAAATTACTCTTCTCATAATATCGTACTATTACAGAAAGGTTTTGTCTACATTTCCAAACGTGAAATGTAGTAACTTGATATGACTGAAAATATTGTTTCGAAAAATATGTAAGCAAATTGCACTGGTAATTAAAATGGAAAAATATCACTGTATATAAATGAGAAGTGAAAGAAAACGTTGGTGAAACCAAACCGCCTCAAATTCATCTTACACCTGACCTAAAGTTTGATTTTGACTGATTGATATTAAGTACAATTCCGCGTTACATAAACTCTTTACAAATTTAATGGCATTATGGTAAAACTAATATAGAACAGAGTAACCTTTTTCAATGTCACTATAATATTATAACAATAACATCTTTTCGACTTACTGTCAGAAAATATGGCAAACAAATTCAAAAGATAAAAGACTGCCAAACATATAGTACCAGATGATTTCATTTTGTTACACAGACGATGTACTAATCTTCCTGTTCTTTAACTTATATACTCTACATTTTGTGAATCAGATATGTAAAAGTACGTAAAACCTTCATGTGACTGATAATTATTTCATTCTAATCCGATTTACTAATATGTGCTTGTTCGAAAAAAATTATAAAGCAATTTTTATGTGCATCGTCATATGCGTAACAAAATCTGTATGTAATCACTTCCATTTGATATTCCTTTTTAATTTTTGCTGTCATCCGACACAGCTGATCTTTGCACTAATCCACCAATTTACTGTATAGATAGCATAAAATTCACATTTAATAATGGATGCAAAGCAAATCTGTTATTCAGAAATAGTAGAGCAGACTAAAGTCACTGACTCTTATGTCAGTTAGTCATATATTCATATAATGTTCATTTCGTAATTAGCAATACATCTTAGCGAAACGTCCGATATTTTCGCAACTCATAGACATCTAATAAATTTTAACAAACTGATATGTTTCGTTATGACACATTCAATCACGACAATTTCAATTATTGATGCTTCAAATAACTAACTCCGCCTGTAGCCCTTCTAGGATTACAGCCTATCCGAGGGTTGAATGAATGAAAATGGTTGAGCATGGAGTCGGTAACCCACTCTCATAGGAAAACGTCTTGCTCAAAGACGCTGACTAGAAAAAAACGATTTAAACCATTCACACTTTACCTGAGAGTTGAGTTGTCTTCATTTTGAAGAATTGTGATGATCAGGGGTGAAAGCCAAGATTTACTAGATCGACATCTCTTCTGAAATCAGAAAAACAGTTCATATGATTACATGAAATGGCCACATAATATAGCGGATTATGAGTTCCAATTAAATGGCTGCGAAAATGATATGACATAACTTGACCGTTCTCGAAATAAGTGAAATCCATTAGACTCAAGCTGAGCAGAAGAGATTAACTTTAAAGAAAGTACTGTTGTACTCTGGTCATGATGTAGAAAATGTTTCACACACAGGAAGTTGCATAGATGCTGTTCAAAAAAAGCACTGAGAGCAATTATGTGATGGAATCCCATAAAAGCACTCATAAAAACAAAGAACGAGGGTAATACAACTAATTTTACTCAGTGTTATGAGCCTACAAATGATGGGGAGACGATCAATATCAATCCTATGATAAAATGTAGTCGATCGTAGAAAAGTGTTCAGGAAAGGACCTAACAATCCTGAGTGGAGATCTAGACGCCAAAGACAACAACCTTCGTCAAATGAAATATTGGATATCACAGTTATTGAGGCTCCAATTTATCGTGCAATTTGTCTCAGAGTTTTGGGGTAGACTTTAATCGGTCCCGTTGACTTTTCCGTGTCTAAATTGCTAAAAGTCTTGAGTACATCGTCTCGATCGAAATCCATGGTGAACAGGCGGTTTGTTAATTCCGTACTCGTGTCTAGTTCTTCGTCCACAAGAGTCTCCTGAGTGAAAACTATTTATAAATAGTTCGCAATAACTTCCCATTTTTCATGACTTTGTAGTGGCATTGGACCATAACCACACAATCTTTAAAGCTGAATACGAGTCTGCTCAGAAAATAGATATTCAATATTTAATGCGGAGAAATACCTAATGATGGAGAAGGCGGGAAGAAGGTATTGAGTCAATGAGAGTTGATCGGATAGCATGGCTCAACCATGCAGACGTGGTCTCTGCTGAATGTTACCTTATATCTCCTATTCATATTAAATATATTGTTCTTTCTCTAGCCCAACCTTGTTCTAGATCATGTATTGGTAATTGATACGATACAGTGAGTTGGTGTTGTCGACGGTGTGACTTCCACGTAAGATCTTATAGATTAGGTAGTTATATCATGACAAATCTGCAATTTTAGGATTAGGTCTATTATTAGGGCAGTACTAATATTATAGTACACCATAATTCTACAACCTTCCTCTATCATTTCAGATCCACTCTCTTCTTCAATTAGGTTGGTAATTCAATACTGCATTCTTGTTCTGTAATTTATGTATGAGAATAGTGTCTTAGGTTGCATATTGTGACAACCACATTTTATATTTTCTCTGAGATTCTTGGATTTAAATTATACACGTGGTTTTTAAAAACTCGCAAACAAATGATGCTGTTGGTAACCCTACTTCTAAGTTTACACAGTTTATATACGATGCATTAAAGTCACCTACCATAAGGCTTCTACCCCTATTACACCAGGACCTAGGTTTCCTTAAAAGGAAGTCTTCTACTACATATTCTGGACTGTGGGATGCAACAACTAATTCATCTACATCTCAGACTGCAACGTACCTTTCTATATGTTCCTGAATCATGTGCCACTGTCTCGACAGCTAATACGGTCAAAGCAATTTTCGTGTACAGGATGACCATGCTTCCCCTAAGGTTTAGTCCACCAGCACTACTGGATAAAAAGCCAATCAAGTGAATTTTATAGTCAAAGACTTCTGAAATAAGCCATGTTTCTGAGACAGCAATGACATATAGATTTTCTATATCCACCATTGTCTTAAGCTAAACCATTTTACTCGGTAGGTTGCGAGCATTTGTATAGCACACCTTTATTTCTGTGAAGAACGTTTACTTGCAACCTAAAGTGTTTAGGGAATCGTTTCTTCCGGACTTTTACAGTTTTAAAACCCTTCAGTACGAGTTTTTTTCCACCGATCGTCTCTTAATACGGTCAAATAGGCTGAGATCCTCAAAGAAGTACATTTTGAATTCAATCAGTTTGCGTGAGTTTTCCACTAGTATGTTCACTTCTTCAGCCGAAGAAAAGGTAACCTTCAGAAGGAGACTTTTATGAGAACTTTCAGAAGCCAATTTTTGTACCATTCTATAAAGCTTACAGGAGCTAACGCAGAGGTTTCACCCTTTTTTCTTACTTTTCTTCTTCTGGGTTAACCGTAAGTCAATGATTTTCCTTATTTTGTCTTTTGGTCACATCCCCTACACCGCCAAGACTTCGCTCCTTCATAGTATTTTTGGGCTGACATGTGAATTCGGAACTGAAACCGTAGATTTACATGCCCTAGTGCGGCCTATGATTTGTTTCGCCTCAGTGTGCTTCTTCTTTTTCCTTGCAACAATGCCTGCATTGGTGTGGTTGTTATCCGCTTTTCTAATGAGGTCCACCCTGATAATCTCATTAAAATCCAAAGCTGGGTACGTGACAACGATCGCTTTTTCCTGGAAAATTTATTTCTGCTCACCTTACGTGAAAGTGGCCTGGAGCACCGTTATATGCAGCCGATGTGAGTCCGGTGCACATAGTGTCATACCACTCATTGCAGTTGTTAAGTTTAATTCCATCATAGACCTGTAAATAGCATTCGGGTCTGCCACAATGATGTTTTACTTGGGCCATAAAATTGTTTCGCAATCTCATTGGAAGAAAAATAGCGAAAACTGACCTCTAGAATAAGTGTCTTTTAAGGCCTGATGGATTATAGACAGTAAACACAGCAAAACAGAGGTGTGTATATTACTATACCTAACAAAAATAAAAGATCCGACTTTAGTAGACCTTAACATCTTAAAATACGAACAATACCAAAAGATATACTGAAAGAGGAAAAAAACGGTGCTTTTTTGTATCTGTACTCACACGTACGGATGGTAAAGTTCTCTGGAAAAGAGCGATAGTGTTGGAGACCACTTTACCCGGAATGCACTCAATTAAAGCAAAAACTGTAGTCTTGATGCTTAGTGAAATTATTAATACGGTAAAATATACTCAGATGAAAAATAAAACTGTCCTTTTTAAATAGCAACACGTTTATTCCTGGTCAGTTTGCAGGAACCAGATTAAACGAGTTAGAGTCATCTTCAGGAAGCCCATTGCCGACATCGAGTACGACATTTGTATGCTGGGAAGATTATCCCGCTCTATGCGTCTCGGACTCGCTCACATCTTGATTCTAGGAGACTTCAATCCTCCTTAAGTCAATTTTCCAGGACATACGTATTTAGGAGGTGAAAACTCTACTGAAGCTTGGCTCCTCAGCCTCACTGAGGACCTGAGACTGTTGGAAAATGAAAATTCAGCAGCTTGTTGGAGAAAGAGTCAGACGTCGTTGCGCTTAAACTGGTTAGTTGCAAACTAAGAGTTCCTTGTTGACAGACTCTCAATCCTTGCCCACCCCTCGGGAGAAGCGATCACGCCGTCATAGTCTTCAGTTTTATCAGCAAAGTTGAGCTAAGACGTCCCAGCAACAACAGGCGTTAGAATTTCAAATGGTTGAATGTGTCATCTTTACAGGGCAATCTACAACAGGTGGATTGGTGTGGATGCTCATTGGGATTTCTTACTGTACACACTCTCATGTGCAGTCTGCTCCTCAAACCGTTGAAGATGCCACAAGTATATATTATTATTATTCAGTGTCTGACAACGCTTTAACCAGTAACACCTTCTATTATGAAGCGTACCCACCAAGAGAAATGAAAAGACAAAATCGAGGAGATCGGATGATATATTTGATAGGCTATCAATATATCGAGAATCGTCTGATCTAATCTGGCTAGCGATTGCAGTAGATGTTGAGCACGGCGTTCCCCTTCGTGATTTGGTGCGGATGCATGACCGAGCGCCTTCAGCTAGGTGATTCCATTAAAACATGTGGTCAGCATCCAATGTCGAAAACATACAGAGCTATTTATTTTGGGGATTTATTTACCACTACACCGTCTTCAAGATCTACAAGCAACCCACAGTCATCAAGAACCGCACTCTTCACTTGCTAAGCCGCAAAAGGCACTTTTGGGCGGAGTTCAAACGAACTGATAACAACGGCGCGTACAGGCAGTACAAACATATAAGGGACATATGCGCAAAGGCAATCAGAGGAGATAGGCTTCAGTACAAGATGAAACTCACCAATAAATTTGTCCATAATCCGAGAGGCTTATTTCGTTATGCAGCTCCTCTTCGACAAGCCAAAACTGGAGTCTCCCAACTGCTAGGTCCTAATGGCCGACCAATAACAACCGTGACGCCGCTAACTGTTTGGCTGATCAATACCCTTGCACATTTCAACCGACCCAAATTAACTATATTGATGAAAGCTTCATACTCAACTTCACAGGACTTTCCGAAGTGAATCTGAGCGCTGACTTGGTGTTCCAGAAACTGCAGCACCTAAGAAAAGACACTTCTCCTGGCACGCATATGGTTTATTCTGCTGTACTGAGGGAAGCAGCTACAATCCCGGCAGCACCGCTTAGCGTGATTTCCTCACACTCTCTAGTCCGGGGCAAACTACCGGAAATATGAAAGCCGGCTCACATCACACCCATTTTCCAAGGGGGTCAACGCGGCGAACCTTCAAGCTACAGACCTGTGGCCCTCATCTCTATGCCTTTAAAATTACAGAGTCCCTGATATGCGACCGTATACATGACTTTTTTAATCCTTAAACGTCTTTTCACCTCGACAGCATGGTTTCAGGTAGGGTCATTCTTGTATAACCAACCTGCAATGGACAGATGGACAACCATTCTTGATCGCAAGGGAAAGGTGGAAGTTATTTGCCTTGACTTCTTAGAAGATTTTGATAGGGCCAACCATATATGTCTTGTCTATAAGCTCAAACAGTTGGCTATCTAATCACCCCTAATTGACCGGCTCACTTCATATCTAAACAATCAACATTTTAGGGTCAGGGTTATGTTCACATTCTCTCAGTCTACGGAATGTCCTAGTGGCATACCCTAGGGTTCGGTACTGAGACCTCTTTTTTCTTGATTTATATAAACGATCTGCCATAATAGGTAAGCAATCAGGAGGATATACTGGCACTTTAGAAGGATCTGACTCGACTTCAGAGTTGGGCAGACGATAACGGACTTACCTTTAATACTTCAAAGTGTAAAATAGTCCATCTGAGACATGTTTCAGACTACAACTACAACTTAGATGACTCCCCTCTGGAAGTATCCAAAGTTGAAAAGCAGTTTCATTCGTCCACATTTAGAGTACGGAAACATAGTATTTCATCTGCCACTCCAGAAGGATTAGGACACTCTGGAGCGTATCCAAAGGCGAGTCACGAAATCAGTTCGGAGACTTAAATTCAAGCCTTATGAAGAGCGCCTCAAGTCACCAAACATTTATCCATCAGAGTATAGGAGTCTTAGAGATGGCCTTCTAATGGCTTACAGTGTCCTTAACACTTCTGGACATCCCCTTAAACACATACTCAAGTTTAGCTCCGACACAAACTTAAATGGGTAACACCCAGAAACTAGAGACATAACGCTACAGAACAAACTGTAGACACAACTTATACTCCTTATGAGCTGTCAAACGCTAAAATTCGCTATTGGCAGAGCTAGTCCAAGCCACTTCCCAGGAGTCGTTTAAGGGGAATTTTGGCCTATTCTTAAGGACTATGGATAATGTCTTACAATGATTTACTAATTGCTTTTTCCTCTGTTCTCGTTAATATCCTTACGTTCCTGCCTGGAGGTATTGGTGAACCACTGCTACTAGACACGGAAGCCCGTTAAGCGAAAGCTGCTACTATAACGTCCACAACTATTTGAACCGTTTGAACGATCAAAACGAGGTTGTGTGTATAATCGCAGAAAGAAATGCATTTCAGATTAAAGGGGTACGTCTTGGATAAAATAGACGTTATAGCTAGTTCCATAAATGAGGCCATTACCCAATAGATCCAGTCCCTCATTCTTGTTTTAATGAATGAACGCAGCTATCACTATAGTTTGATGATAGCACAAATGTGAATTGGGAACAGGTGACAGATTCTAACAAGTATTCAAGTTATCTTTTCAAAGTTGGCTTAATTTTGAATTATACCCATATTAACATCTTTAGCGATGATGGATCTAAATTCCCATGTTAAGCGTCACTTGATGCCTTTACCACAGGTAGAAAAAATCAAACTGGAAATAGCTGAGAAAGATAAAGATCCACAACTACAAAAATTCTTGTCATACTCGTTAGAAATTCAAAAGAGGCAGCAGGTCAATTTACTAAAGTAATCATTTTTTGATGTTAATTTTTCTCAGTATCAAGCGAGCACACGATGAATACAGAAGAACACAAATTAAATTAGCCACATTACCAATTCCAAGAGAATCACCGTTTGTACCAAACTTTGTAGGATCCATGTTTTTCATGGAAATTTATAAAAATTTTATTGCTTTTAGATGGTTAGCGAGAAGCTAAAACTAACAGTGAGTACAAATGTCACATATATACTTCTGTTTTCCGTAGAAAAACTACAACCTTATGAAATCTTATGTAGAAAGTAGCATAATACCTCAAATTCAGGATGACTGGTTGCAAAATGTTTTGGCGAAAACTCCACCAAAGCTAAAAATTGGAAGAGAATACAAATTAAATGAAATCTTGATAGAAGTTAAAGAACACTTTTTGGAGAGCTTGAGAAAATCTTTGACTTCTCAGACTTTAAAGCGGCCGAATCTTCCTCAATTTTTGGAAGATGAATTCACTGGCAAAAGGGAATTTTCAAGGTTTGTCTTGATATCCTGTAGTTATTACATGTAGTATAATAAGTTCTCATCAGTCGTGGCATTCCGATCTTGTTAAGTATAAAAAAGAACTTGTTTCTCAATTAATAATAACACACCACCACATGCAGAAGATTTTATGTTTATGCCATCAAGAATTTTCCAATATGAGATTAACTAACGTTCTGAGATACAGGTTCGTAAAATACTGAGAATTCTTGACCACGCTTTTAGAGAATTGGGAGCTATCGATTTTGGTGAACTACGAACCTTAGTACAAAAAGAGATAGACACGAAATGTGAATACCTGCAGCATAATTGGTACCCGAGGGTACTCAAATTATTCTCGGACAAAAATTCAGTACCAAAGTTGAAGACAAAAAATCTTGAAAAATTCTTCAATTGTGTTTCAACACTATTATCTATTCAGGTATGAGTTATAAGTGTTAATAAAGATGTGCTACAGGTAAAGCAATTTTTGCAAAGAAATCTGTTGGAATGGGTTGAAATTTTTGACGAGGATCACAAAGAATACCTTCCGATTTTGAAAATGTACCTGACTTATGAAGATCAAACCATACATTTCTATCCTAGTTTCAGTGATCTTGAAGATTTAATATTTTTAATTACTGGGCTCATCTCCAATTCTCTTCAGAATGTAAGTAATGGAAAGTAACAATTGTAGTATGCACTTGGTTTTTATGGGCGTATATGCTAGCTGTGGGAAAAAATTGTTTCATGTATTTTCTTAGTAATGATTTAGATATAGATCCTGGTAAGTGCTTCGTTGAAAATGTAAAAATTTCATGGTAATTTACCACATACTTTAATCCACACTTATGTGGCTCAAGACCCTTAACTGCTACTTTATTTTCTAGCATGTATTGCCAAGCATATATTGTGCTTCTCGATTTGGCACTAAATTAGTAATGTAGAACTTCAGTTGCTCCGATTCCATAAACAACAGTTAGAGTGGCCCTTGACTGCATTTTCTGGGATCTCGCTGAATTGTAAAATAGATAATAGATTCCCAAGTAGTGGATTAAGCCCTAAAAAGTCCATGACCTGCTAAATCCCATAGTTATATCTCGTTACTCAGCTTTTTGGCTTCATTAATACTGGGATCTCTTGATTTTACCATTACAATGTGCACTGTATAGTGTATTTCGCTCCCGAATGATACTTTGACCTAGCTAATTTGACTTTTCATAAAAGTGGATTGATAACACCAAAACTGATCACCAGTGACGTCGTTGATTTCACGACAAAATGAAAAGGTTTATCTTTTGTAAAAATTCATTTCCTGTTTAGTTACAGTTAGACTACTGTAACGGGCAAAACTTGCACGAAACCTAGTCAAGATGTGCTGACATTGTTGTTCAGTCAAATAGCTCTACGACTGGACATCTAAGGTATACGGGTACAAACTTTTAATATTAAAGGAATGATGTGTCAAAATTTTAACAGGGATAAATGGTACTATAGGAAATGAGATTTAAGTAAGTTAGAGACTCCATAATACCATTTAGTGCTACAGCAATTTTTTACGCATACCAATAATTTAAACAAGTGAGCAAGGCTTAATTATTGAAAAAAACGTATTGACTTCAGTATCTCGTCTAGTTTATTGTGTAGTATGACATAGTGAGCTGTAGATTTACAGTTATAAAAATACTTGTTTTACTGATTTTAATTTGTTCCAGTACATTCATGAAACATCAGATACGAATATGATAAAAATTGTTTTAGGGTTTGGATTTACAAACATTACTGAGTAGAATAATAAAGCACTCTTAACTATTTTCATACAGATGTTTTCATTTAGGCTTTGTGAATTCAAATGATCTGCTAGATTCAGGAACATGTAATGACTAGCATAAACCTCTTGGATGTCTATTTTCCGACTGTGTTAGTGCAACAATATTGTTTCCCATTTTAAATCTTCTCTAACTAACAAGTCACATATCACCAATTAGTTGTTAACAAAGTAGTACCATAATGACAGCATGACTAGTGCAAGCCGAAATTTCACTATACTGAATTACCCATTTTCAACTAATAAACTCTGGCGAGCGAATCAGGATCATTGGAGTTTATAATATATATATTCCTCATCAAAAATGCGTATCTTTGCAACTGTAACATTTTTCACTATCGTCCGATGGGATTAAGAGGTTATTTAGGGATTACTAGATAAGCGAACATGTTTTTTTGTGGCCATTCTCCGAAAAAACACTACAGTATCTCAACAAATTACTGAAAACTGTTCGTTTATTTTCCTCACTATTTCCCTTTACGAGAAATAATAGGTAATTATACAAGAGACGATGCACTGCATATTTATAAAACTAGTTTGTCAGTGGAAGGCAGTTAACTGTTAGACTTTTTACTTATAAATGAGAATTTTTTGCTTCAAACGAATAAACGGTATTGACTGTCATTGTTGTACTCATTGATTGTGATTTGGACTGTTTCACTCAATGGTAATTTCTGATTATTTATTTAATCTGAAAACACCTTTGATTTTATGATAAACTACTAATAGACGGAAGAACTTCCAGTCAAAATATCTAAATTACTTACTGATACATGATCGATTACATACAGTATAAAGAAAGCTTTAAGCGATAGTCGAATGATTACGGTTGCGCATAACTTTATACATAAAACCACTAAAAATGTAGACGGAGTCACTGAGTAAAAGGTGATTAATATAGCATAAACATTGTTCACTAAAAGTTAACCCTTTATCACTAAGTGATTAATTCATAGTACAGACAATTTATGCTAAATTTAAGACAACAGTAGTATTCATATCGCCCTATTTCTTGTACTTGAAAACAAGGAACCATCACAAGATAAACAGGTTTGTTGTAAAAACAATTGAAGTTAACAGAGTAAAGTATGAGGAATTAAGTTTTCACACTGATCAAAGTTCATTCCTGTCATATAAAACAAAAATTCATACTTAGTTAATACGAACAATGCTGACCTGAAATAATATTACATGGAAAATATAAACTCAACATCATACTAACTAAAGTGATTCTGGGGACAGAATCAATGTCAAGCGCTACACTGGAAATAATTTATTGTTATGTTGAGTGAGATTTTACTTCGTTAATAAAATAATGTCCAAGTGTCAACTAGAGAAAATTATGAACTTGCTTACTTATTTCGACTTATCAAATATACGGATATATTCAAAAATGCTCTCTGCTGACGAAGTAGACAAGTCAAAGTTTGCGGACTATGTCCATTATATAGCTGTTCATTTGAATGATAAAAAATTTTGACACAGTGCCAGATATGCTAACAGATCTCATTAATATAGAGCCTGGCAGTGATGTGTGTTTATCCTAGCTCAAATAACACGTTGACATAATGGGACAAAAGTGGTAAAATAGGCCTGAGTTATATGATAGCCATGATAAAAAAATATATATGTTACGGAACACTGTAATCCACGATAGGATGAAAAAGGGTAAATACATCTGTATTGTAAATGATTGTGAACCATATCATCCATCGTTTTAAGCCGCAGATGACGCTTATAATGCGAACTCCAACTGGGTAGTCTGGATCAACTAACATGACAGAAAAATGGTTTACAACTGATATAATATTTTCAGCTCTGTATAGTTTAATGGAATCAGCCCTCAATTTTGAACTAAAGGGTACAATAATTTGATCACAGTTGTGGATTGATATCTACTAGGCTAATCAGTTGTACGAAATTATGAATTATAGATCACATTTTAATTCAAGCATTACTTTTCAAAATTTTCTTCACTAATATTTCTTGTACTTTTACACTTCACTACTTTATATCATGTATTCTCTGTAGTTCACCTACAGGTCTGAGACATGGAAAGGAGGTACAAAGTCAGCGAGGCAAACTATGTAAATGCAGGAGCATCTAGAACAAACTTTAACACCTGAATGACAGGAAGTTCAAATTTAGTGATTTTAACCGAAACTCGTTTACTTATTAGTAACGCTGATCATTTGTCTATTAAATGAGAAGTATTGTTTGACGTCAGTAAAGCCAGAATGATTTTTAAGATTAAACAATGAAATTAAGATGTCAGGATTATGCGCATACGACTTGACCAACTATAAATAATTTCTCTGCATCAATAATGGTAGTTAATAAGCTTATAATTTTCAAAAATGGTGAAAATATAATTTATGAACGACCTTTGAGCGACGCTTGACTGACTTTAAAAGTGTCTACTTACTTACTAGGGCTAAATGAGGGTTATAAAGCAATTCGAAGAATAAGGATTATGATTCACAGATGATAGTTAGGTTTAGGAATTAGATTTACAGTTTTTCATCACGAACTAAAATGCCACAATGCCATTTGGCCAAATGGATGAATGAATTTTGCGCCAAAATCCAAGACGTGTTATCCTTAATCTGATTGCTTCGTCCATAAATTATAGTATGCCTCAAAATTTGATGGACAACCAACTTCAAGCAAACTAGAATATAATAGACACTTCAGTGATAAATCCCAAACCCAACAAACAATATAACGCATTGATATTTTGGATCATGCGTTATGCGTTACCTAGTCCTTTTAATTTTTAAAACACTATCCAGATTTATTGTTCGCTGACTAGAAACTAACCCATGTTGTGAAAGCAATAAAGCCTATTCAGTTATGTGAGACAACAAGTATAAAAAACGTGAACTAGGCGACATACTATAGCTTGATAACAAGAATTCGGTCGGTATTAAGGACTTAACACCCTGACTTGGGTTCGAATCCCTTATAGGATTAAATTCTTTCCAAGCACCCATCATGTACAAATTATGTTAATGAATACAACTTCTTTACAATTACATGACTGTTGTAAGTACCACAATGATAATTTCATTTTAAAGGTTATTTTTTTCATTGTTCGATTTGAATAGATTCAAACAGTCCAAAGCTGGTTGAATTCATCACCGATTCCAATGTATATAGAAGCGAAAATTCCAACTGATGTTTATGAAATGTGTAAAGAAAAATTAAAAGAAGCTGTAAAGCGTTATTTTGAAGTACCACAACAATATTTAACTAAAGTTATTGGTAAGTTTCTTCAATAATAATTTCAATTGTTCTATCTTTATTTTATAGTTGAACCATATTCATTTATATATGATGGTAGAGAAGCTAAGAAGGTGGGAGAATTTCTAGGAAGTAACAAACCATTTAAGCAATATTGTGAAGTATGTTAAATCATTATTATTATTATCATTATTATTATTATCTTCAAATGAGTTTGTATTACTTTGGAATACCTTAATCATACTGGGTTCTCATTTTACTGTGAATATCAATACTGTGATGGATGCAAGTCCAACTGAAGAGATCTGAACAGAGATAAAATAATGAGTCTTTAATTTCATTACTATTCATTAATCGAAATATAATTGAAAAGTAACTTATACTATAAGCACTATTATCTAGTACATGTTAGAGATTAGATCGATTGTATTTTGGTGAATGTAAACAGTTACAATATACTAAAAGCTGTTTGAAGTTTTCCTTAAGTCCTACAAGTTCATCGTCAATCAATTGCTCAATAAGAAAATTCTTGAAGCTGACGACGTACACATATGAGGAGTGTTAAGGCAAGAAATAATGATATTTATGAACTTCTAAAGTGTGATTTAAGATCATTTTTTATCTTCTATATTTCACATTTAATTTAGTTAGATTTAGTAGATAATAGATGCATTAGAATACTATGCATGATCATAGGAGATAACTTTATTTGCTTCTTTCTATCCATCCTATATAGTACATAAATAAATTGCATGATTTAGCAAATAAAGTAATGAATTTACCAAATACCGAATATTTTGATTTAATACAACTTGATTGTGGAGATGTTAAAACTGGCTTATACAAAGAATGTCATCGATTGGCGAAATTATTGTTAGATCGAGTAGTTTCAGATTTCACACGAAATAATGACGAGTAAGTGAAATGTGTTCGAAATATCTGTCCATTGGTCAATTAATGATATTGAATGTTTTATAATGCATGACTATGTCATCTACGTTGTAGCTTACTGACTGACTGACTTAATTTTTTGGTTTTCTGTAGCGGACAGCTATAAAATACTGGCACATGAAACACTACTGGGCAGTTCATTTTTTATAAAACAATAACATTGAAAGTATTTTCATTTGAAAGTGTAATTCTTGGTCAATTCATGAATAAAATGCGGATCTAGAAGGATTAATCCTTATCAATAGTAATAGTACCTGGAGTAACTATGCGAATTACTTCTAAACAGAATACTGATCATTTCAGAATGCTCAGTGACCTGTTTTGTAAATGAAATAAACATATCGAATTTTAGAAAAAGACTTATGTCTATAGTTTGTAACTATTAGTAGAATCACTTGATATTACGTTTTTAATGGTATATCCCATTAGCATGTTTGATTAATACCATTGTAAATTGTAACATATCCTTTTCTTAAAACTGGGTGTTAACTTCAGTCAATGTTAACTCTAGGGCTCAAGTGAAGCGATCTACGATACATTTTGTTCAACCTTAGATGTTTAATTTTAACGATAGATCTTCACATCTTTAAACCATAGTCACTGTTAGATCTACCGAAGCGTTCAAGTCACCTGATTGAGATACGAGTAAAACCGAAGTTTCCAAAACAACGATTTGTCTACAATAACGGTTCTTTATTAAATAATACACAAAATTTAGTTACAAACCTCAACTTGTTAGGTGTCTGTGGCGTTTAAACGCGTCTTTCAAGTATGAAAATAAAAAGGTTTCTTGTGACAGTAACATAAATAATAATTATATCATACGATAGTACAAAAGACAGCTGACAGCGGTGTCTAACTTTTATAACAGCGACAGAAACCCGAACCAAGAGCAAAACAATGTGGAAACGGTTGCGTTTAAACAAATGAAAAAAACTATGGATAACCGCTACAGTAATTAATTTACAGTTATTATGATGATAAATACAATGATAAGTACAATAAACATCATAAATATATGTGAACATTTCAGTACAGTAAACTTGCATTACAACATAAGTTTAAAAATTGTTAGGATTGCAATTGCTTACTCAATATAAATAAGTAGTATAAAACAATATACAAAAGAGTGGAAATGGAGCGAGTACGATCAATGTACAATAAACTTAAGTCACTAATTATTCGTGCAAACACTAGAAAATTTAACTGATTAACATGAAAGAAAAAGTTGTTTTCAGTGAAATAGACAGATTGATGCTTTATGTTCTATTCAATGATGATAATGGTCGTTTTTTGTTTTTCTTTTTTAACTGTAAATTATGTTTTGGTTTAATTTTAGTATTTGTGTTGGTTAAACTATTTCCTCTGAACACAAAGACTTGGCTTGTTGGTTCGGATTCCTATAGCTTCTGCTATGTGTAAGAGACGAGATCGAACACCATAAGGAAAACTAGTGGGAATCCGATAAATAACTTTGAACGACTTGGATCTGTCTACTATATGACCGTTATCGATCAAGTGTGATAGAACCGAGCTGCGTATTGTTTTGACGTAACCTTTTCCGAACCACGATGGGAGGTGATCACTAACTCGTTGGTTCAGTTGCCTGGTAGTGCGTCCAATATAGCTTTCTCCACAGGAGCAGCTGAATTCGTAGATACACATAGAAGTGGTATAACCAGGTAACTTATCCTTCAATTGCGGAATCACCATCGATCGGGTCGAATACGATAGGCAGAGGTTGGCAGCATTAAACGTTCTCTTTACTGATCTAGTCAATCTATCCCGTAATACATCGCTAGCCAAATCACCATTGAATTGCAGTTTCAAGAAAAGCAGTTTTTTATTAGCCGTCAGGGTCACTATTTTCCTGTTTTGTACGCGCAAATGTTTCTTCGGGAAACCCAATGGATATCCCAATTTAATCAAAATATTATGAATGTGTTGTAATTCTCTATCAATAGTGTCGACTGAGCATATCTTAAGAGCTCTATTTGCAAGGCATTTGACTAAGTTTCTCTTATAATGAAGAGGCACAAAGCTTAAAAAATGTGTGTATTGGCTTGGAGAAGAACTTTTTCTAAACACACCCCTGTTGATAGAACCATTTTCTTTTCTACTTAACAAAACGTCCAGAAAATTTAGTTTGTTATCTATTTCCTCCTCACATGTAAATTTAATAGCAGGATGTTTGTTATTAAATAGTTCCAGTAGTTGTTCTTTTCTAATGTTCTGATCGGCAATGATGAAGGTGTCATCAACGTAACGACAGTAGAAATCCAGTTTATTGATAACCTCCTTTAGAGGTCCGTTTTCTAGTTTCGCCAGAAAAAAATCCGCAAGGATGGGACCTAGTGGCGAACCCATCGCTATACCATCAATTTGTCTATAATATATGTTATTGAAGACAAAATGGACATTCATTGTGCATTTTAAAAGTAATTCTTTAAGACTAACCCCAGGAATTCCAATATTGATTTGTTTTTCCTGCAGTTGTTGGCACACAAAATCGATAGTCTCTGCTAATGGTACATTGGTGAACAGGGAAGCAACATCTAAAGATAAAATTCGTTTCCCATTTACATTTATATGTTCCATTTTAGATATGAAATCGAAGACATCTTTCACGCTTCTATTGACGACTAATTTGTGTAGGGGGTTCAGGATACGAACTAGCCACTTTGCAGTTTTATGATAAGGCGAATTATACATATCTAAAACTGGGCGAAGAGGAAGATCTGTCTTGTGAACTTTAGGTAAACCATATAGTCGCGGTGTGTTCGATCCAGTAGGCTTGAGTGAGTCATTTAAGTCAGGAGTAAGGATACCTTTATTTTTTAATTCCTTCAGTGATATAGTCAGCAATTTTTCCGCCTTCATGTTTAAGTCCTTAACTTCGTTGAGTTTCTGAAATTTTGTCGGATCATTCAAAATCACGTTCATTTTATTAATGTAATCATCTTTGTTCATAAGAACTAGCCCCCCTCCTTTGTCCGGTTTGCTTATGATTAGAGTATTGTCGTTTCTAAGTACATGTAAAGCATCTCGGTACTGTTTGGTAAGTGGAGTCTTCACTGTACATTTACTATTTTTGTATTGTTGGCAGATGTCTACCAACGTGGTCTTAAACCTGGTTAGTTCATCAGAAGAAGTAGAAACCAAATCTGTTGTTTGTGTAAATAAATTTTCAAACTGCACATCTGTATCTAGTTGGTTTATTTTATTACTATAGTCGCAAAACCTAGGGCCGAGTGACAATGCCTCTACTTGCAATGCGTTTAACGTAACACTAGAGAAATTATGAACGTACCGCTCAGGGTCCATAGGAAATTTTCGTTCAGGTTTATGAGGTTCCAGTGACTGAATTAATTTTGTTCCCAGTTTTTCTGATCTACTTTTTACTACCATTGGGTTTCCTGAAGAAACATTTGCGCGTACAAAACAGGAAAATAGTGACCCTGACGGCTAATAAAAAACTGCTTTTCTTGAAACTGCAATTCAATGGTGATTTGGCTAGCGATGTATTACGGGATAGATTGACTAGATCAGTAAAGAGAACGTTTAATGCTGCCAACCTCTGCCTATCGTATTCGACCCGATCGATGGTGATTCCGCAATTGAAGGATAAGTTACCTGGTTATACCACTTCTATGTGTATCTACGAATTCAGCTGCTCCTGTGGAGAAAGCTATATTGGACGCACTACCAGGCAACTGAACCAACGAGTTAGTGATCACCTCCCATCGTGGTTCGGAAAAGGTTACGTCAAAACAATACGCAGCTCGGTTCTATCACACTTGATCGATAGCGGTCATATAGTAGACAGATCCAAGTCGTTCAAAGTTATTTATCGGATTCCCACTAGTTTTCCTTATGGTGTTCGATCTCATCTCTTACACATAGCAGAAGCTATAGGAATCCGAACCAACAAGCCAAGTCTTTGTGTTCAGAAGAAATTTGTAACTCCCTTATCTCTCCCTTGGCCTTAAGTAATAAATGAATTTATTTATTTATTTATTCCTTTTCTAACTTTCTCTTCGTTTATTATTTTTCTTCACACCCTCCTACCACTTTAATTTCTCTCAATTATACGTTTCATGGTCCAATTATCTGAACATTTCTTATTACATCATCTTATAATTTTATAATTGTTATCGCAGTTTCTATATTTTTCTAATCATTGACCTATTTCAGATTATGTAACATTGATTTGAACCTTTATTATTATTGCTCACCAAAAACTAATGCACCTGTTGTCACACCATCAATTTGTACTCTTCACATTTTACTTATTATGTAATCTTTTCCATTGTTATCATTGACTTATAAACTACGTTGCTTGGTTTGATAATTTCGTATATGCATATAAATTTTACTGTATATTAGAGTACAGCCTGATGAGGATCTAATCGAAAACAATATTGTTCGCTTATATATGTTGTTCTAAATTTACAATATGGGAATATTTCAAATTTTAAACTATTTCCATCTATCATAACACTATTTTAATACTTGGATTTAATCATGTTTTTTTCATGATATTCAATCAGAATTCTATGAACACTTACATATTTACTTACGCCTGCTATCCGTCATGGAGGATCATAGGCTGTCAACTTGGTTTCTCCATCGAGCTCTGTCTTGTACAATGCTTTCCAGTTGTTTACGGTTGCTGTTCATTCTTTTGGTGTCTGCTTTCGATTCTCGATTCAATGTGTCTTTTGATCTTTCTCTTGTGCTTTTCCTTTCAGGATTCCAAGTTACCACTTTCCCCGTGATACAGTTTGATTAGTTCCGCTTGTTTGTCATATCCACCTTCAACGTCTCTTCCTAATTTCCTCTTCATATGAAAACTAGCTTGTTCTCACTCACAGTAGATTGTTGCTGATGGTATCCGACCAACGGATAGTGAGTATTTTGCGTAGACAAGTGCTTAAAAATACCTGTACCTTTTTGACGATGGTTGTGGTAACTCTTCAAGTTTTAGCGCCGTATGTTAGATCTGTCTTGACGTTCGTATTGCTAATCTTGAATTTGATGATAGCTGACAGCTGCTTTGAGTTCGATATATTCATCGACTTTGAGAATGCTGCTCTTGCTTTGTCAATCTTTGTTTCATATGTATAAAATAATGTATTATAGTAAATTGTTCATTTCTTAACATGTATATTTTCAAGTTTCACATTAAGAACACAGATTACGTAACGTTTAAATTTTTAAAAAACGTTTTTGATTTACTCAGTTGATACTACATTAAATGAGTAATGAGATACTGATGATTGCATGATTAAGAATTCAGCGGGAACGATTGTAATGAAATTTTTGTTTTGAAATAATCTTCACATCACAATCATTCAGACTTCCTAAATTCAATATATATTGACGATATGAAACACATGATGTTCAAACTTATTAACATATCTTATTCCTTTTAAATGATAAAGAATCTGTGCAACATTTGAAGAAATCCGGGACCGCTGTCATACAGTACCACAAAATAGTGAAGAATTAATTGATATGATTCAGTATATGGAAGAAGCTCGATGTCAGGGTATGATTCGTATGACAGAGAAGATTTCAGTGAGTGAACTCAGTATTTTAATAACTTTTTGATGAGATGTGTTGTTCATTATTATATAGATCGTTTGTTACTATGACCATATTTTTCGAACTTATTATTGAACCAAATTACTACCAAAACAAGAAGTCATTTTTATTCTATTCCTTAGTTTTTCATTGTTCATTTGATTTGACGAATCACTACGGGAATTAAATAAACCTTACACTTTCCTGATAACTTCTAACAGGCGTAAAGAGAACTCGGTTATTTTACAGTAATTTTAGATCGATTAAGGATAACACCTAAACATAATGAATTCATATCTTTTCATGGGTTCTCCAGCCTACTTACATCCTTCCTCGTATGGATCACCAATGTAGGTGATCTATGTGAATGATCGATGGCCTACTCGAGCTGAATAAGAATGGCGTAACCTTTCAGCTTACGCCGAGATCACACCATACGGATTACCCTTTCGTCGTATCCAGGTACTATGTCTACTTTTATAACTGTACAACACAAACAACGTTATTACAGAAGTGTAATAATAAGAGTAGGTACAAGAAATAAAGTATGACCAGTGTCGCATGAGCCTATCCATGGCGTGTAATTGACTGATGCGTGTTAGTTGTCCTTGGGCTTGAAGAGAATCGGTTAACTGTTTTATATTCAGTGACTTGACAGCCAAATGAGTTGGCTAAGATTCAGTGATATTTCATAAGCCCTGCGTTGGTACTAAAGAATAAAACAACAACTGAAATGACAAGGATTTTCAGCATATGTATCTATTCATGTAAGATCATTTAAAAAACAAAATTGGTTAAATTGATAAGATTGGTCACTTAACTAAATAAGAACTTGACACACATGACATTGGTCACCACCCAGTGATCAATCAATTGTGATTACATCTCAGTCCTACAGGAGGTCAGTCGCGGCTCGAATAGCCTCGTGGTAACGTCTCTGACTGTAAAGCTGGGTGACACGGGATCGAATCCGTCAGGAAGCACCAGTTCCCTTAAGATTACAGGTACACCTTGCTGACGAATGGCAAGTAACACGAAACCTGGGTCCAGGGTTTCCTGTTGACTACCTCCAACCACCATCTAATCTCACTATATAGTGCACGCAGTGTCGAGTCACCTAGACTGGTGGCCACATCACAACATGGTCGATAGCATTCGATCTGCACTAAATAATGACTTGACACACATGACATTGATCACCACCAAGTGACCAATCGATTATGAATCTCAGAGTAGTTTACATACATTTTAGAAATTGTAAACGTAAAAAGTCATTTATATAATGGAAAGATGAATGAAATAGCAGTTAGCTAAATGAAGATTGAATAAAATCTTGGAAATAATAGCCATAGTAATAAATAAAACAAATGTCCTCAAAATAATAATTTATGGTCATGAATAATGTTTAAAAATCCTTTCCATTGGGCCTTCAACAAATAGCTAATTAAAGATTAAATCTAGACTTCGAAGTAGTATATTCAACCCTTCTTACCATTATGCTCTTAATTCTTCTTTCAATAATAAACCATTAATCAATGATTTATTCTTCTTCCTCATGTACTTTATGTTTGCCAAATGATCAGTTAACTATTTCACCTAATATAAAATTTCAAATTAAAGTCTTTTATTAGACTACAGGTCGTTGCAATATATCTTAACACTGATTCGAATGTTTTTGAATATCGGTTAAAGACAACAAAATCTGGATCTCATTACGTATGTGGATATAGCATGAACAACACTTAATTCTCTGGACTTAAGTTAACTATAGGTAGTTTTCAAGTCTTCTGTCCACACTGTGCTATTGACATACCGGAATACTTCTCTCTGTATTCTGACTGTGATAGATTCAATGCCATATTCCGCTACATACTACTCACAAGTAATCTTAACAGTAATATTCACCGTATTACTACCTCATTCCTGTAAATCTTCTGTGTGTATTTTCAAGTATCGATTCCATGCGTACATGATGATGTAAAAAAAACTTATAATTCTAGACTATGTAGCGTAAACAGTAACAATAAAATATTGTATGCGTGTGTTATATCTTGTGGTGTATGCAAGTGAACTGTCATGTAAAATTAATTAGTTAGCAACAGATTATAGTGTGAATGGAGGAATACAATTAAAAGAACTTGCATTCCTCAGAAAAACGTTGGGTAAAACAGTTATTCAAGCCATAAAAGGATGTCGAGACAAAGAATTCGATAATTCCCTTTTAAAGAAATATGGTGAAATGAATCTAAACTTCAAAGTGACCAAAATTATGTTTTTTTTTAAAATGATCTGTCGAAAACTATTAAACAAAACATTGTGTGCTCAAAAAACTGCGACTAATTTGTTTTCTGTATCTGTAATGGTCGAGCTCTGATCCCCTCTATAGGCAACTACCAGTTCACCCGCTCTGATAGAGCATGGTACATAGGCCTTAGCCAACACTTGCCTTCAACTAAGATACGAGATTATGTTCCAATATGGTTCCACAAACGTGACAGAAAAGCATTCAGGAGTCTCATTATTGAACATTGAATTGATTCTAATAACTCCATGAATTTATGAGTTTATATTGCTGTTGTTTATATAAATCGCCAAAAGCTAGCTAGATTTCTTCGTAGTCACCTTAAAACTGCAAAAAATCTTGCCACCCATATGTGTTGAAGCCAGAACTTATCCTTATCTTTGTCATAGAATATTGTTATTATTTCATTTGATTTCTTATTCCAAAATACCCCCCCTCTATTTAATTATTTCTCATATCTCCATGGTGTTATTCATTATTATAACAAAAGTATCTATCCACACTATAATCTTGTTTTGTTATTAATTCCACTACACAATAGAGTATTATGTATCTTTTTATTACATCATCATGTTTATTCATTGTGTATATAAAGACTATCAGTTTTACAATAGACTATCACATGTATTAAATAATCATGAATATTCTTTTCAATAGTTTATTAAATTTCTTTCTTTTTTCTTCTTTTAGTTGACTATGGAATATTTAAATTATTTACTCGATGTATATTTCTTTAGTCCTGAGGAACTAGCCAAGAACAGCGCTGTATTAACATGGAAAACACGAATTATTCCTGAATTCGATGCAAATGACAAAGTAATTTTGATTATATAATGATATCTCGTATCACGTTATATAGTTTAAAGTCTATTAAGGAAATCGGTATGTGATCATACCACCAAATGAATTCCCACTATTTTGGTGGAGTTTTGTTCTCTGAGCTCCACCAAAATCATCCACCTGAGCTACAAATCTTCTCCACCATCTCAGAATTCCCACTATGTTACACTTAATTTTATGTTATTATAATTGGAGGTAGGGATTAGAAAGTCAAGAGTGTATGTTTCTTGTTTATTAGCATTCATCGATAAGACATGTCGGTGAGACTATAATTTATGGACGAACCAATCAGATCTAAGATAACAGGTCTCGGATTTTGGTGCGAAATTCACTCATCCATTTGGCTAAATACATTTTTGGTATTATAACTGATATCAGTTCGTGATCAAAACCCTGAATGTAATTCTTAACCTTAATTATCAACTGTAAATCATAATTCTAATTCCTCACGCTGGTTTATAACTCACATTCGGTCCTAGTTAATAGATGAACAATCTCAAAGTCACTTTAGTATCACTGAAAGGTCGTCCATAAATTATAGTCTCACCAATATATCTATCCAATTTAGGTGATTTATTTCCTATACAAGGTTCCAAGTATTATCAATGAGTGTCATAGTTTGAGGTGCTCTATTTGCCATTAATTACTCTTATGACTAAGATGTTTACAACCATTAATCACTAAAAAACTAATCAATTGATGTTATGTAATTACTTATTAACAAAAAAGAAATGAAATTCTGTATAATTCATTTCAGTTACAAGAACGAATGCGTTCAGTTGGTGAAGCAGCTGTTGTAGCAAAACGTGAAAAATTAATAGCTGAATTAAATCGATTGAAAAATCGTGTTGATGAATTTAATGATTATGGTGAAATAGATGCTGAAATGCAAAATCAATATGTTCAAGATGTTCGAGAAGTTTTAAAACGTCTTCAAGATGCAGAAAATGAAAAAATATGGATTAATAAAGAAGAGGATTTATATAAACTTCCAATTAGTAATTATCCTGAAGTAGAAGAGATTCGAAATTTAGCTGAACCATTTCTCAAATTATTTACTACTGTAGTTAAGTATACTAAATCAGAAAGACGGTAAGTAAAGTGTTTTAATATGTAAATGATTTGTTGTATATTTGAAATTTATTAAGTTAATATTTCATCATAACGTAATATTTAGACAAGGAAACATATATGATCAACATAGAACCTGGAACTGATGCACACTGACTCGTGTTGCTATTTCAAATTTGCACAAAGAGATAAAAATAACAAAATGAACAGTAAAAGAGATCTAAATAGCGTAATAGAAACGATCAACAGAAAAAGTGGACATTGAGAAATGGTTTAAGGTGATCGAGTGGAAAAGCTTGTAAAAATCTATAATGAAATTCAATATTTAAGGGAACATATAGATTGAATCCACAAGTGATTCTGATCCATGTAAATTGATATATCTCAATGGTGATGGAGGCTATGAAGCTGGCTACAACCAATTAGGTTTCATCTATCGACACGACTCAGACTATTGGTTCATAATTTCATCGATTCATACTATATCTTCATTTAGTCACCCCTCATTTTCTCCCAATTCACTCCTGTACTAACGACCATGATTCTAGGACTTTATTACAATAAATTAAAAACTTATTTCGAAATGTCTGATTATCTATTATTACGTTGCGAATAGTAGATATTCGCGAACCTGAATAAATTTGTTGATAAAGAATAGTAGACATATTGTTTAGAAAACTATAGTTTCTCATGGTATTCCCAATTGAAACTTTCTTACTTTAGGGTAATATTTTTATGGTTATTATCTAAAATATTCATGACATCAACTTGATTTATCTTTGAAAATGGAATATTATTATAGAAATAACAGACAAGTACTTTATATTCAATAAATCTTTTCAATATTCAAAATCTAGTTGGCTTTATGGTGAATTTGATAAGTTAAACGCTGAAGCAATCGATGCTGAAGTAGAAGAATATTGGCGTGAATTATACAAACTCCAGAAATTTTTCACAGCGAAATATAAAAAAATGACTATGGAAGCAGATGAAAGAAATAAAGCACGAAAAAAGCGACGTCGTTTGGCAAGTATTGACACAGGTACAACAGTTCCAGATGTGACAAAGGAAGATGTTACTACGATAGTTGAACAGGAAGACGACGAAATGGAAGAGGTTAAACCGCCTGCAGCTTTAAATATAATTAAAGATGTTCAAAATGAAATGAAGAAATTTAAGGTGAAACTTCTTTTACTTAAAATTGATTAATGTTAAAATGGACACCTATTAAAATTTATCATTCATATATATTTGACACTCAACATTTATCACCCACAGACAACCAACTTCAGATTTTTGAAAAAGTAATAATTAACGTTTAAATATTTGTGAATTTATTAGTTAAATTCATGAGTCAACTGAAGCTAGATCACCATGGAAAATCTGGAAGCATCGGATGGCCGTCTCGTCATGGTATGGAACTCCACGATCCCGCCTCGCGGGATTCAAGCCCAGGATCTATCAGTCTTGCACGTGAGCGCTCGACCACCAGACCACTGAGTCGGTTGGCATTCAACGGTGTTAATGTCTAACTTCAACTAACCCACAAAATTGAGCGAAACATCCATCATTGTTATCATTGAGTTAATATCTCATAACTGACCCGGTTAAACTCTACTGGTCAGTGCTTCTCACTAAAACTTCAGGATATACATCTTGAAGCCAGTCACTAGTGAGCATATGTTGAATAGTATCAGAAGGGGATTTGTGGAGATTGTAATAATTTCAATGGTTGAGATCATGTAAAACCGCAAAACACTGGACGGCGGTTTCGTCTTATTGCGGGACTCCCTAGCAGTGCCCACCTACGACCCCTCTTCGCGGGATTCGAACCCAAGACCTGTCATCTTGACTGAGTATTTAAAGTTTAGAGAATAATTCTCACATGTTATGTGTTAAGATATTATCTAATAACAACCTCTTCAAATCATGTAATCAGACCTTAAATACGTAATATTTTACCATTTTAATTAACCCTCCATTCCATACAAATTTTTTCCTAGAACTATTGTAATGACTCAATTAATTTCACTTTAGAAATTCTGGATATCTGCATTAGAAATTCGATTTATACTGAAGTTCATCACTGGTTTATTAACTTATACAACACATTGATGTCAAGTAAATAACAGTATAAAAAGTAGCTACAAATGGAAAGACGTCGGTAATTTTAGATTTGCTTATAAGTGTCTTTCAGTGTTGATTTTTCGAAATATGACCAAAATGTATTCATAAAGCATCTTGATATCTTACTAGTTATTTAACTAATCGAAACTAGCTTTGATGAAAACTGCTTACTATCGCATTATTGGTTACTACATAATATATTTAGGGAACTCTATTTGCACATTTAAGTAACTGTTTTATAGGTTTCAAAAATAAAAATGATCAAACTTTATTACCTATGAAGTTTATCAGGTCTGTGTCAAGATCGATTTAGAGATAAATGCTAGCTGTTGACGAATAAAAGCAACTGTGAGCTAGAAAACTTATGTAATGAAATCTAGAACCAATATCTGTGCAGGTTTACTGATTGACTAACATCATGTCGTAATTTTTCTGTAAGCCTTATAAGTATGGAGCAAACTAACGATACATAATTTTCAGCAGTGAATATTCTCACCAGTACTTCTAATAGTGACAATTTACCATATATATGTATATACTCAAGATAATTAAGTATCAATTATCTTAGTGACAAAGCTTCATTGTCGAAGAGATCTTCTAGTCAATCTATAATGTAGTATCTTTACTATGATAGGTCGTTTGTAGTTGACAAAAAAAGTGGTACAATGAATCTTTGCTTCTTATCATCAAGAAAAGTGAAATGAATTTTCCATACATTCAAACGCAGTTCAACTCGAACATTTCAGTCAGGATGATAAGCCAATTACTCATTCCCACTTACAACAAATTATTGACTGAAGTTGATACATACTCCAGTCGATTGTGAAAATGATCTTCAAATAACTTGAAACTTATTTCTTGTAAAATAAATACGGTATCATCTTAATTATAAAGCAACATTACATTTGGCAGCCTATAAGTCTTGGCTAATACTTAAGATTGTGAAATCATTGATTGAAATCACTATGCGATTGTATAATGTTCTAACTACTTCTCGGTTTTTTTCCCCCCATCAAATTAAAGGAAAATATACCAATTATTGCGATATTATGCAATCCAGGTATAAGAAAACGACATTGGGATATAATGTCACAAATAGCTGGTAAAGATTTAACACCAGATAGTGGTACATCATTAGCTAAAATGCTTCAATTAAATTTAGATTCATTTATGGAACAATTTGCTAGTATATCAAGTGGAGCTAGTAAAGAATTTACTTTAGAAACTAATATGAATAAAATGCATGATGATTGGACTGAAATATCATTTAATTTAATTCCATATCGTGAATCTGGTATATTTATACTTGCCTCTGTTGATGATATACAACAAATGTTAGATGATCAGATTAGTAAAACACAAACAATGCGAGGATCACCATTTATTAAACCATTTGAAAAAGAAATTAAAGTAAGTTTATTTAGAAAATATTTGATAATCATTTATTTATCATAAACTAATATCGTTTAAAGTAACCTTAACAGTCTAATAGCAGTAAACATATACCTTATCATCAGGTATTTACCTATAATAATGAGGACCTATGATCACAAATGAGGTTGAGTATAAAGGGTTCAATACCACTGAGTTAGAACTTAGTAATTCATATTTTATTGTTGTCTCTTACATTTGACACGATTGAATTCGTAGGTTGTTACTGGCTTTATTAAGGATGTCAATTTGTAGCTGGAACTCTCTTTAAAAACTGAAACTATGTACAGAAAACTACAGAATTAAATAACATTTATCCTTCTCATGTCAACCAAAATAACCTTAACTGATATCATATGAAGGGAACTAAATATATGGGATACAACATATGCCACTTAGTACGCATAACCTTAAACTCAACAAATTCGTTTGACGTAATGAGACTGCAAGAAAACTCTGGATACGTTTTGGGAATAAACAAATACTTTGTAAGCAATGATAGATAGTGGCTAGCAGTAGAATCTAGGACACGCGTTTCGTCCTATTTTGAACTCGTCAGCTGGATGTACCTGCATCTCAGAGTTGATGTTCACTCTGGGACTCGAACACAGTAGCATCCGCTTCAAAGGACTATCAGGACTCAGTAGCTGAGGGAATAATGCGATGGCGTTTGAATCGAATGGTAGTGGGTTCGAGTCTCAGGGTGAACATCAACTCTGAGTTGTAGGCACATCCAGCTGACTAGTCCCAAATAGGACGAAATGCGTATCCTAGATTCCACTGCTAGCCATTATCCATCACTGATTACAAAACGCTTGTGAATTATGGCAATATCGAGGCATACGCACAGTATGCACATATGCCGATAACAGACTGATCAGTTGCCATCTGAAACCTCAATGGGAAGATACAAGCCAAACAATACCAAGTGAAACAATACTTTGATTCGATTAATTATAACTAGGATAATTCACAACTTTAAATTACTACTTGATTATAAATGACCTTGACATACATAGGAAATCAATGTTTGAAAACGCTTCTCATCATAAATTTAGTTAGTCTTCTCACAAAACGAAAAGGTTAACTCCTTTTGACTTTAAAAATATGTCTGATTGCAGTTCGACTACTAGCCAATGTGGCTCAATATCGTGATACATCATGCTTGATGTTAGGTGTTTATAAAGGATCAACATGAAGCCCTGGATATTTACATTGTTCAAGTCTGTATTCATCACCAAATTATTTCCGACATTTTGAAAACAAAACGGTAGTAACCAATGACAATAATATTAAGTTATCTGCTCAACAACTTAAAATTTTATTGTTTCATTTTTGTAATGTTTTCAAGTATGTATAATTTTGTTCTTGATAGGCATGGGAAGAACGTCTTCTGCATATACAAGAAACATTAGATGAATGGTTAAAAATGCAAGCTCAGTGGTTATATCTAGATCCGATATTTAGTTCAGAAGATATTATGCAACAAATGCCTGAAGAAGGACGTCTTTTTCAAGTTGTTAATCGTAATTTCAAGGATATCATGAAAAATACAGCTAAAGATCCAAATGTTTTGAAGGTACATTAAAAATGTGAATTTTATTTACTTGCTTTGATTAAACACATATAATGACATGATACTAATTCCCTATTTCAGTGTATTAATTTCTAACAAACATATTCAGTTACAAATTGTAATTATACATCATAGGGAATCATTCTACTTATGTTATTCCACAAATTTGTAGACAGTGTTTATTTAGAACCAAATCTGTTGAGATCTGACGACCACAATAGACAAGTTTCATTCTAATCCCAATATTCACAAACTTAATCCAATGTCCAAACCATCATATTAATAATCATACAAACATTAACCGGGTGGAAGTTTCTTAACAACCATTGACTTTTAATTCCCTACCAATCGTAAGTGAACTACAAAAAGCAATCAAAAATGGTATCACTAGACACCTGTGACAAAATTTGGGCTCGATTTTTCAGCATTTCATTAGATAGATATTACAAATAATTCAATATGAGTGATATTTTATGTAGCTGTATCAATTCTACCCTCCATTCTAATATAAAGCAAGCATAAAATAAGCAATTTTAATGGTTGAGAACATGAGTCAATTGAAGCTAAACAACTATGGAAAAGCTGGAAGCACTGGACGACAGTTTCGTCCCAGTATGGTACTCCTCAGCAGTGAGCATCTACGATTCTGCCTCACGAGATTCGAACCTAGAACCTACCGGTTTCGCTATAGGTTTGCTATCTGAAATCGAAGTAAAACACGTATCCCAATAGAACACATACATACTGTCCCTTATTTACTGAAGTTTGGGAAACTAGATAACTAAACCCTTCATTTAATTCAATCCTTATTTTTATTTAATCTAAAAATCCTAAGCCTTTCCGCTATGTGTACGAGAGATACATAAATGTGATCACTTTTCACAGTCTAAATTATTCATGCTCCACAAGAGATCGCATATTTTTAATCAAATATAGACATAGATACAGAATATGTATTCAGTGATGCTTTAATTTTCAAACTACTCATACAGAGATCACATAAGTATCTACCAATTATCAGTAACTGACTAATGAATATCATTAATATATTAAGTTTTTCTATGGAAAAAAGAATTTGAAAAAACACATATAATTATTAGAAGGGGTTTTGTGGAGATTTTAAAAATTTCAATAGTTGAAATTATGTGTATAATTGAAGCTAGACCACCAATAATCATCTGCTCACTAGTGACTGACCTCAAAATTCATTTCCTGGAGTTCTAGTAAGAAACCGTTACCAGTGGAGTTTAACCAAGTCTGTTGTGAGATATCATCTCACTGAAGACAATGGTGTACGGTGGCGCAATTTCGTGGACTGGTTGAAGTTAGACATTACCACTGTTGATTGCCAGCTCAGTGATCTAGTAGTTAAGCGCTCGAGCGTGAGACTGATTAGTCCTGGGTTCGAGTCTTGAGGTAGGCGGTATTGTGAATGTGCACTGCTGAGAAGTTCAATACTAAGACGAATTGGCCATGCAGTGCTCCCAAGTTTTCCTTAGTGCTCTAGCTTTAATTGACATGTATCATTATCATTTTAACTTAGAATATTCTTGTTGTTTTTCCTTTTTTTTTCTTTTTTTTTTCTTCTCAAACACAATCAAACAATCAAACAATCAATATAGGCAACTGATTTTCTTGGAATATTAGAAAAAATTAAAGATAGTAATGGATTATTAGATAAAATTAATAAAGGTTTAAATGCTTATTTAGAAAAGAAACGTTTATATTTTGCAAGATTTTTCTTTTTATCTAATGATGAAATGTTAGAAATATTATCTGAAACAAAAGATCCATTACGTGTACAACCACATTTAAAAAAATGTTTTGAAGGTATAGCTAAATTAGAATTTGATAAACAATTGAATATTAAAGCAATGTATTCAAGTGAAGGTGAAAAAGTTCAATTTAGTCAGGTAATTATATTTTGATAAATGAATATATTTAATCAATAAATTTTAATGATAAGACTATAATTTATAAACAAACCAATCAGTTTTATGATAATAAGCCTGAACACCGGTTACCACGACGCTCAATCCTAACCGGTGTTGGAGATGGTTGGAAGAAAATAAAGGGTGGCCAAACCAAAATGTGGCATCAGTGCTTGAAGTCACTAACTTCTAGTCTGAGCCATGTTGGTAGATGCAGACTACTTGGTTGTGGTCCGTGTGACTTTCGTAACCAATGGTTGGAGACTCTTGGTGACATGGCCCAGAACCGATCACAATGGCATCGGTGTATACACTCTCTTTCTTCCCTTAAACTATGAGATTAAAATCACTTCATATCTTTCTTTCTACTAACTAATTCTTTCTTCTTATACTTTATCCTTATATGCAATCTTTCTCCTATATATTACCACCATTGGTCTAGCCACTCTTATGAATCGGGTGCTCATCTTGTTGTGCTAATGCGGTATGGCAACCTGGACCGCTGGATATATGTGCCTGGTCCTACGTTGTAGCTGACTGACTGACTGAACAGATCTTGCATTTAAGCGCGACATTCACTCATCCATTTGGTTAAATAGAGTTTTGGCATTATATAGCTGATGTCAGTTCGTGATGACAACCCTAATCTTAACTATCAACTGTAAATCATAAATCTAATTCTTCACGCTGGTTTATAACCCTCATTTAGTCCCAGTTATTAGGTGAACACTCTCATGGTCACTTTAGTATCGCTGAAAGGTCGTCCATAAATTATAGTCTCACCAATTCAATGAATTAATGAGTACAAGAATTTTATCATTGAAAGCAAATTAATCATTATAAAATCATTTCAAATCAAAAATTAAGTTTAGTTAGATACCGCAATAACAATGAAGCGTTAGTATTTGTTTTATTGTGAATGACTTTGTGATTATAAGTTCTAGTAAGGCTTAAAAGTTCTCAATTTCATCTATGGTCTGTGGAGAAATCTTGGGGTTTTTTAATTAAGCCATACTACCCCCTAACTGTTTCTATGATCATTCTGATTACATTTAATCTCAATTTCAATAAAATTTATTTTATCATGCTGAGTCATCGTTTCCTAATGATAATTTCCCAATCTATCATTTGATGAATACTTAAGTCATTAACAATCAAACTACTATAACTGTGATGCTGCAGATTAGAGGAGAGCGAATTTATCGACCGGACAAAAGACGCAAAAACACGTAAGAACGGCCTAGGGTTCTGATTAGTCCCGCTTCCCTGTCTAGCCCAGCCAGTTGAGTCCAGAACACAAGTCTCAGCCTCGAATATATGAATCATTATACTTCAAACACACCCTGTTTATATACTAATCAAGTAGACCACATCGTACCATAAAATACAAAATAACATTGTACAATATTGACCAGTAGGAAAATGACACGTGAAATAAGTACTGACCAGTAAGAAAATAATACCATCTCCAAGTTCAAGAATAGCATTAGACTTAATAGAATAATTTTTTGGGATATTTTCCTGAATATCCCAACACAAACGATTATTAAACTTTCCTTGTTTTAGAAAATTTTTTTAATACCTTAGTTTATTCAACCTCACTGTCACCATGTATAACATAAGTTTATTATCAGTATTATTATCATCTTGTTAAGATAAGTGTGTATATTTGCGATTGTACAGCTATGAAAATGTATTCGCCGAAAAGAGAACTCTTCGCTGAATTAATCTTTCTTATTTAATGTCTTAATGGGTGTACTCCGTTTAATAAAACAATTGTTTGCTACTCCACAATATTTAATAAATCTTTATTTAAAATCAATGCTTGACCACTGACTATCCCTATCAGCAATGTTTTATGGTGTGGGTCTAGGTTGGATGAAAGTTAAGGGTAGTCAGTCAGTCAGTCAGTCAGCTACAACGTAGGACCAGGCACATATGTGCATCGGTCCAGGTTGCCATACCGCATCAACACAACAAGATGAACACCAGATTCATAACAGTGGTTAGGTAAAAGGTGGTAATATATAAGAGAAAGATTGCATATAGAGATATAGTACACGCAGAAAGAATTGGTTCGTAGAAAGAAAGATATGAAGTGATTTTAATCTCATAGTTTAAGGGAAGAAAGAGAGTGTATACACGTATGCCATTGTGATCGGTTCTGGGCCATGTCACCAAGAGTCTCCAACCATTGGTTACGAAAGTCACACGGACCACAACCAAGTAGTCTGCATCTACCAACATGGCTCAGACTAGAAGTTAGTGACTTCAAGCACTGATGCCACATTTTGGTTTGGCCGCCCCTAACTTTCTTCCAACCATTTCCAATACCGGATAGCATTGCACGTCGTGATAATCGGTGTTCAGGCATACGTAACACGTGGCCCAACCATCTCAGTCGATGAAGATTCATAACCTCATCAACTGATTTACCATCCTTTCCTAATACCCTGCGTCTAACCTCACTATTACTTACCCGGTTATCCCAGAAGACGCCAGCAATATTTCTTAGGCATCTGTGGTCAAATACCAATATCTTACTAGTGTCTTCTACTCTTAATGGCCATGTTTCGCTGCCGTAAATTAAAACAGAACGGACTGCCGCGCAGTATACTCGTCCTTTTATTGATAGACGGATATCTCGCCTTCGCCACAGGTGACGTAAGTTGGCAAAAGCCAAACGAGCTTTTCGAATCCGTGCTGAGATTTCGTCCGATACTAACCCATTAGGGCTGATCAGACTTCCAAGATAAGTGAAGTTGTCAACGCGTTCGACTACTTCACTCCCTATCCTTAGTTCAGGTGTTAACGCAGACCAGTCCTGAAGCAACAACTTGCATTTAGAGGGAGAGAAGCGCATTCCAAACTTCCTGGCATTGTTGCTCAGTGCTACCAGAAGACTCTGCATTTTGTCAGCGTCTTCACCAAACAGGATTATGTCATCTGCGTGTTCTAAGTCGATAAGTGGATCTCCTGGATGGAGATCAATACCCGAGAACTCAGTCGACGAGAAAGTTATTTCCATCAGTAGATCTATGATGAAGTTAAACAAAAATGGGGAAAGTGGACATCCTTGACGGACACCACTTGAGGTTGCAAAACTAGATGACAGTTCGCCATAAGCTCTCACTCGACTAGTAGTGTTCGAGTAAAGAGCCTTTACAAGGTTTATGTACTTCTGGGGTACGCCTTTCAATGACAGACACTGCCACAGAATCTCGCGGTCTACCGAGTCAAATGCTGCTTTTAAGTCAAGAAAGACCACCATCGTCGGACGCCGATAAGTATGCCTGTGTTCTAGAACCTGACGAATGGTGAATATGTGGTCGATGCTGCCACGACCAGGTCTGAAGCCAGCTTGATTTTCTCGTGTTTGCAGTTCACGAGTTTTAGTTAGGCGTCTGATTATTATTGAGGCTAGTATTTTAGATATTATATTAGTTAAACTAATCCCTCTGTGGTTATCACAGGATGATTTTGACCCTTTCTTATATATTGGGACGATAAGTGATTGTGACCAGTCAGATGGAATAACGTCTAACTCCCAGATCTTAGCTAAAATATTAGTCAACCTAACCGCTAAAATTGGACCACCATCCTTAAAGACTTCTGGAGCCAGTCCATCTGGACCAGCAGCCCTTCCTCGTTTCAGATTATCTATAGCCTTTCGAACTTCAGCAAGAATTGGGAGACCTACCTTGACGTGGTGATCGGGCTTGCCTATCGTGATGAAGCAACCGAGCTATACTGGCTGGAACAACCGTTTCTCAAGGTCCTACCATGTCAGACAGGTCGGTTGAAGAGCGGTAAGATTAAAAGCAACAAACCTAAGGTCCGAAGGCGAAGTCGTACTGCTGACTGTACAGAGGTGTGACAGAAGTAATGTGTTTCCTTCAGACAACCAGCATGACAGCGATGCTGCCTTCCCACAAGGAGGGGTGAGGTTAGAAAAGGTCGACCCTAAAAATGCACACCTCACCTTACCTCACGGATTTCCGTCTCCGGCGGTAAGGCTCTTTGAAGAACGGAGCTAAGACGTCAAAAACCTTCCACAAAAAGGCTGTGCGCGACCGGCCTCAAGCAGTTGTCCCTTGGGCACTGCGGTCACGCTCTCAGGTCGCTGAGACCGCCTCTAATCCAATTTCCTTTTCAGGTACCTCCAAAACAACCCTTCTACGGTGTGGGCAACCGGGAAGTGATAACCGCCCTCATACCTCTAACAGCACCAAAGACCACTGTATTCATAAGGGTAGTCAGACCAAAACATGTCACAAATCCATGAAGTCATTGACAAGTGAACTGAGTCATGTTTGGTTGGTGTAGACTAGCTGATTGGGATCCGCGAGACGATAGTAAACGATGGTTAGAGGCCTTGAATGACATGGCTCAAAATTGTTTGCAATAACTCAGGTGCATCCACTCTTTGCGCTCTCCCGAATTCTAATCTTCTATATTATTCATATCCTTTTTTTTCTCTTGCCAAATTTATTTCACTGGTTTTTACTGCTTGAATAACATCTTCAAACCCTAATCTTCTTGATTACTGTCTATAATTTTACTACCTTTTTCACCATCAGATGTGAATCAACAACTGCATTACTTTGATAATGGCAACTTAAACTGATGTACGTACGTACGAAGTTCTACGTTGTTGCTGACTGACTGATTAAAATTAATCCATTATGATGACTGTTTTTAAAATCTCCAAATACACCTTGCAATAATAATGTATTGGTTCCAGACGTTCTTGTTGCGCTAATTGAACTTAAATCACTGTCATCAAAACGGTGGCGATCAGATAATTCTCAGTTTTTAAACATATTAGGTCAATAAATTTGAAAGGTTTTGAAACTTTAGATATAATTCGTGATAATATTTTATTGTGTGGACTTATATCCACTTTTGTTTACCAAATAGTGTGAGATCTTGGTAAACCAAATTATGTTACGAGCAAAGATGGATGGCGGCTGGCAATGAAGTCCAGGACGTATGTATCGTCCTAATTGATGTTTGTCAGCCGGATTTACCTGCATCTAAGAGTTGATTTTCACTCCGAGACACAAACCAAGTACCGTTCGATTCAAATACCATTGCCTTGTGACTTAAGGCAATAAGGGAGTAATCCGCACAGGATGCACATTTGCCATTCGGAGACTGATCAATTGCAGTACTATACATCATTGAAAAGATTCAAACAAACAATAGAAAATGAATTCAAATTATGCTACTTTTAAATAATAAGTAGTTCGAATATCAGAAGCAAATAATTTACATTCAGCAAGATACAACATTGACGTACATATTTTTTCTGTTCGTATAAAGTTACCGAATCAATTATTGTTTGATTTCCTATCGTGTTTACACGTTATCTATCCTATCAATTTAATAAGTAATATTAGTTCACTTTATGTTATATTTATCAGCAGTCAGATTAACAGAGGTAAATGGGAATTAAATTCTAATTTTGTACCCTTTAATCATATGGTAGTTTTCAATACCAGTATACTTTCTTTCATGAATACTTTTCTTAGCCAATAAGTACATCAGAAGCACGTGGTTCGGTGGAAAAATGGCTATTACAAGTAGAAAAGATAATGCTCATGTCTGTTCGTGATGTGATAGCAGCTGCTAGAGAAGTAGGTTTCCATATTTTGTAGCAAAAGTTTTAAATAAGAATATACAGGTAAGAAATAGAAAGGTTTTCATTGTATATTTATTTGAGAATAAACATGAAATGAGGTAAGCTATCTGAGGTTACAGATCAGTTAGACTATCACTTTTTATCCTACAACTAGAAAGTATACTTTTTGTACGTGATTTGTATCAACTATCAAAACGTTGTGACTAAGCGTTATACCTTCGTCAGAATATGTTAAGATTGATGATCTCTTGACATGTTACAACCATTCATAGGCTTTTCTAAATGTGTTATTTATGCTCAAATGCTAACTACTTTGTAGCTCATTTGTCCATTGGTAAAAAGTTATTAGGTTATAAGATTGAAAAATATTTCTTTCTATATTTATTTGTACATACGCGACTTTTCGGCATCTAAATGGAAATATAACCAGTAGTAAGTTAAATGTAAGAATTAATTTCTTGGTCATTTTTAGTGGCTCTTTATCAGAATTCATATCAGAAGATTGCGGGTATGAATCACATCGGGCTCACTACTTTAATGGCCTGAGATCTGTTTCCATTTATACTGTATGAATGTTTATACATTAGTTGATTCAATTTTGCTTAATAAAGCTGTACACGGAAAATCATGTGGTGGTACTTAATAAATTGCCTGTGACAATCTACTGACCCAATATCTTTCTCCAATTAGATTGTATGAATGATTGTTAGTGATAATATTACATATCGTCAATCGTCATATATATTTATCGACTTAATCCGCGTTAGTGAAAAAGTAAATTGAATGAGTCGACTATGAAAATGGATGTTTGAATACGTGTATTTTGTACACACGTTGATTTGAACAGACAATTAGAGAATCTCAGCGAATGAGGCGAAGAAGAGAGAACGAAGCAAAACGAAAAGACGTGCAGTGGAGAAGGCGTATGAGCTAACTCCTTCTAACTAAGCATTAATCATTGTTTATAGTCCGATAATTTACAGATATGATGAGTAAGATAAGAAGTGCATACACATACATTCATATAAAAACAGTCAATATTGATAACTTACTTACTTACGCCTGTTACTCCTCGTGAAGGAGCATAGGCCGCTCACCAGCATTCTCCATCCAACCCTGTCCTGGGCAATCCTTTCTAGCTGCGTCCAGTTGTAATTCATCGTTTTCATATCTGCTTCTATTATCCGACGCAATGTGTTCTTTGGCCTTCCTCTTTTTCGCTTCCCTTCAGGATTCCAAGTTAGGGCTTGTCTCGTGATGCAGTTTGAAGATTTGCGTAATGTATGTCCTATCCATTTCCATCGTCTTTTCCTAATTTCTTCTTCAGCTGGAAGTTGGTTTGTTCTCTCCCACAGAAGGCTATTGCTGATGGTATCCGGCCAATGGATGTTGAGTATCTTGCGTAGACAACTATTTATAAATACTTGTACTTTCTTGATGGTTGTTGTTGTAGTTCTCCAAGTTTCAGCTCCATACAGTAGGACTGCCTTGACGTTGGTATTGAAGATTCTCACTTTGATATTGGTTGAAAGTTGTTTTGAGTTCCATATGTTCTTTAACTGTAGGAATGCTGTCCTTGCTTTGCCAATCCTTGCCTTTACGTCTGCATCTGAACCTCCTTGTTCATCGATGATGCTTCCCAGGTATGTGAAGGACTCTACATTTTCCAGAGTTTCGCCATCAAGAGTGATTGGGTTGTTGTTTTCCGCTTTGAATTTGAGGACTTTGGTTTTCCCTTTGTGTATGCTGAGGCCTACTGATGCAGACACTGCTGCTACACTGGCTGTCTTCATCTGCATCTGTTCATGTGTACGTGATAGGAGGGCTAGGTCATCTGCGAAGTCCAAATCGTCTAATTGATTCTGAGCTGTCCATTGAATTCCGTGTTTTCCTTCAGATGTCGAGGTCTTCATAATCCAGTCGACCACCAGAAGAAAGAGGAAGGGAGAGAGTAAACAGCCTTGTCTGACTCCGGTCCTTACTTGGAATGCATCTGTCAGCTGTCCTCCATGCACGACTTTGCACTGTAGTCCGTCGTATGAGTTCCGGATAATATTGACAATCTTCTCAGGAACTCCGTAGTGTCGAAGAAGTTTCCATAACGTCCTCCTATCCACACTGTCAAATGCCTTTTCATAATCAATGAAGTTGATGTATAGTGATGAGTTCCACTCAACTGATTGTTCGACGATGATCCGTAGTGTTGCAATTTGGTCTGTGCATGATCGATCCTTACGGAATCCAGCTTGTTGATCTCGAAGTTGGGCGTCTACTGCATCTTTCATTCGGTTCAGCAACACTCTGTTGAAGACCTTCCCAGGTATTGACAGCAGTGTAATGCCTCTATAGTTTTCACATTTGCTCAGATCTCCTTTCTTAGGAATCTTGACGAGGTGTCCTTCTTTCCAGTTCATCGGCACTTGTTCCTCTTCCCAAATCTTTTTGAATAGAAGATAAAGCATGTTTGTAGTTGCTTCGATGTCTGACTTCAGTGCTTCAGCTGGTATGTTGTCCGGACCCGCTGCTTTCCCGTTCTTGATTTGTCTGACGGCCATTCTGATTTCTTCCTTCGTTGGTGGGTTGACGTCTATGGGAAGATCTGTGTGTGCCGCTTCGATGTCCGGTGGATTCATTGGAGCCGGCCTATTCAGGAGTTCCTCGAAGTATTCTACCCATCTGTTCCGCTGTTGTTGAATTTCGGTGATTGGCTTGCCTTCTTTGTCTTTGACCGGTCTCTCTGGTTTACTGTATTTTCCTGCTAGTTTCTTCGTTGTATCGTAAAGCTGTTTCATAATTCCTTCTCTAGCAGCTTTTTCTGCTGTCGTTGCTAGTTCTTCCACATATTTCTTCTTGTCGGCTCTAATGCTCCTCTTCACTTGTTTGTTTGCTTCTATGTATTCAGCTTGTGCTTGGACTTTCTCTGCTCGTGTTCGGCTGTTGTTTATTGCTGCCTTCTTGTTCTTCCTTTCTTTGATCTTGTCCAGTGTTTCTGTAGAGATCCATTCCTTATGATGGTATTTCTTTAGACCCAGAACCTCTTGACACGTTGAAGTCAATGCTTCCTTGATGCCTTTCCAGTTGTCCTCCATACTAGTTTCTTCTTCTTTCAGTAGATCTTGTAAGGCTTGGAACCTGTTGTTGAGAGCTATCTTGAATTCATTGAGTTTGTCAGTATCTCGAAGGAAGGCTGTATTGAACCTTTGTATTGCTGTTTGTCCACTTGTCCAGTTCTTTTTTAGCTTCAGTTTTAAATTGGCCACAACTAGGTGATGATCTGAAGCTACGTCAGCACCTCTCCTGGTTCTCACATCTTCCATTGTCCTTCTGAATTTTTTGTTGATGCAAATATGATCTATTTGGTTCTCTGTAGTGTGGTCCGGTGAGATCCATGTAGCCTTGTGTATACGCTTGTGTGGAAATATTGTGCCTCCTATGACCAATTTGTTGAATGCACATAGATTTGCAAATCTTTCTCCATTTTCGTTTCTTTCTCCCAGTCCATGTCGTCCCATAATATCTTCATATCCCGTGTTGTCTATTCCGACTTTGGCATTTAGATCTCCCATCAGAATAGTTAGGTCCTTCCTTGGGCATTTCTCAATAACTGACTGCAGCCGCTCGTAGAACTGATCTTTAATGTCGTCGTTGCTATCATTTGTGGGTGCATAACATTGGATAATATTCATTAAGATCCCCTCCTTCTTTGTTTTGAATGATGCTTTGATGATTCTGGATCCGTGGGATTCCCATCCTACAAGTGCATTTCGTGCTAATTTGGACAGCATAAGAGCGACTCCCTGAGTGTGTGGAGCATTGTCCTCTTCGTGACCGGAGTATAGCAGCATCTCTCCTGTAGCTAGCCTTTTCTGTCCAGCTTGGGTCCAGTGGGTTTCGCTGATTCCCAGTACTGCTAAGTTGTATCTCCTCATTTCCATTGCTATTTGACTGGTCTTCCCGGTTTCCCACATTGTTCGAACGTTCCATGTACCTATAAAAATTTTTGCTCTGGTTGTTAGAAGGGGCATCGGCCTCTTGGCTTCCGAAGGAACTCGGCTTTCACCATGAAGCGTCATAATTCTTCTAAATGAAGACCTTCTAACTCCCAGGGCAGAGTTTAAATGGTTTGGATTATTTTTTCTGGTTAGCGTTTTTTTAGCGAGTTAGTTTTCTACGGGATGGGGACGCTAACCCCATGCCCAACCCTCCTCCTTTACCCGGGCTTGGGACCGGCAGTAACCCTATAAGAGCTACAGGCGGAGTTCAATATTGATAAGCGAATAATTAATTTAGGTCAATACTTGACTCAAGAAGAATGGATAAATTGGCCTGACCCGAAGCCAGAATAAATTATGTGGGCTTAATATAGTAACCGACACTACACATTTGTAGCAATCATTAGTAAGAATTAATTTTCCTTCAGCTACTCATATTTCCTTAAGAATATTTATTTGTATAACTCTGTTTTCAAATACAGGCTTCATCAACAAACTTAGTTCACTGCAAATTATATAGTTTTATATATAGACCGGTCTTAAGCAATATAACCAATGAAGACTTAATAGTTGATTCGTCCTAGTATACTTAAGCTTAATGGTGCTTATCCAAGGACCAACATAGAATCAAATCAAACCAAACATCTAAGGTTCTTGAACCAAGCATTCAAACTTCAAAACATCAAGTTTTTATTCAAAGACCTATATTTATTACTTTGCTCGATTCGTGATATTCCACCACCCGCATAGTAACTGTTAACAGGTTTAATAAATACCCAATACACGTTATGTAAAGTATAACACTCATGTCAGAAGAATAAATCTATAGACATAGCAAACATCAATAAAGAAAATACATGTAATCAAGACTACAATAAATCTCATGTTGTATGATAACAAAACTGTTACTATTTAAATACCATCAAACAGTGAATAATCTAATTACTACAATTACAATCTCAAAACTCAGTTCCATTTTGTTTTTTTTAAAAAAAAGGCTTATGATAAAGAAGAACGTGAACTATGGGTATGTCAATGGCCTGGACAAGTTGTACTTTGTGTATCACAAATTTATTGGACATATGAAGTACATGAATCACTTATATATGGTATAAAAGGTTTAAAAAATTATTATCAAAAATTAGATCAACAAATGAATACTATTGTTAAATTAGTTCGTGGAAAATTAAATGCACAACAACGTATAACACTTGGTGCATTAGTTGTTATTGATGTACATGCACGTGATGTTGTACATGATATGATTAAATTAGGTGTTACATCAGAAAATGATTTTAATTGGTTATCACAATTAAGATATTATTGGGAAAATGAAAATGTTCAGGTAACTCATGTTGTCAAATAAGATTTTATGAATTCATTTTTATTGATTACATATCTGTTGCTGTTTTCATGTAAATATAATTTGAGTGTTTACAAGCATATATACCTATCAGTGATCATTTAGTGTAAATATCACTGTTCGAATAGTATCTCAGTCCTACAGAAGGTCAGTCACGGGCCGAATAGTTCAATGGTAACATCTCTGACTGCGAAGCTGGGTGACACGGATCGAATCCGTCAGGGAGAAACAGTTCCTTCAAGATTACAGGTACACCTTTCTGACGAGGGCCAAATAGCACGAAACCCTGGTCCATCTAATCTCGATATATAGTGCACGCGGTGTCGAGTCACCTAGAATGGTGGCCACATTGCAACATGGTCGATAGCATTCGATCTGCACTAAATAAAGACCTGACGCGTATGACATTGCTCACCACCCAGTATAGAGGGTAAAAAGTGTTCCACTCACCTGTCGGTGTTGGAAATATTGTTTTCTTGACAACTCCTCATGAACACGAAACCTCGATTTAAATGTTCGTTTTTGTTAAAATCAAACAGCTAGCATCAATCATCAGTAACTTAACAGGGAATGAATCCTTAATATAATCGAACTCAATGTTTTTAGTCTTCTGTTAAACATGAGTAAAATTTTTTGTACAAAGACTTTTTCCTTTTTATTGCAATTAGATATTTAAATTTTAATATATTTTTTACTAAACATAACAGGTCAAACTTACAAATGCTAAAGTATCATATGCTTATGAATATTTGGGTAATTCTCCCCGTCTTGTCATTACTCCACTTACGGATCGATGTTACCGAACATTAATTGGTGCTTATCACTTGAATTTGAATGGTGCTCCAGAAGGCCCTGCTGGAACAGGTAAAACAGAAACGACAAAAGATTTAGCCAAAGCACTTGCTGTTCAATGTGTTGTATTCAACTGCTCGGATGGCTTAGATTATATTGCTATGGGTAAAGTAAGAAAGTGTAATTAACTTTTATGTTTTTTTTCTTGAAAATATATAACGATTGTGGAGATTTTAGGAATGCATTTAAATATACTATTACAGTAATCAATATATGTTTGATCAATATCCCTCTGTCAAGCGAAAGACCAATACGATGAGTAGGAATACTCTCTGTTGTATATTACTGTTGTGAAACGTGCCCTATACAAATAGGGTATATTCGTAGAGTAGTTGTATTTAATTCTACATCCCATCAAACCACTGGCCTCATCCTTTAGGACAATCTAGTGAGTAACAATAATGTTATATTCAAAACAAACAATATTTAAGCGAAAAATTGTTTCCAATCACTTCTTCATCAGGCTCTACAGTTATACTCTATGATTATAGTGATATTTTACAAAGGCTATGCATTATTGAATTTGACATTATTGTATGTTAAAATGGTAAGCTTTCGCATATGTTACGACACAGATTCTTTGAAATTGTGTTATTTGTAAATTAGGAGGGTCATTTAAAAAAGGTTAGAATGATCCGTAGTAGTGTCAAGTTATAATCAATATAATAGTAACACAATAAATTGTGTGAATAAAATGTATAATATGAAAATTTCTTCTTTTCAGTCCAGGTGATAATAACAATTACGTTGTGTCAATATAATGTTAAGTAAGAGAGATGTTATCAAGGTAATTATCACAAAAAAGAATTCATGTGAATTAGGAAAGATGAATGTGTAGATTAAGAAAGATATAAACGCTCAAGGAATCGGGAGGGATCGGCACAAGTTCAAAATATTTAGATGAGATCCGGTTAATTACCGGGAATAACTCTATGCGTTGAGTAATAAACATATAAACAAGGAATATCTCAGTGATTCATGAAATCTATAAACCTAATCTTTTATCATCCATTTGGATCTTGGTATATGTTACAAAATCCGAACTGTCTTGTCTGCTCTTATGTGTTCTGCTTACTCCAGGCGTTCGACATACCGGAATTCTTCTCTCCATTTGACAAGCTTTGGAAACTTGTTGCACTACATACACATGAAATTAAATATCATTAATAATAATTTATTTTCTTCATTTTTAATGTATCATTAGTTCTTCAAAGGACTTGCTTCTTCTGGAGCATGGGCTTGTTTTGATGAATTCAATCGTATTGAACTTGAAGTTTTATCTGTCGTAGCCCAACAGGTAAAAATGAAAAAATAAAAATTTATGCGTATTATTGGATAAATGTTAGTTACTAAAGAAAATTTTTTTTGCAAAAATGTCTAGATTTCTAAATTGTTGTTCAACATTTTATAGATTTTAACTTTTGAGGTAAATCAGTTACTATTTCATGAATGTAATCATCACGATGCTGAAGGAATATATGTATATGTCATAAAATTAAGCTATCCGATAGAACTAGTTTCAGTATTTTTAAAGACAAAACACAGCTTACAATGCTTGGGATTGAATACAATATCGGAGCACTCGTCGCAGGATGCATATAACAATAAGAGACTGATCAATTTCAGTTTTAAACATTAATGGGAAAATTCAAGCAAACAATACAAAAATGAACTAAACTTCACCTAATTGCACAAGCTAGTGGCTATCTGGACTCAGCAGCTAAGTAGATAACGTGATAGCGTTTAGAGTAAACAGTACTGGGTTCGAATCTCTGAGTGAAAATCAACTCTGGTATACAGGTACATTCAGCTGATGAGTCACGATTAGGACGAAATGAGATTCCTGGGTTCTACTGCTAGCCGCTATCATGTCCGCTAATGATTTATATTTTATTTTCATATAGTTTTTTTTCCTGTTGAACTAGATTGATAAGCTGACAATATGAAGTCATATACGAATATATTGTTTTATCTAATATAAAGTACGATAATAGACCGAATAGCAAGCATGAAGTAAGAAATAAGTAAAACAATAGGATTTCTTCCCTTAATGGAAAGTTAGCTAGAGCAGTGCTCATGAGGTATATGTGTGTACACATTCGAAAGAAAGGTAATGTAAGCATACAAACTGTAAATCAAATAAGTTTCACTGTTTTTCAGATACTTGCTTAATATTTTGATGGAGTTTTGTTATCAGAGCTGGATGGTTTAGTCTTGGAGCTTTCATCGTTCTTCTGAATGGCATCATCAGCACAAACTTCAGATAGAAGTGAAGTGTTCGAATTTCTCCATATGCGTTTCACAGCTTGTCCTGTACACCTCGATGTTGATTGGTTTTTATTGACCTTAAATTGATTGTTTACTTCTTTGTTTTGGTTGTCTCCGATTGGTTTGATTTTTGTTCCTATATTTGTGTATGATTTTCCTGATTGGTTGATGAATTGGATTGATTTCAATATGCTTGTTGATTGCTGATTGACCTGAGCGCCAGGCTTCTCTGGTGTTTTTGGAATTTCCTCTGTCTAAGATTTCCACATTTTTCCAATCGAATGAGTGTCCACTTGTTCTGTACTCCTCGATGTTGATTGATTCTTATTGACCTTAAATTTGTCAAGCTGTGAAACGCATATGGAGAAATTCGAACAAAAATGTTGATGAATTACAGTCAGATCTGTAAAAATTAATATAAATAGTTTAGCTAATGTACATCATCATTGGTTAAATATTTGTATGAAGTGTTTAAGATCATGCATTGAATGGTTAAATAAGAAAATGATGAAAAGATTCATCCAATGGTTTTACTTAGTATGAACTAAGTCTGAACACAAAATCATTAGGTAAATCAATTGTTAATGTCTTTGGAATAAAGTAAATTTAATTAATCCATGGTTTATGTTAACATACTTTCACTAAAAACTATAGTACTACTACGTCACATAGTTCATTCATTCAAGAAGCTATAAACATGTGGCTTGATATTGTAAAAAAAGATAATTGGTGAGACTATAATTTAGGAAGGATCATTGAACGACGCTAGACTGATCTTGAAAGTGTCCTTCTAATAGCTAAGACCAAATGAGGGTTATAAACCAGTGTGAGGAATTAGAAATATGATTTACAGTTGATGGTTAAGGTTAGGAATTAGATTGAGGGATTTCATCACGAACTGACTCTATTTAACCAAATGGATGAGTGAATTTCGCGCTAAAATCTAATACCTATTATCTTATACCTAATTGACTCGTTCATAAATTGTAGTCTGGTCAAATAATTGAATCAAGACCCCGATAGATTTTAATATAATCACACCTAAATTTATATTTCATACTTTGTTAAGTTAGTTATTTTCATACTAAACTTGTAGTCAGTTTCAACTACATCCAATTACGTAATTAACATTACTCAAAAGTGTTGTTAATTTTCCAAGCAGTGGAAACTTACTTCAGTAGTATGATTATTATCGAGTAAACATAAGTGTGTTGTTCTCTTTTCTTCCAAACAGATTCTTTGTATTATACGAGCTATTCAATCTCACTTAGAAACATTCATATTTGAAGGAACTGAATTAAATTTAAATCGTAACTGTTACGTGTGTATCACAATGAATCCTGGTTATGCAGGCCGATCTGAATTACCAGATAATTTAAAAGTAAGTAATTTAAGATTTATCAAGATAAACTAAAAACATTTTTTGGAATATTGGACTTCAAGAGAAGAGAACAAATTATGTGTACTTGCTTAATTTCTTAGGCCTGTTACTCCCAATGGAGCATAGGCTGCCGACCAGCATAGTCCAACCCACTCTGTCCTGAGCCTTCCTTTCTAGTTCTATCCAGTTGTTGTTCATTCTTTTCATGTCTGTCTCCATTTCTCGTCGTAATATGTTTTTTGGTCGCCCTCTTTTCTTTTGGCCTTGAGGATTCCAAGTATGGGCTTGCCTTGTATGGTTTTAATTATTTCTTCTGGTTAGCATTTTACTAGCGGGTTAGTTTTCTATGGGATGGGGTCGCTAACCCTATGCCCAACCATCCGCATTTATCCGTGCTTGGGACAGGCAGTAGCCCTAAGAGGGCTTCAAGAGGAGTTTAAGCGTCCTTATTTTAAATTAATTTCTGTAGTCTGTTTTCCACCTAAGGATCAATTGTATGGTTGTGTTATCATTAACCATGACATTTCCTCTTTCAAGAATATTTAATCTAAACAGATAATTAAATAACTAACGACAAAGCATAGTTTATAAATTTCAACAAGTAAACGATTATAAAATTTTTTGATGTAAAGCTCAGTAACATAAATTTAAATTATTGAATTTTATTTTTTAATGGTAAAATATTTAACAATAATTAGTGATTTCAATAGTTAAAATCATGAGTCAATTAGAGCTAGACCATCATAGAAAACCTTGAAGCACTGGACTGCCGTTTCATTCTATTGTCGGACTCCTTAGCAGTGCTTCCAGATTTTCCATGATGGTCTAGCTTCAATTGACTCATGATCTCAACTATTGAAATTACTATAATATACACAAAAACCTCTTCTGATAATAATTACTGAGTTTAACGCTTATAAATTGAACCTCATGAGAATGTTGTAAAGCAATGATTTATTAAACATTTTATCACTTAACAACTTTACTAACTAAATCATTTGTGTCTCAGATTTCCTTATTCACTACTGAATGTTCCTATATTTTTCCACGAAATTTTACGTCGAGCTTTGAAATTACTTTTTGCTTGTGGCCTAATAGACACAATCTTCAGAAATGGTAAAACTGGAACATAAATAGAATTATCCTGATTGAACCACTTTTGATTGGAATGCTTCGTATGTATGGCAGTAAACAGAAGTAAACAGCATACATTTAACATATTTTATTCATTTCTATAATATTAAGTTATATAAGCAGTTATATAATATACCCTCGTGGGCCTGGGTAATGTTACATTGGTTTTCAGGAGAACCAGACACCATACACTTTCATGCAACAACCCCAACAGTAAAGCTCAATCCCGTTTAAAAGGGGAGCCAGACACCGCCCAGACTGAAATTTTATAACCCGAGCAATACATCGCAATCCCACTTCACCGGAGAACCAGAAAACGTATAGGCTTTAACGCTACAACCTGAATAGTACAGCTCAATCCTGTGGCGCAACCACACAGGTACGGAGTACCCTGCAAATGGGCCTATAGGTTCTGAAATATAAAACCTTAGCCCTGTTCTTCGGAAAATTCACAAGGCTATCTATTAACATATGTTATAAAACCATCGAACAAGCAACATGTAAAACGTTTAGGATAAAATGAATTAATAAATCTATTTAGTCAAGAATCTGTACCGATTGACGTGACTTACATATGAATTACACGTGCAGAAGAATTGTGTGTTTCGATATCCTAGTGTCATTTACCCAATAAGACATTACGATCCTCAATGACGTAATTAACCAACAACTCAAAACGATCAGCTGTTCAGGATTTGGAAGACCAACTTCTGAAAATTTTGTAGATTACAATAATTCTACTCTTCCATTTTCCGTGGTTTACACCACAGAATAGCTGCAAAATTTAGACAATTTTCATGAACTTCTTCTTGTTAACTTTATTTATCTTTAAGATGTAAAACTAAAATGACCAAGAATAAATGAATTTATAGCCACTAGTGGAATCCAGGAAACTTGTTGCATCCGATTCGGAACTTGTCAACTGTACCCCAAGGTTGAAAATGTTTGTAGCTTAATGACGGTATCAAGACAATTCACACAAGATTGACATTCACCAAAAGAGCTTTATCCTTAATGTTAAAAACGAGAACATTCAAATGTTCCTTAACAATAAATTGAATAACAATCAAGTTCATTCTAAATATACGTAATATAATTTATACTTTATAAACATGATCTTTTTTTTAGGTTTTATTTCGTCCAGTAGCTATGATGGTTCCAGATTATGCTATGATTGGTGAAATATCACTTTATTCTTATGGTTTTATGGATGCACGTAGTTTATCTGTAAAAATTGTTACCACATATCGTTTATGCTCAGAACAATTATCATCTCAAGCACATTATGATTATGGTATGCGTGCTGTCAAAGCTGTTCTACAAGCAGCTGGTAATTTAAAATTAAAATATCCTGATGAAAATGAAAATATTATTGTAAGTAATGATTCAATTTAAATAATTATGAATTGTGTATTTTATAGAAGTATATAATGAATTCAACAAGTAATTGTTATAACTTGAGCCATGTGTCCTATTAATGTATAACGTAATGATATCGATAATTAGAGTACAGTGAATTGTCGACCGGACCGATCACGCATAAAACAAGTACGAGCAGTCTAGAATCCTTATCGGTCCTGCTTCCGACCTAGCCCAGCCTGTTAAATCCAGAATACCAATCTCAGCCTCAGCGATATGAATCGTTTATTTCAAACATCGTACCATCGTGCTATAAAATAGGAAACAATATTTGTACAAGATTTAGCCAAACGTGGCTGTGAATGTGGGAGGTAATAATTGATAGACAAGGCATAACTCAAGAATGTTAAATTGTTTAATAATAGTTCATAGGTAGAAATAAAGCTTATGAAAAGAGTAAGCACGAATATGAATAGTTTGATTACTTATCAATTATACGATAAGAATATACGTATAGTATTGGTAAATAAATGGATCCCAAAGTTACCATTCATTATTCTCATCTGGATATAACAGTAACAAATACCCCCTTTTGATTCATAAAAGTCACTGTCATATTAGTTCAAATTGTTTTATGCTTAATAATATTTAGATATATTTCTATGATCATTTTTCACATTGTAAACCATATACACAGACGTCGAATGATGTAATCATCATAATTTCATACTAGAATTTCTAAACTGTAAAATAGTTGGTATACAAGGTTTGTGGAGATTACACAATGGTTTAACCTTAGATAAATAACTACAGAAAACTATTATAATGGAAAGAGCAGTAAATAAGTTATGACTTTTAAAACTGCTTTCTGGAATATAATTGTTTATATATTTTATATAATTACTAAATAACTAGAATATTATGTTTCTGTATTTCTTTTATTGTAAACTTATTTTTGATCCATTAACTATTATTATACATCGTATTGTTGAGATTAGATGGTGGTTGGAGGTAGTCGACAGGAATCCCTGAACCCAGGTTCCGTGCTACTAAACATAGTGCACGCAGTGTCGAGTCACCTAAACTGGTGGCCACATTGCAACTTGGTCGATAGTATTCAATTCGCACTAAGAAGTACTTGACACACATGACATTGATCACCACCCAGTGATCAATCAATTGTGATTACATCTTATTATACTTACTTACTTACGCCAGTTACCCTTAATGGAGGAGCATAGGCCGCTTACCAGTATTCTCATTCCTACTCTGTCCTGGACAATCGTTTACAGTTGTTTACATCTGCTAATCATCTTCTTGGTGTCTGCTTCCCAGTCTCAACGTAGTATGTTCTTCGGATCATCGTCGAACAATCAGTTGAGTGGAACTCGTCATTATACATTAAGTTCATTGATTATGAAAAAAGGCATTTGACAGTGTGGATAGGAAGACGTTATGGAAACTTCTTCACCACTATGGAGTTCCTGAAAAGATTGTCAATATTATCCGGAACTCATACGAAGGACTAAAATGCAAAGTCGTGCATGGAGGACAGCTGACAGATGCATTCCAAGTAAGGACCGGAGTCAGACAAGGCTGTTTACTCTCTCCCTTCCTCTTTCTTATGGTGGTCGACTGGATTATGAAGACCTCGACATCTGAAGGAAAACACGGAATTCAATGGACAGCTCGAAATCAATTAGACGATTTGGACTTCGCAGATGACCTAGCCCTCCTATCACGTACACACGAACAGATGCAGATGAAAACAGCCAGTGTAGCAGCAGTCTCTGCATCAGTAGGCCTCAGCATACACAAAGGGAAAACCAAAGTCCTCAAATTCAAAGCGGAAAACAACAATCCAATCACTCTTGATGGCGAAACTCTGGAAAATGTAGAATCCTTCACATACCTAGGAAGCATCATCGATGAACAAGGAGGTTCAGATGCAGACGTAAAGGCAAGGATTGGCAAAGCAAGGACAGCATTCCTACAGTTAAAGAACATATGAAACTCAAAACAACTTTCAACCAATATCAAAGTGAGAATCTTCAATACCAACGTCAAGGCAGTTCTACTGTATGGAGCTGAAACTTGGAGAACTACAACAACAACCATCAAGAAAGTACAAGTATTTATAAATAGCTATCTACGCAAGATACTCAACATCCATTGACCGGATACCATCAGCAATAACCTTCTGTGGGAGAGAACAAACCAACTTCCAGCTGAAGAAGAAATTAGGAAAAGATGATGGAAATGGATAGGACATACATTACGCAAATCGTCAAACTGCATCACGAGGCAAGCGCTTACTTGGAATCCTGAAGGGAAGTGGAAAAGTGGAAGGCCAAAGAACACATTGCGTCGGATAATAGAAGCAGATATGAAAACAATGAATTACAAGTGGACGGAGCTAGAAAGATTGCCCAGGATAGGGTTGGATGGAGAATGCTGGTGAGCGGCCTATGCTCCTTCACGAGGTGTAACAGGCGTAAGTGAGTAAATACTTTTTCCATCTACCTTCCGGATTCTAAGTTAGTGCTTGCCTCGTAGTACAATTTAGTGATTTCCGCGATGTTTGTCCCACCCACTTCCAGTGTTTTTTCCTAATATCTTCTTCACTTGCAAACTGATCTGTTTTCTCCCACAATAGGTTATTGCTGATGGTATCTAGTCAACGGACATTGAGTATCTTGAATAGATAACTGTTTATAAATACTTATACCTTTTTGATTATGGTTGTCATAGTTTTTTTAAGTTTCAGCTGAGTATAATAGAATTATCTTGACGTTCGTATTGTCTTATTATTCTTCAATTGTTCCTAATCAATTGTATACATTTTAGCCGGTTCACACAACGTTTTGGCATGTTTGTGAAATATCTACAACCGTATGGTGTAAGTTACACAAATAAATGAGAAAGTATAAATTAACAAGAGAGTATATTTATGAATAGTATCTTAGTGAAAACATCACCATTTATTCATTATTATCATATAAAATGCCATAATGGTAGTTCTACCTTACAAATGATAGAGATTATACATAGAAATAACTGAACATAATTAAGACACTAAAGAGAAAGAATGTATTTGTAAAACCTCAACGAATGAATTTGAAGTAAATCTAACGTTTTGCCTGACAATCTGGTTCAAGCTTTTTCAAGGAAATATAATTGAGTTCTTTTATTTCAATAGAATATCTCTTCCTTCTTCTTGATCATTTAAATTTTAGCTCTTACGTTCAATTATCGATGTGAATTTGCCAAAATTTCTAGCGCATGATATTCCTCTATTTCGTGGTATTATATCAGATTTATTTCCTGGTGTTATGTTACCAGAAGCAGATTATAGTATTTTCTTAGCTGAAGTACATAAAGTATGTCAAGAAAGAAATATACAAGCTGTTAACTTTTTCACTGAAAAAATTATACAAACATATGAAATGATGATTGTACGACATGGGTAAGTATAAATGTGTGAAATTATTATTAAACAAAAGGAGATAATGATCAAAATGGAGGGTTTGTGGAGATCGTAGTGATTTTAATGATTGAATTCATGAGTCGATGTAAGCTAGTCCACTATTGAAGACCTAGAAGTACTGGATGGCTGTTTTGTTAAGCGTTCGCATGCGAGGACGAAGGTCTTTGGTTCGAGTCCCGCATGTGAGGTTGTGAATGCGTACTGCTAAGGAGTACCATCCTAGGACGAAACAGCCGTCCAGTTGACTAGCTTACACGGACTCATGAATTCAAATATTACAAAGGGATAAGTAAATGTAATGATTTATTTCATAAGTGATAATTTATTCGGAACTATATACGTTCACTTTTCTTGGACGATTTAATGAAATTGAACAATTAATGCCAATAATTGCAGCATTTTGTACGTTTATTGGTAAACATAAGTGAATATTACGATCTTTGAAGAGATTCGAGTGATTTATTCATGTTTTGAATGCTTCTCTTTTCTGTCTAAATACGAGATCAAACACCATAACGGAGAATGAACTAAAGGAACTCAAGTAGGTAAATACTCATAGTATGATTATACTCCATAATTAATGGAGGTTTGGAGAAATTCTAATAGCTAATTAATTTTTGTACTGACGACGTTTATTCGAAAACCAGTAAGGGCTTCAAATTTAGACCATCCAGGTAAATGAATACAACATCACCTAAAGATCTTGAGTTCAACAATAATCTGTTTAACGATCGTTTGATGCAAGTAATAGAAGAAACTAAACCCAAGTTTCATGTCTATTGATATTTACCATGCGGATAAGCTTGTAACTTAATACTCATGTTCATTTGGTAATCCGAACATACGACACTTTGAGGAATGCCAAAAGTCATTATAAACTGATTATTTGGGACACAGTGAAAATCTTTGGATCAGTATGTAGTATTATTTCATTTATCTATTCGTGATGTAAACTAGATTCTCGTTTACTTGAATCATTGAGTCAAGTATTAAAATCAAATAGTAGGTCAGTTTAAACAGAAGTATGAAAAGGTCTAACAGGAGCAGAATACTGAGAACTGGATGAGCCATAAAATCTGCAATTAAACATTAGAGGAACTCTTGATCTTCAAGCTAAGTATTCCCCCCATTGACTTTTACTAAATAGGAGACCTTAGTCAACTAATCTGATTTTATCGACATTAAAAGTTGTTACATTTGCAGTGTAACTAGGTCATGTTTTATAAAGTCCCAACTCAGTTACCATTACTCTCTTCCATGTTGCTTTTTGTGTAACATACATCATGGTCCTCAGTAATGTTAATTAATCAAAAACATTTACAAGTATACAATGTAAAGACACGGCGAAAAAATAGCATATTGGAATCAGTGATCCACGGGATTAGGAACCTGACTTGCAACCTAGATGTTTTAGATCCCGGTCCATAATTATCAACTGAGGTCTGAACAAGTAAGTAGTAGCCTCATCCATCATAATACAAAATGGGCTATAATTTATGCTATTCATTTATAAAAGTAGATCCTTTTGACACACACACTAGCCTACGTATTAGTTGTTTTGAATTTCTCAACAGAATAAAACTTTTGAGTTATTCACACATCTTTTATGTTATCGGTATGTTTTTAACATTCATTTTTATGCATCCGCCATTTCATTATTTAGTTTTATGCTTGTTGGTGAACCATTTGGATCTAAAACTACCGTGCTGCAAACATTAGCTACAGTGATGACACGATTAAATGAAAATGGTCACGATGAATATGAAAAAGTAATTTATAAAACAATTAACCCTAAAGCAATTACAATGGGACAATTATTCGGTGAATTCGATCCTGTTTCACATGAAGTAAGTTGGACTAAATTATTTAACAATCATATTTCCTACATCTGATCAGTATAACGTCTCCTAGGAGCTATTTTATTCAATATTTTGAATTTTTTTCATTATCGGTTACTCTTTTGATAACTCAATTATCAGTCATAAGTTATTAGTTTAAGCTCTGATCGCTGCACGGATAAAGTAATTCATTTCCGTCAAGTAGCTCGCAAATTCGAAACCTGGCCTACCCACTCTAGTTGGGACAGCTAGTTCGTGCCAAAAAAAAATAGTTCAGATCAAAGTTAAGTACATAAAAGGCTCTTAGCCTCGTTACTACAAATTTCAGTCAAGAATAAATTTTCTATGTTGGTTATTCTCAAGTAAGTCTATCGAGAAAGAAAGTTATTTGATCGTCTCACTATATTCTCAACATTAAACCTTTTTTTTCATGATTGTTGCTGCATTATTTAAAATTTCTTTTGTGATTTTCATCATGTCATATTGATCATTTACGGAAACTTATACCAAGAACATCTGTGTCAAGCTCTAATTTGATCATGTTTGTTTATCTATCACCCAGTTACAGTTGTTAAGATATCCCAGACCTAATGCTATTCATGAAGCACTTATTTATAGACCAAACCACAAACTGATTTTCAGATACAAAATTTCAAGTATCATATTTGGTCTATATTTTCTTATAAGGTGAATGATGAACTCATAGTTTTAATTAACTCATGAAATCACTCACTATTTCCTAAATTAAAAGATTTCACGTAGCAACCGTCTGAATATCATTTAGGAATTACTAAGTTCTCCTTCTTGTTTTGCATATTCAGCTAAGATAGTATAACTACGAGTCACTTCTCATTTAACACAAAATTGATCAAAGTTAAAATCGGAAGCTCTAAGAAGATCAAACTGTTATTCATATAAATTTGTTCTGTCATTTTAAATGACTGATCGTAAAACAACATATACTCTAATGTTGATGGTTATTATACTACTTACTTATTACCAGTTAATTTCATTAACCGATCAAGGTTAGACCATCGCTAAAAAATTGTGGGCATTGGACAACCGTTTGGTTCTAATATAGGACTCTAAAGAAATGCTCAGTAGTGACCAGCTTTGAGAGGTAATTCACGGAGTTTTGGTGAGAAACTGTGATCAGTGAAATTCAACCGTGTCGGGTGAGGGGCAGTTGCCCACTTAACACAGTGGAACATGTTTGGACAATATCGTGGATTGATTGAAGTTAGGTATTAACACTGTTAGATGCCGATTCAGTCGTTTAGATGTTAATAGTTTACATGACACGGAAATTACTGAGTTTGAGTCTTACGTACAGGATCGTGGTTGTGGGCTGGTGAGGAGTCCCATACTAGGACAAAGCAGCATATCAGTGCTTTTGGGTTTTCAGTGGGGATCGAACATTGTTCGGTTCATAATCTCAATAAAAACTCAATAATTTTCACAACCGTATACTAATAATTTCATTCTACGAAATAGGGTGTCATTTCTAGTTTATCTATGCCTTTAAAAAATAGGCTCCTAGTCTGTAGATCTACATAAATGAGGCTGTTACTGCATGTTTACTTAGACTTTAAACGGATTTCTTTGTAATAATGTTTATGACGGCTCACTTTTACTTCTTACTATGAAGTGTACAGTAATTTTTTCACCTAATGAGGTTTCATTTTTATATACGTACTATACCCTTTCTTAACGTAGTATTCCTAATTTTTGTAGTGGACTGATGGTGTAACAGCAAATACATTTCGAGAATTCGCATCAAACGATACGCCAGATAGAAAATGGGTCGTATTTGACGGACCCATTGATACATTATGGATTGAAAGCATGAATACTGTATTAGATGATAATAAGAAATTATGTCTAATGTCCGGTGAAATTATTCAAATGTCTCGTGTAATGAGTCTTATATTTGAAACAATGGACTTATCGCAAGCATCAGTAAGTCTTTTTTGTTCAACATCATATCGCCCATTATTTTACTTAATTTTATTAAAAACTAACTAGCTTTAAGATCCAGCTGCTATAGTTCAAGTGAGAAACTCTATCCGTATCATGAAAACCGAGTTCAACCCATGTCGGATTCAATACAGGCATCCAACATAGGCAGCATATGAGGGTAGCGCAATATTCTGGCTTTTTGGCCTAGAAGGAACTATTCTGAGTTCGATTCAGGGATGCTGGATCGAGGATATGCACTATTGAAAGGTCCAATACTAGGATAAAATTGTCATCCTGTGTTCCTGGGTTTACAATGTTGATAGGGGTAATTTTTTCGTTCATTCTCTAGGTATTCATTAAATCGAATTCAAAAGATAAAATTCTCTTAAACAAGAATTAATAAAGTAGTTGTTAGTTTTGAAATCAGTAGTAAATTATCTTCAACTAATAATGATAACTTTAATACTATTTATTATAATTCTTATCTTCTTTGACCATTAAGCCAAAACATAACTTGCCAGCTAATGCACAAAATACACTGTGTAATTAAACTTTGAATCTAATCACGTTAAGCACAAAACGAATAAATATCGTGAGTTCATGAATAAAACATGTAACTCATAGCAAGATAGTTTGATTACATAGCTTTATCGACAATATCCACTAATAATGTTGCCTAGAAAGACTCAGGAACCTTTAAAATAAAGTTATCCAGGTCATAGCACAGCATCAGAAAGACAAGTATTTCAGTTCACTACATTAAAGAGCTAACTGTTTATCATAAAATCTAGAAACATTCATAACAATCATGGAAAAGAAAGAGATTTTGTATTAATTGAGAAGTTTTAAACCAATCAAATATAACATTCTTTTTTGACTGAGATCATGAACCAATTGATGTTAGACCACCATTGAAAACGTGTAGGCACTGGATCGCCGTCTCCTCCTATTGTGAAACTCCTCCGTTGGATGCCGGCTCAGTGGTCTAAAGGTTAAGCGTTCGCGCGCGAGACTGAGGGCCATGGGTTCGAACCCTGCGAGCGGATTCGTGAATACACACTGCTGAGGAGTCGCACGACAGGACGAAACGGCCGTCCAGTGCTTCCAGGTTCTTATTGTTGGTCTAAAATCAGTGAAATAGTTTAGTACTTCCTGCTTTTAATTGTTTTTTATTGCTTATATATATTTGCTGTTGTACATCTTAAAAAATGAAATGGCTGAAAAGAAAACTCTCCACTGAACCATTGGGCATATTCTGTTTGCTCACTGCCTCACGATCAATTAACCGCAGGCTTCGGTGTTGGGCTATACTGCTATCATACTATTTAACGAAAGCTATCTTTTCGCCTATGCTAATCTCCACAAATCACCAAAAGAAAACATGGTGTAACTTATTTTTCAAAAGTTTTGTTTGTTTGTTTTAGATGTTCTTGTTAATACATATTTTTATTATATCCTCTTTTAATGTTAACAGCCAGCTACAGTATCACGCTGTGGTATGATATATATGGAGCCTTTATCCTTAGGTTGGCGTCCACTTGTTCGCTCATGGTTAAATCGTTTACCAACATCATTAACAACTGGTGACACTAAAGATATGATCAATTCATTCTTTGAATGGTCTCTGGACCCATGCATGGAATTTATACAAACTAATTGTCGTACATTAGTAGCTACACGTCAAGGCAATTTAGTTACATCGTGTTTAGGATTCATTGATATGCTTATTGAAGATGTAGCTAATGAAGAAGATGCAAATGAAAATCGTTATTTACGTTTATGGTTACAAACATCTATTGTATTTGGTATTATTTGGGGTATTGGTGGTTGTCTAGATTATAATAGCCGACAAAAATTCGATCAGTTCTTAAGAAATTTATTGTCTGGTACAAATGAAAAACATCCTTTACCAAAAGAATTGGGTCAAAAACTTGATTTTCCATTTCCAGAATCTGGTCTTGTCTATGATTATTATTATAAAGTAAGTGTGTAGGAAATGGATGCTTCTTTGAAAAACTCAATTTGAATACTTTACACATCTGACTAACTCCCATAAAGTTTTTCTATCGTCCAGTATTGTGATCGCATTTAACTGGTAAATGTAGCCTCAGAATCATTAAAGATTAAATCTTACTTTTCACGTTGTTCTATATTCAGATATGATTTATATATTCAAGTGTTATTTTCTTCGTAGAAAATGGGACATTGTTACATAATATACAAGTGACATCCCGTCAAATTGAAAAAGATATGGTTTTAAGTAAATTAAGCTGAAAATTGTATTTTCAGTATTATTCGACAGATGTTTGAAACAGTGTTGAACACTGCTGATATACCAACTTGTCCAATTTACACATATATACCACTTACTGAGTAGTAACTGTTGTCGATCAGCTAGGTAGGAAGCATGTGACCAATACTAAAAACACAAACATATATTACGTTGGTTATTATGCAATAATGAATGAAGATAAATATCTCAGTTCATCTTTGAGCCATACGAAAACCAAATAGTTCAATGGTGATGTCTCTGGCTGTGAAGCTGGGTGACTTGTATTTAAATCATACTGTGAGAATCAGTTTCTTTACGACTGCAGGAATACATGACTGATCAATACCAAGTAGACCAAACCTAGATCCGTGGTTTCCCACTAATTGCCTCCAACCACCTAGCACTATCTATACTGTCTGACAATATGTGTAGGGTAAGCTAGCAAATTGAACTGTATACATTTTTGTTTAGCTAAAATTATGGCTAACAATGAAAAATCAGTACAATATCATGGTGATTGCTACTTAATATCGATAACAAGTATAACGGATACTTCTGATGTTCAACTAAGTTTTTATTTTGTTCGATCAGTTCGTATATAAAAATTTCAATAAGATTTGATCTCCATAGTACAATATGATGGGATGAATCTATAATAAGCTACTTACCATCAACTATTTATAAATCCACATTTATAAACCTAAATATCAAAAAACTGAATTTAAATTCCTTATTTTATTCTTTTGCACTACACTAAAACTCATACCGATACTGAGTCGTGAAATCTCAACTGAAGTTCATTGAGACTTATAAGTCAACAGCGGGTCTTTAATTTTCTGTCCTATGCGTTATATTAGAAGAGATAAACAAGCCGATTAACATAACAAACTGGTTTTGGTTTTTCGAAAGTATGCACAATCGGTAAACCAAAGTTATACAAATATTAGATTAGGAGCTAAATAAGAAGTCTGAACAACACGATGGGCGAGCAGGAAGGTCTAATATAAATAAGTACACAACCTCGAACAAACTAGATGTTAATGTTTTATTTACATAAGCAGTTGGAGAGAAACCCTAATGTTATGTGTCAGTCATGTTTATTTACTTAAATACAGAAACAAAATCGACTTCATTATCATCAATTTAATAGCTTCACTGTTATCATTTTATCTTGTACATATGACCAAAATCTCTAACGTTTTGCCTTCCAAACTCGTAATTAGTTCAAAAGTCGCGGTTCTTGGAGACACTGGAATGAAAAGAACAAAACTGATGACCAAGTTTCTGATAGAAAAATACGTGAAATTATTGTACCTACAATGGATACAGCACGTTATAAATTTATAGTTGATTTATGCATGAAGAAACATCGTCCACTTTTGTACGTAGGTCCAACTGGAACCGGAAAATCAGTATATGTCCAAGAAAAGTTAATGAGAGATATTGATAAAGATAAGTATGTAGCCTATTTTGTCAACTTTTCTGCTCAAACAAGCGCAAATCAAACTCAGGTAATGATTTTTTTTATTTAAAAATAATATACTATTGGTTATAATATAAGTAGTTCCATTTTATTAAACAAAATCCTGGTAAATCTGAAATTTAGTTGATTTCGATCACAAAAGATATTACCTTGATATTTATTTCGGATGATAATTGTATTTACAGCCATAAGCTAAAATCAATGTCCAAAAATTTGGTTAATAGCTTGTTAACTATATCAGTGAATAAAAAATTGTGTTCTCTGCTATATATCACATTGAGTAAATCAAATAATTTTGGTATGCTATTAGGATAGTGAAAGTATCACTAATACTACTTACTTTTTGCAACATAGTATCATTCATGTCTCATAGAAGGGTAAATAGTCAATAAACCCAGGAAAGTATTCGTTTTCTCAATAATCAGGTATATGAGAAAAGTTTAATTATGTTTATAATGAGCTTCATCAATACAATTTCTGTCTCAAGAGTTACATTAAGTAGAAGCTCTTGATCAAACCTAATTTCAAAGAATATGGCTAAGTTGTTTTACCAATTTGCATTCTTATACTTCAAAGTTATTGTCATTAGTGATTAGTTTATGAAAAATAATTTAGTTGAGTTCAGTTTAATCGTAACCACGTATTTGTGTTGACAATAATAATGCTATTTTAAGCAAAGACGGACAGGGGCTAGCAGTAAAATCCAGGACGCGCGTTTCGTCCTGTTTGGAACTCGTCATTCGGAGATGCAAGTACACACAGCTGACAAGTCTGTGATAGGACGAAACGCTCGTCTTGTAACTAAAGAAATGTTCCATTCAAAACAGGTTAGCGTTGTTTTAGCGAATTAGATTTCTACGGATGGGGTCGCTAACCTCATGCCCAACCCTCCTACTTTATTCAGGCTTGAGATCGGCAGTTGACCCCATAGGGGCTCCAGGAAAAGGTTTTCATAACAAGTGTATATCATTATTTGTTTTCCATATTCTTTTCTTTTTTTTCAGTTTATTGTTATGTCAAAACTTGATAGAAGACGTAAAGGTGTTTATGGTCCACCTATAGGTAAAACAGCTGTCTTATTTGTTGATGATTTAAATATGCCAACTAAAGAGATTTATGGAGCTCAGCCGCCTATTGAACTACTACGAATGTTTATTGATCATGGTTATTGGTTAGTTTATATATAAATAATTATTTGATTAAATGATCTTTTATTATATTATTGTATGAAATGAGTTATATGGTGTTTGTTGAAGAATACTTTGTTGTTTCATAAAAGCATATTCATAAATTGATAAGTCTTGCTAATTCGAACGCTTTATTCGGTTCCTAAGCTATTCTGGTACCCACGAACTAGAACTACGCAGCAACCTGGATTCGAGAGAAAAGGCGTAAAATAAGCGAAAAACACTTTACTCCAAAGGTTCATTTTCGTACAGAAATACACGGGTATTTATAGATATTAACATTTGTTAAACCAACATCATATTTTAGCCAATTCGCTAAAAAACATATTATGCTACTGACCAGTAGTAGCACGCCACGTTGATATTCTTGAAAGCTCTGTCATGCTCTGATTAGCTTGTATTCTTCGGCTCCTTTAGAACCTTTGGAGGCTCCGTTGCAGTTCTCGGAAAGCCGACTCAACATAAATAAAGATACTTCATGTTAAGTTTCAATAAATTGGGACTTTGTGTATAGTTTAACATTATTTGGAAAACCACTAAAACCCAGGTGGAAATCTTTTGATATTTAATGTTGGTTATGGATCCCTTAATAATCCGTACATTTAACTGTATAAAGCAATTTAAAACACATTAAGATCAGATCTCTTCAGATGTATAAAATCCATCTGTATGCAAAGACTAAAATTGTTAACCGAAGAGAGCTGTTCATAAATCATTGTAATTTGTATCATTGACGTAACTATTTCTCTATACGGTCTCTTTTAAATATTTTTAATGATTCAAGTTTATGTGACTCTGCTTTACGTTTTCAGGTTAATCGTTATTGAATCTGTGCATTCTAATCTACTGAATTCTTCATATCCCTTTTTTTCTCTTGCCAAAGTTATTTCACTAGATTACAATCCTTGAATAACGTCTTCAAACCCTAATCTTTCCGATGACTGCTTATACTCTTACTACCTCTATCACTACGGAATTTGAATCGACAACTGCATCTCTGTGCAAATGTGGTATGGCAACTCGAACTGATGTACGTACGTGCAAAGTTCCACGTTGTTACTGACTGACTGACTGTCAGTAATTCTTTGTTTTAATTTCTTTTGGTTTTGTATTACTTGTATTTTCCCATTGTCATTTAGATCAATTACAGTCCTAAATAAAAATCGGAAGATACAAGTTATATATATACTACATTATACTCAGCAATGTGAGCTAGATTCAGTCATTTCTAAAGCTTACATTCTCAGCTTATAATTTTCTTTCTATTTCTGGTTTATTCATCATTTAACATTAAAGTTTATTCTCTATTTTGTCGCTTATTTTCATGTGCATGTGCTACTCTCAGAAATTTCGTTTACTTTAAGAGATATTCTGTTTCATACAAAGAAATTTTCATTCACCGCTATTAATTACTGATACACAAACAAGTTTTTTTCTGATTTATATTATGCTTTACAAACTACTCTTTTTTAATCAAGTTGGAAAACATCATTTACTTTGTGATGTTTCACCGTAGTAATTGACGTTTGAATACATCATGGTCCATAATTTGTCAATACTTGGTATTTTTTTTAATAATAGCGATGTACTTTCAGATTTAGTTGGTCTTATGAGTTCGGAACTTCTTTGATTAAATTAATCATTACATCTGAAATCTTGTACTAGTCCTCTTCAATAAATTTTCAATTAATTGTTAAGTTTTGTAAAATGATCAAATACGGAATATATTCGTATTCTTACAAACTACTTACTGACCAGTAGTTAGTAGTATAGATAAATTAGCAGAAATCATTTGAAATTGACTGTGTTTTTTTTGCTTGATTTTAATTTAGGTATGATTTAAAGGATACCACAAAATTAATATTACAAGACATTCATTTAATTGGAGCAATGGGGCCTCCAGGAGGTGGGCGTAATGATGTGACACAACGTTTTATGAGACATTTTCATGTAATCAGTATGACACCGTTTAATGATGAAACTATGACACGAATATTTTCAACATTGATGAATATTTACATACGCGTATGTCATTTTAATTGTTTTCCTTCTTTATTACAGTTTTGAAGATAAGTTTCAAGGCATAAATTGTACAAAACACTTTCAATGTTATAATGAAGAATTGTGACATACTTATGAATCTCATTTAATACAATTATACGACTATCTGTTTAGTTAAACACCAAGACATTACCCTCGATTACCATGTAATAGAAGTGATCTGGTTCTGTGCATTGAATAAATTCAAAAGAACAGTAATCTATATGTACTAGTAGACTATCCATTAATTTATTCAACTTGACATAGATGAAAATCTTCGATTCATGTAACTAGCTTATTAGTGGTCAGGAACAAGGTGTTTCAACTGTGATTTAAAATCAAGTCATTCAGTAATGTAATGTTAGGTTTAAAGCTAAAACGATTTCGCTTGATCTGCAAACGAGAGACAAGACTCGGTTACCAAAGACCAGTAAGCTAGCTATTTGATGCGTCCCAGCCCCGATAACTAGGGGGAGAAGTCCAAGCTTGGAAAGGGAAGTATATTCTGCAAATCAGCCAGAAACGAGCGATTACAACAAACACAATTCCAAACGTATATATACAGTGCAAAACCGTCCTTGGGGAGAGTTACCAAATAGCATACTAAAAGACGCAACGGACCAATAGCATTTAAGATATTTACCAGCGGGAAATACAACATGAGGGTGACAGGAACGCCTTTGGCGCGAGAACAAAGAAATTCAAATTTTCTAAATAAAATGACAAAATTAGATCCTTCACCAAGTGATTTCTAGGGATCTAACGTCTTCAATATGTAGTCATCAAAGTTATTACTACCCGCTTCTTTCAAAGTGTTGGCATACTTGTTGTTCCGCAATTTTTACGGAAAATTAATAGCGATTAATAATAAATGAAAGAATATCTATGGACCAAGAGATATATTACAACAAACTGCGGATATGTCTAAATGAGATATGGTCTCTATGACTCAACTTATATTACCCTTAAGATCCTCATGAAATCTAATCATAAATTCAAATTTGGCAAACATGTTCTCATTTTAAAATTTTTCGAGATGGCTTGGATAATAAAAATACTTTGACAAATATTGTTACAAAGCTGTAGAATGTTTGTATATAATGCTTTTGACTTAAGCCAATAACGAGACAATCCGCATAGGATTCACATACGCCGATAAGAGACTGACCAATTGCAGTTCTAAACGACAGTGGGAAGATTCAAACAACCAAAGTAAAAAGAGTTTATGCTGTAGTAAAGTTCAAATTTTTCCTCTTATGAAATCTTGAATATGTTGTACCACTTGTAATATAATCGTATTACATGCTAGTGTTACATAACAACCTATGTTTACTGTTCTTCTTTTTCTGTTTATTTTCTGTAGTCACAAGAATTTAGTTCTGAGTATATAACGGTTGGTCAAATCATTGTATCATCAACGTTAGAAGTTTATAAAGCTGCAATTGAAAATCTATTGCCTACACCAGCTAAATCACATTATTTGTTCAATCTACGTGATTTTAGTCGTGTTATCTTAGGTATTTGTTTGATACAAAAAGATCGAGTTGAAAATAAACATACATTCTCACGTTTATGGGCTCATGAAGTAATGAGAGTATTTTATGATCGTTTAACAGATGATGCAGATAGAACGTGGTTATATGAGTAAGTCTTTTGATAATCAAATATTAAACTTGCTTTATTCTTTCAAATTTTGTTTATCACACTTCGTATCTCGGAATAACTTATTTGATGTGGAAAAGTAATATCATTCCGGTCTTGACTGATAAATAAATGAGGAAGTAACTGACCTAAAATTTTTTCTCTACAATGATTAACTTCACAACTGACGAGGACAATTCCCAAGTTTTTAAGTAAACGATAAGGCGCTCAGCAATCATCAGCTTAAGATGGTGATTAGAGGTAGTTAACAGAAAATCGTGGACCAAGGTTTCGTGCAATTTGGCACTCGTCAGCAAGGTGCACCTGTAGTCGTTGACGGATTCGATATCGTGTCACCCAGATTCACAGCCAAAGACGTTAGCACTAGTCTATCCGGGCTGCGAATGATCCCTTGTAGAACCAAGATATATTCACAATTGACTACCTCCAACCACCATCTTATCTCAACATAGTGCACGTAATTTCGGGTCACCTAGATAAGTGGCCACATTAGAACTTGGTTGATAGCATTCGATCTGCACTAAGAAGGACCTAACGCACATAACATTGACCACCACCCAGTGATCAATCAACTTTAAATCAACAGTATATTTATTGTTTTGAGCGAGAAGTTTTCAAATCTGGGAAGTTGGTAATTTCTTATTTTTGTTTAATAAATAAATAAAATTTTAGTATGTAAATACTTCTCACTTTTCAATTTAAAAAACGTTCTTTACAACTAGACTCAAGTGAGATGTTATCAATCTGAATTGACAAAAATACACTAATTCTACTTGGTTCACATAAACAAAGCATCTATAAACATTGTGATCTATTCAACATACTTACATACACCTGTTACTCCAGATGAAGCATAGGCCGCCGACCAACATTCCCCAACCCATTATGTCCTCGGCCTTCTTTTCTAGTTCTATACAACTGTTGTTCATTCTTCTCATGTATGTCTCCATTTCTCGATGTGATGTGTTCTTTGGTCTTCCAACTCCCCTTCGACCTTGAGAATTCCAAGCGAAGACTTGCTTTATGACGCAGTTTAGTGCTTTCCTCAATGTGTGTCTTATCCACTTCCAGTGCTTCTTCCTGATTTCTCCCTCCACTCGGATCTGGTGTGTTCTCACCCACAGTAGGTTGTTACTGATAGTGTCTAGCTAATGGATTTGAAGTATTTTGCGTAGACGACTGTTAATAAACGCCTGTATCTTCTGGATGATCTATTCAAGCAATGATCTTATCATTGAATTCTTTTATTGAAAATATAATGAAATATCTTTTTTTTTCTATTTACAATGTAATTCGATTTATTTTTATTTTGGAATTTTATTCACAGCTTCATTAAACGTTGTTTACAAAATAATTTTAAAGAGAAATTTGATCAATTGTTTTCTCATTTGACTACAAAAGAAGGTGAAGAAGTAAGTTTGAATTCATTTTGGATTTACTTTTCTAGAAATGGTATTTATGAATAGTTGTCTATCGATAATTCATTTAATTACTGACAGACATGAGCTAGATAGTTGTTGAAAACTAGAAATCAATGGATAAATTTACGTCACCTATGAAGAAGGCGAAATATCCGTCTATCAATAAAAGGACGGGTATGCTGAGCGGCAGTCCGTTCATTTCTACTTTACAGCTGAAAAGCGTGGCCATTAAGAGTAAAAGATACTCGATGGCTACTAGCATCTGACCACAGATGCCTTAGAAATATTGCTGGCGTCTGCTGGGATCACCAGGTAAGTAATAGTGAGGTTAGACACAAGGTATTAGAGAATGATGGTAAATCAGTTAATGAGGTTGTGAATCTTCATCGACTGAGATGGTTAGGACACGTGTTGCGTACGCCTGAACACCGATTACCACGACATGCAATGCTAACCGGTGTTGGGAATGGTTGGAAGAAGGTTAGGGGCGGCCAAACCAAAACGTGCTTGAAGTCACTAACTTCTAGTCTGAGCCATGTTCGTAGATGCAGACTAGTGTGTTGGCTTCCACACGACTATCGTACCCAATGGTTGGAGATCCTTGGTGACATTGTAGTGAACAGAACACGGGTGGGACAATTGAACGTACTTAACACAAAATTACAGAGCATCTCAATAAAATCTGAGAACCATATATTAAATCGTTAATTTGCAAAATGTCCACAAATTCTCAGACTTCATTGTCCTTGCATTTCCATACAAATTGCATTCTATTCCTAATCTTGCTTTCTTGATCTTCCCCCATCTTCTGCTGCCAGACATTACATTCCTGACTCGCGTCATATACTAATTATAACAATATAAATAGAACGCACCACAACATGGCTCAGAATCGGTCACATTGGCGTAGGTGTATATACTCTTTATTTTCCCTTAAACTAAGAGATTAAAATCGCTTCATATCTTTCTTTCTACGTTCTAATTCTTTCTTCTTGTACGATATCCTTACATACAATCTTTTTTTTATATATTACATCATTGAATTAACTACTTCTATGAATCCGGTGTTCATCCTGTTGTGCCAATGAGGTATGGCAACTTGGATCGATGCATATATGTCTCTCGTTCTACGTTGTAGCTGACTGACTGACTGATTGTTGATTGACTAAATGTGTGAATCATGAGATTACAACTGATTGGTAGCATTATTTCATGATCTTAGCATGATCTGGATAAGCAGAATATGATCTATGATGAAGTTGTGGATGACCACTTCCTTGGTAAAACTATCATGTTTTTATGATATTTTCATGTATTTATTATTGATAATTTATTTCTATACGTTTAGATCCGTGAAACACACTTGAGTAGTTATTTAATGTTTGGTGATTTTATGAATCCTGAATCAATGCCAGAAGATAGAGTCTATGAAGAAATTAAAGATATTCAAGCAATGTATCCTATTGTGGAACATTGTTTAGAAGATTACAATAATGCTAACAAAAAGAAAATGTCATTAGTCATATTTAGGTAGATTTCATTTTTATAAAAATCAAACATTTTCCAAAAAGAGAACAGTTTTATTGATTTTAATATAAGTTGTTTTGATAGATTGTGATTAAAGAGGATCTCCAAGTAGTCTGAAGCTTATACATTTGCTTGGTATTATTCTTCTTTTTACTAGAAGAGCATAAAAGCTTCCTAGATCTTTGAACAGAATTTATCACAGGTTATTCAGACAACAAAGTATCCTATGTAACTTCATGAACTACTATATTACGCCTTTGGGGAATGATTAGTTCTCCATGCTTTTTGGTTATCATTTTTGATCGATTTAACAGTAGAGAATGTAAGCAAAGATGAATTGTGACTAGCACTGGAATCCGAACGCGCGTTTCGTCCTTTCTGGGACACGTCAGCTGAATGTACTTGCATCTCAGAGTTGATGTTCATTCCGAGACTAATATTCAGTACCGTTTGTTTCAAATGCCATTTCGTTATCTACTTAGCTACTGAGTCCTGATAGCCACCAGAATATGCAATGGGGTGAAGTTAAAATTCACTTAGTGTTGTTTTACTTGTATCTTCCCATTGTTATTTAGAACTGCGATTCATCAGTCTCTTGTTGGCATATGTATATCCTGTACGTATTGCCTCGATCTATCTTTACGTCGCAAGCTTTTTAAGCAAACATGAATCGTGGCTACCACTGCTCGCACAACATGCACATATCCCAACAAGAGACTGATCAATTGCAGTCCTAAATAACAATGCGAAAATACAAATAAAACAACACCAATAGAGTAGAAAATGTAATAGTCAGAAACTATAAGGACCACACATAATAAAAGATAATAAAACCGATTAGTCTTCTAAAGCTAATTGATTGAATTTGTAATGATATAATCTGATATTTTCATGATCAACATTTGTCTTCAAATTTCCTCTTAAAGTCTGGAAATATGATAATGGATAAGCAACAGATGTTTCATTCAATATTCAATCTGTGGTTTTTATATTATCTCTTTTTACTAATACAATAAATTTCATCAATTTAGGGTTTAGACATAAACGTTGTTTTAAGCCCTATAATTCTTATTTATATTAATTCATTGTGGTAAGTGAATTTTTCATCAATATGGTTCCACTTTAAAAATATCGATTAAATCTATTGGTTTTATCACACTGTTGTGGAAATCTTCATAAATTAATAACCATTTGAAATTGTGAGTCTCAGTGATCACAGACAATAATGTAAACCGAAATAGTTATCTGGGTGAGACTATACTTTATGGACGACCTTTGAGCGTCACTAGACTGACTTTAAGTGTATCCACCTGATAACTATGATCAAATGAGGGTTATAAATTAGTGTGAGGAATTTGAATTATGATTTACAGTTGATGTTTAGGGCTAGGAATTAGATTTTTGGGTTTTCATCATGAACTGATATCAGCTATAATGCCCAAACTCTATTTATCCAAATGGATGAGTGAATTTTGCGCCAAAATCCAAGACCTGTTATCTTACAGATGACTGGTTTGTCCATAAATTATAGTCTCGCCGTTATCTGTTGCAGCTTCTATTATGACATGCCTACATGAAATATTCTAAGTTTTGTATAGAAAATCATAACTTTTTGAAACCTTATAATTGATCATATCAGTTATGCATTTGTAATTTTGACTGCCATTATTTGATAAAACGTAGAGAATAGGAATAAGAAAGGAAAAAAGTGAATTTACCTAAATAAACAGTATGGTCTAATATTTCAAAGGAAAATAAAGTATGAATGGATATGTACCTGTACGACTATTTTATAGCCATCTCATCTAAAGTCTTCAACAATTGATTATAATTATGTTTTACATACCAACCATTGTCTCATGTTTACGCATCTGTTTATTTATCAATAGTCAATATTCTATACTTCAATTCGTTTTTCAAGTTTTATCATTAAAGTTGTCCGTAGCTGTGCAAATTTAGCAAATGTTCATTCCATTAAAATAGATATGTCCTGGAACATTTATCAAGAATTTGTCGTATTCTTCGAGTTCCTGGTGGTCACGCATTACTAGTTGGTGTTGGTGGTTCTGGGCGTCAATCACTAACTAGATTAGCATCAGCAATGGCAGGTTATACAGTATTTCAACCTGAAATATCTAAAAATTATGGTAAAAATGAATGGCGTGAAGATATAAAGGTAAACTATAAAAAAAATGGATCAATTGTGTCCCATTGTTTTCACCTTAATACTTGATTTTGTTATTGGGTTTGTAAACAAATGACTTAAGGAGATTTCAAAGATGGATAACCCTCATTAAGAACGAATACCAAATGCAAAAGTACTAACGAACAATTATTTCAACTGATTTTTTGAAATCAGCATTGCACACCAATAATCTTATAAAGGATAGAACACAGAACATTTACGACTCACGACGACCATACTATGTTCAGTCTACTGACTCAAGATTCACTAATCCATATTTCTTTAATTGAATCGATAGTAACATTAAAAGACATTATATTCGGGAAAAATTGATGCGAAGGCAATGTTGATCAGTCTCTGTCCACACAGTTCACATTTTAGCCACCAGGTCAAGTAGTTTAGAGTTTCAAAATATTTTAATTTTTCATATTCACAACCTTGGATCACTAGATAAAAGATTAAAAGGTAATAACTGTTTGGTAGTATTTACATGATCCAAGACCGAAGAAATCGAGTGACTTTTTCGGTATAATCTCACTCAGCTCACAGTGTATATTCTTTGATAAAAGTTTAAATTAAGTTTTCACAACTAAATTAATCAATTTGTTTTCTTAAATTAGACTTTACTAAGACGAGCTGGTGCAGAAGGTAAAAATACTGTCTTTCTAATGACTGATAGTCAAATCAAAGAAGAAACTTTCTTAGAAGATATAGATAGTTTACTCAATTCTGGTGAAGTTCCAAATCTTTATAGTTCTGAAGAAAAAGCTGAATTAATGGATATCATACAAAGTAGTCTTGCAGCATCAGGTGGACATAAATCAATTGATCTATCACCATTAGCATTGTATGCTTTATTTGTGGATAGATGTCGAGAAAAATTGCATGTAGTTATGGCATTTTCACCGATAGGAGAAGCATTTAGAAATCGTTTAAGACAATTCCCTGCTTTAATTAACTGCTGCACCATTGATTGGTTTCAGGTTAGTTAATTTATATTTGTTTATCTAATATATTTTCTTGTTGGCTAATTATTTATCATTATTGTAGGGTAGCTGGTCAACATATAGTTAACTAAGTTGATATTGTTCATTTCAGTGATCTAATAACCCTGTGGTTAGACAGACTCATGAAATGATGATACTTATATGCAAAGAAAATCTGTTTACCAAAAACATCAACAGGTTAGAAAACAAAGAATCATCTACGCTAATACCACACAGAAAGTGAATAAAAGTGATAAGAACAAGTTGATAAAAGAAAGTATTTAGTCAGTGGATCCGTCAGATGTTTCTGAAGTGCTTGGATGGAATATTTATGAATATTTACGAATAATCGATAGGCACAGAGTTATTAATGAACTTACTTCATAATCAGACGGCTTCTACTATATTCATGGGTTTTTCAGCTCTGATAGGTATTCTGATAAATCATTCACAACAAGACCCTCTAAGTAAAAATAATTCAAATATATTTATCCTTTGAATTTGTATAGATCAGATATTCACCCTTTTTAGGTTATGGGACATGAACATATTTTACAACGTTCGACTATAGTTGTATAATCTGGACTTAAGGCAGCATTCAACTTTTTTTGATCATAATGTTCTATGGGAGTGTCTATAATTGAATGATGTAACAAAAAATTATATCAACCTTGTACAGTCTTTCTATTCAAACATTACTAGTCGAGTCAGAGATTATGGTGAACTGTCATTAAGACTGGCAATGTCAAGTGGTGATCGTCACGGTTGTTCGCTTTCTTCATTTTTATTTAAGTTAGTCCTTGACATCCTTTTAGAGAAAAATCGCTAGTCGACTGGCTTTTCATGGGTTGATCTTTTATCAAGAGATTTACTTGGTGATTTAGAATACCCAGATGATATAGTTCTGTTTTGTGAAAATACTTTTGGAATGCAGTCTTCTAAACATCTGAAGGAACAATGCAAGCATGTTTGAGATGCGATTTTTTCTCTCTCCAAATTCAAAATATTGCTTCACAACTAGCCTGTATCAGCCCTCAAATGAATGATAAGGAATGCAGTAGTTGAGCATATTGACTGCTTCACTTATCTTTAGAGTCTAATCAATCTTGATAGTCTGGCGTCTAACAAAATCTCAGCACAGGTTCAGGAAACTTTCCTCAAACTGCATCAATTGTGGAGTAGAACGAGTTTACTACTCAGTAGCTCACTCCTTCCTACTTCATAGTTGTGAAACATGGTATATTTTCACGTTACTGATATTCGATTATACATCTCTTCGAAGCATCGTTCGTGTATTTCACGATCACCGAGTTAGCAATGCCTGGGTTAAGGATGTAATATTAGTTAACGATGTTAATCAGTTGAAGAGATATTAAATTTTCATTAACTGAGGTTGTTGGTACTTGTGTTAAATATGCCTAACCACAGCCTACAGTGACTGGTGATGCTGTCTGATGTGTGAGTAGGTTGGAAGAAAACTAGTAACTCCCAAACTAAGAAGTGCCAACGACTTATGGAGCCAATAACAATTTGACTTAAACATATTAACAGATGTAGACTATCTGGTTGGGGTCCACGTGATTTTCGTAACCAATGGTTAGTGCTAATGTTCGAAATCATTTGTAATGGTTCGAAATCATCCAATCTTTGTCCACCTCTAGGGCTTTTAATTTTGTCGTTATTCAAATCGGGTGATGTTGTCGAAGGGCTCTCCACTTTAGTGGCCCGAGTTCTGACTTCAAGTAGATCGCATGAATGTTTGTTATCGCCTGTCCTCGTATATAATCATCGACTTAAATTGCGTTAGTCAATAACGGAATTAAATAAATCAAATAACGAGAATGGACTTTTGAATACATGTATTTTGTATATGGAGCAAACGGAATAGAGAGAAGAGAAACGGAGCGCAGTGGAGATGGCGGGTAAGCCAACTCCCCTTTAACCAAGCGTTAATCAATATTTATAGTTACAAAAAAAATAAGCTACAGACATGTGATGAGTAATGGGATAAGAAGTGTACACAAACCTACGTGCTCATATAAAAACAGTGAAGATTGATAAGCGATTAATTAACAAGGTCAGAATCAATATATTGAGCTGTTCGAAAGCTAGAATAAGGTATATGGGCTTAACATAATAACAGACACTACATTGCCTTAGATCCTAAATTTCTAATCTTCTCATAATCTTTCTATTTCATTAATTTTTATTTTCTTGAATCTTGTTTTCAATGTCTATTCCATACCATAGCCACTAATTCTTTTACTACCTTTATTACTCTGGGATTCTTCTTAAAAATCTTATCTCCCTGTGTTAATATGATATTGACAGCTTGAACTAGTGTACACATTTACCAATTTCCACGTTGTGTCGGTATAAAGCAGTCTGGAAACTGAATAATTTCAAAGTCCATCATTATGTAATTACAGTTTACGGTCAATTTAACAAACGAATGAATATAAGTTTTCGCTTCTTTTTTTTTATCAAATCATTTACTTTACTAGTCTTGGCCTGAAGATGGTCTAGTTCGAGTTGCCAATAAAGCACTTCAAAATTTAGATATGGAAAATCATATTCGTGAATCTACTGTACATTTATTCAAATATTTTCATACTTCAATTACACCATTAGCTGAGAAATTTTTAATGAATTTAGGTCGAAAAACTTATGTAACACCAACTTCATATTTAGAATTAATTGATAGTTTTCAAAGATTATTAACTCAAAAACAAAATGATACAATGAAAGCTAAAATGCGGTAAGTAATATGATTTCATTTATTACGTAATGGATTTCATATTTCAATAGTTGAGATCATGAGTCAATTGAAGCTAGACCACCATGGAAGTGTATGTCCATTGCTGAGGAGTCTCACAATAGGACGAAATGGCCGTCTACTGCTTGCAGATTTTCCATGGTGGTCTAGCTTCAACTGAATCATGATCTCAACTGTTGAAATTACTACAATCTCCACAAAACCTCTTCGTATTTCACATTGTTGAAACTCGTGACTAATCTCTAGTGATGTAATCTCTTTAAATAGATACTTCAATTCGGACTACTTTTACATATTATGGATAACAATAAAATCCATAAAACACAGATTATTAATTAAACTTTTTTATATATCTATTTATCTTGGTTTATCCAGTCAGATAGTCAGTCATTAACAACGTAGAACTTCGTACGTACCTACGGACGTACGTACATCAGTTTGAGTTGCCATACCACATTAGCACACAGATACAATTGTCGATTCAAATCCTGTTAAGAATAGTAAATCGTAAAATAATAGTCAATAGATCAAATGAAAGCCTATTATAAAAGGAATATGAATATACAAATAATATAGTTACTTAATGGTTATCCGATAGTAATATATGTGATAATAGTCCATAAATAATTCTTAGCAGTTGCTATGCATTTATTCTTCGTTAGAATATAACACTTTTGGAATGATTCAATATAGATAATAATTTAAATGCTTTTGATTTTGATATTTATAATTATTTTTCTAACTATAATTTAGCTATGTCAATGGCTTAGATAAATTAGCATTCGCTGCAGAACAAGTAGCTGATATGCAAATCAAATTAGAAGAACTTCAACCTCAACTTGTATTAGCCAGTGAAGAGAATGAAAAACTTTTAACTGTTATAGCTACTGAATCAGTGACAGTTGAAGAACAACGTGTTAAAGTAAAAGCTGAAGAAGAAATTGTCAATCAAAAAGCTGATGCTTCTAAAGCATTAAGTGATGAATGTCGAGCTGATTTAGCTGAAGCACAACCTGCATTAGAAGCGGCTCTTTCTGCATTAGACACACTTAAACCATCTGATATTACAATAGTGAAATCAATGCAAAATCCTCCACCTGGTGTCAAACTTGTCATGGAAGGTGTTTGTGTTATGCGTGATATTAAACCAGATAAAGTAAATGATCCATCAGGAACAGGTAAAAAGATTAATGATTATTGGGGACCATCAAAGAAACTACTTGGTGATTTGAATTTTTTAAATCTATTGAAGGAGTATGACAAAGATAATATCCACCCAACGGTAAGATATGAAAAAATTTAGGATTCATGTGATTGTCTTAAGTGGATATATCGATGAGACTATAATTTATGGACGAACCAATCAGATATAAGACAACAGGTCTTAGATTTTGGCGCGAAATTCACTTCTCCATTCGGGTGAAAAGAGGTTATGTCAGTTATATCAGTTTGTGATGGAAATTCTAGATCTAATTCATAACCTTAACTATCAACTGCAAATCGCAATTCTAATTTCTTAAACTGGTTTATAACCATCAATTGGTCCTTGTTATTAGGTGGACACTCTCAAGGTCACTCTAGCGCCGCTCAAAGATCGTCCATAAATTATAGTCTCACGGATATATCATTGATGATTAAATAAAATATTCAACTAATAATGTATGTGGTTATATGAATTAGATTTGATCCTTAATCATATAAAGTATGATCTCATCTTAAACATACTTCAGTAGCATGTATATCAAACCACAGGTTACCTCATATTCTAATTTTGACATTGCTATATTCACAAATTTTCTAAGTCATGGTAAGTGTTTATGTTATCATATTGATCCCTTTCGAACTGATAAAGAATTGTGAGATTCTATGTTTTGGATTTCATCTAAACTAGTCATGTTTACTATTTATTACTTTCAAGTCAAAACTTACGGAGTTTCTGTTATCTATGTTGATTCAAAGACCTTTACAATATTCAACATAATTTGATTTAACTTTAGCAGTTTGATGTTAGTTCACTTTTAAGGAGTTGAGGTTTGTTTACAAATCCGTTTCAAAATCTGCATATGTTTTTTTATTTTGATCTAACGGTATTCTTATTAGTAGTCAGGTTTATCCATGAACTTCTAGTTTGTACCAGGACTTAAGAATAACATTATTTGTTATATTTAATATTTCCTTAGATCATGCAACGTATACGAAAAGATTTCATGACAAATCCTGAATTCGACCCAACCAAAGTAGCTCGTGCTAGTTCAGCTGCTGAAGGTTTATGCAAGTGGATATTAGCTATGGAACAGTATGATCGTGTAGCTAAAATTGTAGCACCAAAGCGTATTAAATTAGCTGAAGCTGAAGCAGAATTAGCAGAGAATATGGCATGTTTAAAAAAAACACAAGATGCATTAGCTGAAGTTGAAGCTAAATTAGAAAATTTACAAAATCAACTTAAATCTACACAAAACGAAAAAAAACGCCTGGAAGATGAAGTATCAAATTGTGCAACTAAATTAGAAAGAGCTACAAAGTTGATAGGTGGCTTAGGTGGTGAGAAAGACCGTTGGCGTCAAGCAGCTGAATATCTTGAAAAATTATATGATAATCTTATTGGTGATGTACTGATATCAGCTGGAATAATTGCTTATTTGGGACCATTTACATCGACTTACAGAGAAGAGTGTATTTCAAATTGGATTATTCAATGTAAACAGCAAAATATCACTTGTTCTGAACCATTTTCATTAACTCAATGTCTTGGTGATCCGGTAAAAATTCAACAATGGAATATCGATGGTTTGCCACGTGATGCGTTTTCAATAGACAATAGTGTTATTGTAGCAAATGCTAGAAGGTGGTAGGTTGTTTTGCAATTTTCTGTAAACTACTAAACATGCAATTATTTTTGTTTTAAAGCACAAATTCTTTCAGAAGACAGCAAAAGAAATCAGCTTGATCATAGTAGATGGGAGATCATGCTATTTCATAGTTACACCAATGTTTCGTTATGACTACTGTTAATTTCTAGATTAAATCCATATATAAATGAGAAAAGAAAAACAAGATAAATTAGTATATAAAGTCTGTTATGAACTGACAGTTCAATTCCTAATGTCACGTTAAAATACTTTTAGCTATAGACAATATGGAACGCAACATGTATGCATATTTAATCACAAAATAGTATGACAAAGGTTATCAAATATATATAGGTCGGATGTCATTTGGTGTTAGAATAAAAAAACATGAGGGGTAGGTGACGTAATAATTAAGTGAGGTTCAGAGATAGATAAGATAAATTGTGTGATCACTTTAGAGGCAATGAAGGGTTTACACAATAGTCTTGAAAAGAAGCTGACAAGATAGTTGCGTAATAATTGAACAGAATTTGAAGAGTTTACATAAATTATGAAAATTAACTGAATGGAAATGTATGGATGATGTGGTGGTCTTAATATACGTAAAATAAGAATTCGGTAAGGAAAGACCACATAACAAATTAAACACTAATAGAACAAAAACTAATGACCAAAAAATGATTTACCAGGGTAGTAATAAGTTACATAAGTCAGGTTTTAGTTTTTTTTAATCTCAACTACTTCAGCAAACCGAAGTTGTGTTTCCGTGTCTTCTAATAATTTTGAAGGCTTGAGGAATGTCAATGATTGACACGGTGTCAAATAAATGCCAAGCTATTACGTTGTTAAGAGCCATTAAGCCTCACAGCCTCAATTTCATTGAAACATGTTCGGAATTGCAAACATGTACTCTTCTCTCGCTTCTTCAAATGCATTATTCTTTGGTACGCATATGTAAATTGGTAAATGCACTCTTATACTATATAACAGAGATATGTAATAACAGTATTGTGGCTTAGTTTAAACTTAGAAGCCTAATACTCTACTTGTAGCCATATTTTTTTTTGCTTTCCTCGAGCTGTTCTTCATTGTTTTAGTTGAATAGTGGAAGAGTAATTTCTCTCTCTTTTTCTCAATTGTTCGAAGTATGATATATAACTAAACACGTACAATATTCACGTACTATCAGCTAAGAAAGGATAATGTTATCGATTTTCTTTCTAACAAGGACAGAGATATAGGAATAAGATGGCTAGCTCCATAAATTCATCTAATATGGTATATAAACTTGAAATCCTGAGGCCGGTAATTGATTTATTGAAAATATTTGTTAAAGATGTTTAGATTGTAAACAAACCTAACGTAACCATTTTTAGATACGTAGTATGAAACGGTTAGGTATTTTATGACATGTTGTTTTCTTTTTCCAAATGTTTAATCACAAGGCCACTGATGATTGATCCACAAGGTCAAGCTAATAAATGGATAAAGAATATGGAAAAAGATACAGGAATCACTGTTGTCAAATTAACAGATAATGATTTCATTAGAAATTTAGAAAATGGTATTCAATTCGGTACACCAATACTTTTGGAAAATGTCGGTGAAGATTTAGATCCAAGTTTGGAACCTCTATTACTAAAACAAACATTTAGACAAGGTGATATATTTATTTGTTTTTGTATGAAGATGTACAACTATGTTTTTTAATGATTGTTAAGAATAATTAAGTCTTTGAATGATGTTATTAGCTTAAACCGATTAATGCAATAATGAGAACCACATAAATGGTAATTGATTTTCATCTAAGCCTTTCAATTCTTCTGTAGAGTACATTTTATACAATTGAAGAGTGCAAACGTTGAGGTTTAGAATCTTACACTAAGCTTATGACCATTTCATCCCTAGGTTGGTATGAAGTATTTATCATTTCTGAAACGTTTTTAGCAAATACAAAGAATTTGAACACCTAAATGTTTTTCGGTAGTACTTAAACTAACAGTTAATCAGTCATGTACAACATCGAATCTGGTACATATGCGTAACAGTTCAAGTTGCCAGATCATATTGGTGCATAAACTGACAAGACAATCATGACAATAGTAATAATATCGGTAATGGTATAAAACATATAGTATAGGAAAAATGATTCTGTTATTAGTATGAAATATTTATGCTAATCAAATTTATAGTGTTCATAATGTATAAAACCAAGAACTCAGCATTACTTAGTTTTGTTTTAATGTAAAGACCAGTGTTTAATATTGGATTAGAGAATGACACATATCGTCCAAAGATATTCAAGAACAAATTTCGGAACTAATCTCTAAAATGTACTTAATTTTGGTTGAAGTTAGACATCAACACTGTTGGATGCCGACTGGTTCAGTTGTCTAGAGTTTAAGCGTCTGCGCGCTATGCCGAAGGTCCTGAGTTCTAGTCCCGAGAGTGGGATCATGGATGTGCACTGCTGAAGGGTGCCATCCTGAAACGAAACGGCCGTTCAGTGCTTCCAGGTTTTCATGGTAGTCTAGCTTTAATCGACTCATGAATTCAACTATCAAATTACTATAATAAAGGTCTAATATTTATTTATACTTCTTAAGGTGCAAAAAATCAATATGCTGAAAATACAGTTCATGAGAAAAACTTTAAAGTATAAGTTCGATTCAGAGTAGTCCTTCAGTTTATTTATGCATAAGTTAACGTCAACAGTGAAGGTATCCTGTCATCAATATTTCATTAATGTAACTCATTTCATGCGAGACGTGCTTTGAAAACAACCTAAGCTGCTTGCTAACTGACTTTATTCAATACAAACTGCATTTGACTTCACATCAGTACGAAAGAGTAAGAATATGATAAAACAGTTTGGATATTTTGTTGTTGTAATAATCATTATTATCATAATGTTTTTCTGTTATATTTTAAAGGTGGTGTGGATATGATACGTTTAGGTGAAAATATCATTGAGTATTCAAAAGATTTTCGTTTGTACATCACAACCAAACTAAGAAATCCACATTATTTACCAGAAATTGCTGTGAAAGTTTCATTATTAAACTTTATGATTACATTAGAAGGTTTAGAAGATCAGTTACTGGGTATTGTTGTCGCTAAAGAAAAGTAAATTGTTTTTATAATAAATAAATAGTTAAGCTTTTTTCAATTGCATTTTGTCCTGGCATGAGACTCTTCAACAATACATATCTATGACCCTGCATCTGGCAATGGAACCCAGGATCTTTAGTCTCGCTTACAAATGTTTGACAGTTGAATGTCAGATTGTCGCTTTAGAGTTCAAGTGTGTTGCGTACGATTAAAGATATCAGCCAGATGGTTTGTTAGATAATATCACAAATTCCAATAGTTATGAAAACAATTTTAAATGCTTAACAAAACAAATTCACTTGGCGTTGGTCTCTCATTGTGATTTAGGACTGCAACTGATCAGTCTGTTATTGGCATATGTGCATCTTGTACGGATTGCCTCGATATTGCTTTCAGTCAAAAATTTTATAAACAAAGATGGATAGCGGCTAACAGTGGAATCCAAGACGCGCGTTTCGTCTTATTCAAAACCGGTCAGCTAGATATACCTGCATCCCAGAGTTGATATTCACTCTTGGACTTGACCCCCATTACCGTTCACTTCATACGCCATCGCGTTATCCACTTAGCTACTAAGTCCTGACTGCCACTTACTGAGCAAAACAGTTTGAAGATGACTTAAATAAGGTGATAACCACTCATAGATATTAGTTAATAAATAAATTCATAAAAGGATCAATAATGGTAAAGATGACAAAATATTTAACAGGTAGTCGAATATAAATAAAAGTTACAGAAGAAACAATCTAGATATGTAGTTGTAAAATTAATATTCGGATTTATAAAGCACTTGATTAAATGTTCAATATTAGTAGTAACAGTTGGAATATGTAGTTTATGGTTTGATAATCATAAATATCAGTAAGAATATAGAGGCAAATATCAAAACTATATAAGAACACCAACATGAATGAAAATTTGTTATTGTAAACAGACCTACTCTTGTATGACCTATATATCGATTACCAAGACAACTGTTTTTCGTCTAGAACCTTAATGCATCATACAATCAACTCACAAAAATTCCAAACCCTCAATAATTTGCTCTATAAAATAATGCAAATAATCAAACAGACCATTTTAGTCCGTACTTATTTACTCACTTACTTAAGCTTGTTACCGTATCGTAGAGGAATATAGGCCGCCCACAATTTATTCCTTAGACTGTTTCATTTACCTTCAGAGGCAAAAATGTTTCGTCTATCATACCAAAACACATAATAATGATACATGCATCAAGTCATAAATAACACATTTTATCATTTCCATTTATTCTATTCTAAGATTATATTTTGTATAATAATGAGGATTCTATGCTTGTTAAACTGTTATTATGGAATGTACGTAATCATACTGTATTATGAAATCATTCACCTACCCTTATACATATTTCACTTTAATAAAAGGTTTATTCTAAATGTTCAGTATGAGGTAATCTAGCAATCACGTCCTTTTCGAGGGTAAACACTTAATATTATTATTATTATTATTATTATTATCATCATCATCATCAATTATCGATCGATTTCATTCAACGTTATTAAGTCTGTACTCAATTTCACGGTATATTATATATTTAACTAAACAGTATAGACGTTTTACTACTTTAAAAATAATAAATGTTCATTATAGACCGGAACTTGAAGAAGCTCGTCAAGAATTAATAATAACAACAGCAAATAATAAACGTATGCTTAAAGAAACTGAAGACAAGATATTGGCTACTTTATCAGAATCTGAAGGGAATATTTTAGAGAATGAAGCTGCGATTGAAATACTTGATTCATCTAAATTAATTTCAGATGATATTTTCAAAAAGCAAAAAGTAAGTGAAACATAATTATACACATTGTTACTACTTATAATTAGTATGAATGTAGCGTCAGTAAATAATCATAAACTGTATTGTACCGTAGTAATAACATAATGTTCTTATTTAGTTAAGGCTTTGTGAACATTTATACAGGTTAACACTTTTGTATCGGTGCAATATCAGTAGGAGAACAGTTATATACTTGTAATTATTGAACAACTATTTTCACCTACATGAAGCGCTTTAACATTATGGACTTACCACACTACAATGCATGAAAACCGAACTGCTTGAATGCAAATCAGTGGTCTAAGATATGTTTTTCCCCTACAAATTGGAACATTTATGATTGATCGATAAGAATTTCCCAGATTTTCAATGATATTCTGTTTAATCCTAATTTGTGACGAAGCATATTTTCAAAATGATGTCATATTAGTGGCTTATATGTAACAAATTTTCAAACTATGAATGCAGGAAATCCTCAAAATTATATCTTTTGAATTACACTCGGCAAAATCAGTGGTTTAAACGTTTTTTTAATGGGTGACTATTATGTTACTGTTACTTTTCAATTAACAAATGAAGATGAAATTCTTTAGACAGAATCCTCTTACAAATTGGATAAAATCGATTTCAAACTACGCTTACTTGTAAAATACACACTTCTTTAAATCTGCAGCCACGTTACGCATTGAGAACCAGTTAAAGATAACAAATCAGTTTCTGAGGTTGTAAATCTTTGCTGATTTTGATGGTGAGGATATGTAACACACATCCTTCCTGGACGAACGATGTTTCCGGGTATGCGATAAGGTTGAAAGAAAGTTGGGCAGGGTTAAACCGAAACATTGGGCTGGTCAATAAACCCAGACTACTTGGATGGGATGAGCGTGATGACCGCGACTAGTGAGTGGACGGACCAGCTAACATGACTCAAAACCGATTACACCGACGTATTTGCAATAATTATTAATCCGTTTCTAAACCACAAGTTCGTTTATTTCCTCAAACACGTTTTTGTTCAGGCTTTTGTATCATATTTCGATTGTTCAGTCTTTCTTAGCTTCATCTCACCGCATTATTATGGTCTGGTAACTTGAGTCAGTACACTTTTGTACCAGGCTTTATGTTGGTTATGACTGATTGACTGGAGAGCAGAAATGACACTACGTAAGATACGAATGCCTATATACTATGTCACTATGTACAATAATCATTCTCCTTTTCTTTTAACTAATAGGTTGCTGAAGAAACCCAAAAGAAGATTGACAGTGCGAGAATGGATTATTCATCGATTGCTAAACATTCTGCTGTACTCTTCTTTTCATTAACAGATCTACCAAATATTGATCCAATGTATCAATACTCTTTAGCATGGTTTGTCAATCTCTACGTTAATTCAATTCATGATAGGTAAGTGTAGAACAATAACATTGTACTCAGTAGATATTGCTTTTCTGAAATGCAAAGATATGGACTTTAACGTGAACTAGATGGAAGAACTGGTTTGTCATAATTTATCGCGATATCATAGCAGTTGATAGCTTTGGTTTTTCTCACGGTCATCATGAAACCTATGAACTTCATAATATGTAGAAAGAATACCTTTTCACTAGCGTTACCTTGATATTAAAGCCCATTTTACGTAGAATTACTGTTATGATTTGATTCGATTAAGGTTTTGTCGTCCCAAACAAATGTTTGGTATATTAATCATTCCAGATCTGAAGATAAGGATATATAAATGTGAGTGACAATAGTCGTTAATCAAATCATGTTTCACATTGTGGATATTTAATTGGCACATTTCAGATTGAGAAAAATCCAGAAATTAGTAGCACATATCAGTAGTTTCGTATTTGTGTATGACTTTTCAGCATTATGTAGGTGTGGCTTCACATAGGTACGAAATTATGACGTATCATCGGCAGTGGACATCAGCTGCATTGGTTATCTAAGTGATGATAGATTTTGTTAAATATAGACTCGAACTATATCAACCATTTTACAAAACCCCTAAAAACCTATGGAATAGCTTAATTCTATTTATTTAGGTTATATTACACTATTGCCATTAATGTCATTTAGGCGTTAATAAACTGCTAAAAAAGTGTAAAAGTTAAGACAATAAGGATATCTGGTGATTAAATACTTCTACAAATTCTGACTTGATGTCAACCTTATGACTTGTCCCAATCAAGTGTTTGAAAAGACAAGGTCTATGTTACACCGAATGTCCAAATAGCAGGTAAGCGATTGTGTCACATACCAATGTATCTATGTATGTGCGAAACATGTACATAGAGAGGAGCAATCGTGATCTGAAAGAAAGGGTGGCGGAACACAAACCTAAATGAATTCAGTAACAAATGAATTCCAATGGTTGAATAAGATCACAGGATAGACAGACATCATCCCCCGTTGTGAAACATTTGATTGAGACTAGTCATAAGGTAGAAATCAAATCAGCATTTGTAGTGTTGTACAAAGGCCTTCAAAGGCGTACACTAAGGTTTATTGAAGTCTTGACTATACGGAAACTGAAACCTCCTTTGTGCAATCAAAAACAATTTGCCCTTACCTTCACCCTGCCTTGGTAATACTGATTTATTACCCAGAGTGATTATCACATTATTAATGTGTACTTGATTATTTTATTTTTTGTTACGACCTACCTTTAGCCTGTTTAGTTGACCTGTTAGTTTTCACATAAAAATGTCTTAACATGTATATAAGCGATCAAATTGTTCGGAATGCATTGCACAAATATATCACATAATTCTGATAAACTTCGTCTTCTCATTGAATTAGCGAAATTTATCAAGGGGACTAATTGTTTAAAATCGAATACTTGATTGATATTTGAGAATTCCTGTGTGCTTTTATTAAACATCTTTATCACTCAAAGAGTTGCATTTCATACTAAAAGGGAACAATGTTAACGAATTGTTACAGTGTTGTTATGGTCATAATTAGAACGCTCATTGAAGTAAGGCATTTAATCAGGACTTTATGCTATATTACAAATAAAAATATTTATTTTCATTGAAATCATGAACCGATCAAAGTTGGAGAACCAATGAAAGTCTGGTAACACTGAATGGCCACTTCGTCTTAATATGGAACACCTTAGCAATGCCCATTCACGACCTTACAACCGAGAATCGAACCCAGGAACTTTGAAGACAATTATTGATTGAAGTTAGACTTGTACACCAGTGAACCTCAACTCAACAGTTTATAAGTTAAGTGATTGTGCATGTGACCGAAAGTCATAGATTCGGCTCTTTCTTGATAAGTCAAAGATACTCGCTGATGAGAAGTCCTATACTTGGACGAAACGACCGTTCTGGCCATCTAACTTTTCATCAGTTCGTAACTTTAATGAAATTTAACAGTTTCATAACCTTATACTGAAAATCAAATGCGTTTGACACAGTGTGGATCTTTAAACTATATAGATTGCTTTGAATAATTTCAACCTCAGACTCCATCTTTATGATACCAAGAAAATGTTTTATTATGATAATTATTATAAATCAGATAGCTTTAATTTATTTTATTCAATTGTGTGGAGACTGTAGCAATCTCACTAGTTGAATTCATGATTCGATCTAAGCTAGACCACCATTAAAAGCCTGAAATCACTGGACGGCCATTTTTTCCTAGTAAGGGACTCGTCAGCAGTATGCATCCACGATTTACTGAAGTTCAATACTAGGACGAAACTGTCATCCAGTGCTTTCAGGTTTTCAATGGTGATCATTTATATGTGACATCATTTATGTTATCAGTATTTATTATAAATCATTTAGAATACAAGAAGTAATGAAAACATTTCACCATAGAAAGTAGTGAATTCTAAACAAATATCATGTGAAGATTATGTGGAATAGAAGAAATATGATATCGATATTATTATGATATTACTAATAATAGTAATTTGTGATAAAAATGAAATACAAGGAATGAGATAAAAAGAAAGAGATTAATATTAATAATTTATAATATAATGTAGTGAACAGAACACTGTTGAGGACAATTGAATGTTATTAATATAAGATTACAGGACTTGTTAATAAAATCGAACAATCATAAAGTAAATGCTTAATTTGCAAAATGTCCATCGATTGTCTCACAATGACTCAGACTTCATCGTTCTTGCATTTTCATACAAATGGCATTCTGTTTCCATTCTTTACTGTTCGACCCTCTTGTCTCTCCGCTTCCACACCTTCTGTTTATGACTAACATCATATACTACTTATGTCAACATAAGTAGCACGCACCACAGATATAACCAATTTGGTCAGGAATTATTTATTTATTTTAGCACATAGATATTGGTACAAGGAGGCACCAAATACATATGCGCCACACAGATCTCATTTGATATGTGTGAGGGCTATGATACTGCCCGGGTACCCAGACCGAAGCGGGTGGTTTTCTTAAGAGGCGACAACCGGAGCCCTCGACATGAAGGCTGATCCACAACGCAATGGAGCATCGTAAGTAGATGCATTCCCATGGTAAACGGTGACCAACGATTGGTTCATACGCCATTTGTTCCCTCAGGATACTGGAGCCCAAGTGCACCATTGGTTTGGAATCAGGGTTTTCCAACCCCCCTAGGTGGACTCTCCATGTCCATTAACCCGGTTAAAGCGCCGGACATTTTCTTTTCGTCTTCTCAATTTCGTAAACAACACCACCGCCACGAGAAGGCAATGAGTAGGATTTCCCCGACAGAGGTTATATACGCGTGGCTATGTGAGAGCATTTCGAGAGGGAGAGCGGATTCTTCCCACTCTCGGCCGTACCAGGGCATTTGGGGGTTAGTCAGGAATAAAATGATCTTATTACTGGAGAAGACAAATAAAGAAGATAAATGTATATACATTTAGATAAAGAGATTTAATTCGTTCATATTTATCATACTCAATAAATGATTTATGAATTTCAGTAAATTGTGGGAAAGTTGAAATAAAACTTTAAAACAGACTTTTTTATTATTTTTTGAATAAGAAAAGTTGGCTTACTATTTGAATTTTCATACCCTCTTTTTTTACCGAACATAGAGATACAGGTTCATCAATATGAGGTACTTTGCTAATGAACGTAGAGTCACAAGACTAAATATATATAAGCATACCATAATTTACTAGTATCAGCTTGGTCGAGATATTATAGAACTAAATTTCGCATCAATAAATTCATCTAGTCAACACTTTGGAAAAACACTATGTACTTCTTTTTTTACAAATAAAGTCTTAAGAAAAAACTGAAGGAAGTAAAAAAAGAATCATTATGCTTCAAACTTTCCTACTTACCAACTCTCCTACTGTTAGTTTATACAGAGGTTTATATAGAAATTTTACCATTAGTTTGACAAATTGCAATATATCATCATTAAAGTAACTGTTTCTATGAATTTGGAGTTAATGTTATTGTACTAATGGCGTATGACATATTGAACCGATGCATATATGTGCCTGGTCCGACGTTGTAGATGACTGACTGACTGACGATGTCAACGCCAAATCGATTATTCTAGTCTCCAAAGAGACCAGTTTATTCATTTTTGTTGAGTCACGTTTGGACCATGTAAATTATGTTTTTATTCTGAACAACGACTTATTCTAACAAGTACAGAAAATTGGCAATTTTTTTTATTGCCCATGATAAAGTGGTCTTATATAGTGAAGTATATCTGTCCATATCTTAAGAGTGTCATAAGTATTACATTCTTTCAGCTATCACTAATTAGATCACTGATATATCCAGTTCAAATTAATCATAATCTATTAGAATCATTTCTTCTCAAACAAAGATATATATATTCACTATATTTCTCTCTTATTAAACTGCGATTATGTTATACATTCCAGACGAAACTAAATATTTGAGAATATCCTAACTGTTACGACTTAATCTGTCATTGTCTTCTCCTAATCTATATTCAAGCTTCTCGAATAAAGGCTTTCTTTCACTAACAAACAGTAATGACAACTAATTTTTTTCAATATAGAATGGTTGAAGTAAGACATTAACACATTTGGATGCCGACCAGTTCAGTGGTCTAGTGGTTAAACCACCACTCACGAGACTTATAGATTCTGGGTTGGAATCTCACGAGGCGGTATCGTGGATGCGCACTTTTGAGGAGTCCCATATTAAGACAAAACTACCGTCCAGTGCTTTTAGGTTTTCAATAGTGATTTAACATCAATTAGTTCATGATCTCAATCAAAAAATAAAACTATACTTGACTTCATAATTTCTGCTTGAATTATATTTCATTTTGATGGATTAGTTAATGTAAACAATAACATGAGAAATAATCCATAACATTGATCTCATTATCATTGATGATCACTTCATAATGACTTGCACTACTATTTTTGTAAATTATAATTACAATTTTTTTTCTTAATTATTTTTTACTTTATTATGCTTGATCAGTAATAAATCAAAAATATTGGAAAGACGATTACGTTATTTAAAAGATCATTTTGAATATAATCTGTATACAAATGTATGTCGTTCATTATTTGAAAAGCATAAAGTATTATTCGCATTTAGTATGTGTATCAATATTGTTAAGTAAGTTATTGTATATATTTTTGATGTTTTTATAATGAGAGTTACATTATCTTATAGATTGGGTTATAGGAAACATTTCGTACGGACTGTTGATAGATTAGTTTAAAGACAGTTTATATCTTAAGCTGACGTGATCTGCATAAACAGTTGAAAACAGGGAGTACTGTATTGTTCATCTACTACTAACCAGTAAATAACTTTGAGACATATTCCAGTATTTCTTGTGAGGAATTGTAACCAATGGAGTTCACATATATAACGTTCTTAAAACCTATCACTGATGTTAACGAATGATGGTCGAAAAACAGCATAAATAAACAAAAGTTGGATTTCTAATCCACGTTCATACTCACTGATTCGAAGCACATTCAGGTTGAATCTTTCTTTTTCTGCAACAACTTGGATGACTCTCCCGCTCTCCCACATTGCACGAACATTCTGTATGCCTAAATTAATGGTTGCTGTAGTTTTCAGAAGGAACATCAATCTCGTGACTCTTAAAAAAACTCGTTTTTCATCATGAAACTTCATAACTATTCTAAATGAAGATCTTCTAACTCCCGGGGAAGAGTTTAAATGGTTTGAATTATTATTTTCTGGTTAGCGTCTTTCTAGTGAGTTAGTTTTCTTCAGGATTTTGTCGCTAACCCCATGCCCAACCCTTCCCCTTTATCCTGGCTTCGGACCGGTAGTAGCCCCATAGAGGCTACAGGTGGAGTTACAGTCATATTCAGTCACTGCATAAAAATTCATTTATTTGTAGATTTGAATTTCCAACTATTCACGATGTAACTTAACTTTTATCCATTATTACCGATGAATGAGCAACTCACTCAAAACTCAAATGAATTCATACATCATTCATGTTTACTGGAATTTCATATCGCATAGCCAGTCATCTATGAATATTCAATTATCATTCTAATTCTCATTGTCCCATTTTAAATCCCTGTGATAAAATTTATTCTAAGTCTAAATGTTTATCATATAAAAGATCAAATTAATGTTGATATATTTAATCAATCAAGTGAATAGAAACTAAAATGAGAAAATTAATCATATAAACTATATGTACTACTTATATTAATCATAATAACTTGGTTAATTGATAACCATTAATAGTGGAAACTAATCACTCAAAATTAATTCGATGAGATTATAATTAATGGACAACCTTTGAGCGGCGATATTAAACTGATTCTGAGAATATCCATCTACTAACTAAAACACTTATAAACCAATGTAAGGAATTAGAATTATGATTCATAGTTGATAGTTAAAGTTAGGAATTCATCACGAATTAACATCAGCTAAAGAGTATCAAAATGCTATTTAATCAAATAAATAAATGAAATTCGCGCTAAAATCCAAGACCTATAATCTTTTATCTGATTGGTTCGTCTAGCAATCATACACGTGATGGGTAATTAAGGTTGATAAAGTTGTTTTTTCCTTAAATATATTTTGTTTTTTGTTTTTCGTTAGATTTTTATCTCTTAATTGTTTATTTTAAAAAGTCAATATAACGACAGACTATCATAGTTACTAATTAAATTTAATGAATAAGTCAATCATCTACTCCTTTCTATTTTATTGACTAACATGTTTACCATGATCTTCATTTGATTTGCAGAATTTATGTCATATCCGTTAATGAAAGTAAAGATTACAAATGCTGGTTATCAGGACAATTGATTGTAGAATCTGAATAAGTGAAACTATTATATATGGAGAATATTCAGCGAGACTGTAATTTATGGACGACCTTTGAACAATCCTTAAATGACTTTGAGAAATATTAGTCAATCAGAAGACGGTTCGTACATGGTTCGAAAACTTATCAAGTTTCAGTGGTTCCGAAATCGTAGTGTATACGGTAGAAGAACTCATTCATATGGCTCCATAATAATCGACCTCTAGAGTCATGTTAGGGTAGCAAGAACTTCAGCCCGTTCGAGCAGACTTCTTCCTCCAACATAAATAACATCGAAAAACAATCTCATCAGGGTATCGTGAACACGGTACAGCAGTCATTTGATTACTGCAGTCACAAAAAATGAATTTTGCATAGTCCCATCTGTTGTAGCCGCCCAATAATCACGTCTTCTCTAAAATCCACTGTAAAGTGATAGTACATGAGCATCAGGTACTGAAATCGGCGCCGTGACCTTGAAATCCCTCAAGCGCTTGTGATTCGCTCGTCCATAAATTAGAGTATCCCCATACGTAATTTAAAATTAAGATTGTAAAATAAAATTGAAGAGTTTCATACTAGGGATGGAACAGATATTGAATGTTACCAGATTTTTGGTAGTTTTTTTAACTTGGATCGATTCGTGATTTTAATAAAACGTTCATTTATTAATGGCGCAATCAAAATTTAGATACTAAAAGTCTGGAAAATGTTTGTGAAAGCTCCAACTCTTTCAATATACGCTTCGTTGTAATACAAGAACATTCATCGAAAAGATAAAATGAATAATTTACTCCGATAAAATAAGCTTATAATAGATAGAAATTTGTGAATCAATTGACTGATCGTGATAATTATTGCTAGATAACAGTAAAATGTTGAATTTGTTAGTTACATATCAAGATGTCTTCGAAAGATCTTTGCGAGAAAAAAAACTAGAATTCTTAACCATATGTTATTTACATAAAATTCTATCATATCAATTTCTAACCATTCCCGTTCTTTCCTTCTCTATCTTGTACTGAAATATATTCCATTCCTGATTATTAATATATACTACTTATGTGAATATAAGTAGCTCACATCACAACAGTAGTCAAATTATTCAAGTTATTTAATGAATTAAAGTAAATTAAAGTTTTTAAAAAGTAATTTAATATTATTTGATTAATAATAATTTCATTATATTACTTTTGTATTACATTATATAAAATGTATAGATCTCGAGGTGAATTAGAAATGAATGAATTTATGTTCTTTTTAACTGGTGGTGTTGGATTAGAAAATAAATTAGCTAATCCAGCTAATAATTGGTTATCGGATAAATGTTGGGATGAAATATGTCGTTTATCAACATTAAAAGGATTTGAAACATTTCGTGAACATTTTACAACACATTTAAATGAATGGAAACAATATTATGATAGTAAAGAACCACAAGAAGATAAATTACCTGAACCATGGGATAAATTAGATGTATTTAAAAGTTTGATTATACTTCGATGCATACGTCCAGATAAGGTTTGACTCTTTTTTTAGATATTGGATTTAAACAAGAGTTATTTCTTTCTATCAGTCTGATTTATTCTATATTTAATAGTTGAATTCATGAATCAATTGAAGCTAGACCTTCATGGAACAACCATTTTGTCCTAATATGAGACTCCTCAAAAGTGCGCATTCACAATACCGCCTCGTGAGATTCCTACCCAGAATATATCAGTCTCGTGAGTGGTCGTTTAACCACTAGATCACTGAGCTGGTCGGCATCCAACTGTGTTAATGTCTAACTTCAACCATTCTATATTGAAAAAAAATTAGTTGTCATTACTGTTTGTTAGTGAAAAACAGCATTTATTCGAGAAGTTTGAATATAGATTAAGAGAAGAGAATGACAGGTTAAGTCGTAACAGTTAGGATATTCTCAAATATTTTATTTCGTCTGGAACGTATAGCATAATCGCAGTTTAATAAGAGAGAAATATAGTGAATATATATAACTTTGTTTGAGGAGAAATGATGCTAATAGATTATGATTAATTTGAACTGGATATATCAGTGATCTAATTAATGATATCTGAAAAAATGTATTACTTATGACACTCTTAACATTATCTGTAAATCATTTTACTGAAACCTTGGTAGCAATGCTGAATGATTTAAGTTGATGATTTGTATGCTCCGGTTTCAGCTCATCACTGTGTGAAGTGATTTAACATACTTAACTGTTCTACAAAGACTTTTTATTTTGTTTCATTAAATTAAATTCACAATTATGTGATTCTTTCTCAAATGAAATTAGGTAGTTCCTGGTGTAATGAATTATGTGAGGGAGAAGTTGGGCAGGAAATTTGTTGAACCTCCACCATTTGATTTAGCTAAATCTTATCAAGATTCAAGTTGTACCACACCACTAATTTTTATTCTTTCTCCTGGAGCTGATCCAACAATGGCGTTATTGAAATTTGCTACAGACAAAGGTTTCGGAGGTGCACGTTTTCAGTCTATTAGTCTTGGACAGGGTCAAGGTCCAATCGCGGCAAAAATGATCGCACAGGGTAAACAAGACGGATCATGGGTTTTATTGCAAAATTGTCATTTAGCTGTGAGTTGGATGACAGCACTTGAGAAAATTTGTGAAGATATGACTGTGGAAAATACGAATGCATCATTTCGTCTATGGCTCACAAGTTATCCATCACCAAAGGTTTGTATAAATAATAATCTATTTCTTCGTGTATTGATTTTAGTATATGAAATTAGTGATTATCGTAGTATAATTAGACTAATAACATGTTACGTTCGTTCTATACTAAGGTACTGTGTTTAACTGTGACATATATCTAAGCCAAAATATTTGCGAATATTATAATGGAAAGGAAGGACATTACTATGGTTTGCAGAGAATTATTTTTCAAATGAGTAGAATTTGTTTGGTATCTTGAGGATGACAAATATCCAGTGCTTTTGCTCACTTATTGTACATAGGAAGCTGAAATAAAACCATTCCTGTGTTCATTCTTTGAACATAGTTGGTTTAGTCAGAATTAACGCTATTCATTAGTGTAAACGCAATTACGAATAGAATAACCGATTATTCAATGTGAAACTTTTACGTCTTACAACAAGTGATGTGAGTTATAAATGATCACTGTTGATTAGTTTTATGCTACTCCAAAACTCATCCAGTACTGCCTGGCTCTCAATATTGGTTTAACTATCACTAATTTATAATCGAAACGGAATATTTAACTATCTACACAAACTTTATAAGCAAAGATGTAAAGTGGTTAGCAGTGGAATCCCTACTTGGTTCTCGTAAGCTGGATGTACCTGCATCTCAGAGGTGATGTTCTCTCTGGGACTTGAACCTATTACCGTCCTCTTCAAACACCATTGCGTTGTCTACTTAGCTATTAACAATGGGAAGATACAGGTAAACAACACCAGGTGAATATCTCCACAAATCTTTTACGCATATGATAGTTGAGTGATTATGAGTTACTGTTACGTCCTTGATCTATCTACCCATTTTTAGTGCTGAGGATACTTGTCTAATTTAGATTAAGATAGGCTGACCGGCTTGAACTTGAGGCTAGTATGCATGAGTTTGAAGTAGGGTAGAGGGAAGAAAACTATTCTATCACCTGATTGTCTGACAAGCACGCTAGTAAGAGAAGTCAACTGGAACACTACTCGATTTTATTCTCAATTCCAATCTGGTTGCCGATTTCAGTTTAGTGTAAAAAGATACATGAATAAATAAATGACTAACTCGACCACAATGTACAATAATTATGAAAATACAATTATGTCCCAAACTGGTGATTAGAGTACAAAATAATACGTTTAAATTACAATAACTTTGGAACAAAAAGGGCTATAGTATTGAATCATACATCAAACGAAAGCTTATAATCTGTAGAATAGACTTAGAATAAAAATAAATGTTACTATTTTACAAGCTTCATATTAACTGAAATAACGTCCCTAAAAATAACTTCTAAAGTTTGTCAAGACTTCTTCTTTCTCTGTTCACATCAATTACATTCTTAGTCATAAATTCATATATATATTACTTTCATTGGAATCAATAACCACAAACCTTATTAATATACAAATATCTATAGATGAAGAGGTTTACTTCACTACATAAGATTTCACTTTATCAGTGGTAATAAAACATTTTTGCCAATTTTTCTGTATTTGTTAAAATAAATCGTTGTTCAGAAAAAAATGGGAACATTTACTAGTTATCGATTGAACGTAACCTTTGCTTAATATAAGGCTGTCTGATTGATTATACGTACATAGATATGAATTAGTAATAAGGTGTGTGTGTGATGTTTTTCCTTCCTTGTATAATAAAGAAAAGAAATAAGTAATATCACAGATTGAAATCATGAGTAATAAACATTTGATGGGTAAACTACTTTTTATTTTGAACATAAATTTTAATTACCTTTCTTAGATAATTAAAATTAGTTTGCCTTGGTATTATTTTACTACTTGAATCGTTTCATTGATGCTTGAGACCGCGATTGATCAGTCTCTTATTGGTATATGTACATACTGTGCGGATAACCTAGATATTGCCTTCAGTCACAAGCTTTATAAGTAGAAATGGATAGTGGCTAGCAGTGGAATTCAGGACACACATTTCATCCTATTCAAGACTCGTCAGCTGAATGTACTTGCATCTGAGTGTTGATATTCACTCTCGGACTCGAAGCCGTTACCGTTCACTTCAAACGCTATCGTGTTATCCACCGAATCCTAATAGTCACTTACTTGTGAAATGGGGTGAAGTTTAAACTCAATTGGTATTGTTTTGGACTTCAATTGATCAATTTGAGATACAAGTAAATCTAGCTGATGAGTCCCAAACAGGACGTAACTTGCATCCTAGATTCCACTGCTAGCCACTATCTATCTTTGATTATAATTATTAATAGTGTTTTTAACGGATTTACTATTTTAGTTTTTCGTAGGTAAATCATAGGAAACTTTTAAATTGATTTTACTTGTAAAGATGCGAATCAAATAAACAGAATTTAAGCTCAACAATCTTCACATCCCTTTACTGATATGAAATATTAATTAAAAGACTATTTTCTTCATAAACACATATTGTTCTCATATAGACTCTTATTATTTATAAAATACTAAGTTTTTTTAACATCAGTCAACTAAATTGTCAATGTCATATAGGAATAGTAGTCTGACATTGTTTGACTTATGTTTAAATGTGTCTATTTGAAATAAACAATCAATTATCTTCTGGTTACTCTCTATCATTACATGAAGACTATTTTCATTATAACAATGATTAAAATGATTGTTATTTTCTTAGAAAGTTAATGAGTTACAATGTGTAATCAAGTAGTTGCTAGTAAATCAAAAGAACTTTGATTATATCTTTTATGAAGTATTCATAATTTGTTCATCTTCTCACAAATATCTAATTTTCTGTAATGTTGAAATGAAAAGAAAAATTCCAGGAATCAACTATTGGTATAGTTGTTGATAAGATACTTCAAAATACTTTCAGAATTATAAATGATCATTTGTGATATGCAATGATTCAGGTTTTGTCCCATAAGAAGCATCAGTGATCTCACGATACCAACACTGAATTACCGACTTCTATGAATCCGGTGTTCATCTTGTTGTGCTAATGTGGTATGGCAACTTGGACCGATGCACATATGTTCCTGGTCCTACGTTGTAGCTGACTGACTGACTGAGATTAACCTTATGTGTATCAACCTGCACAAAAATTAGCTTAAACGTTTTTCTTGCCAAATTCCTAAGATTGGACCAAATGTAATTAAAACTGTATTAAATCTAAAACACTTAAGGAAGGCAATGCTTGTAGAGAAATATAGGTACAAGCAATCGGATATCGCAAAATACATTTTTTTATACACTACCTACAATTGTTACAGCGCACTACTGGTTTGCAGTATATTAGTTTCCAACTAATTAATAAAACACTGTTAAACATTTCTTTTAGTTTCCAGTTACTGTCTTACAAAACGGTATTAAAATGACAAATGAACCACCTACTGGTTTAAGACAAAATCTTTTACAGTCTTATTTAAATGATCCAATATCTGATCCAGAGTTTTTCAATGGCTGTCCAAATAAAGAAGTTGTAAGTTATATTTTTAGTTAAATTGAAATAAGTTTACAATTTATGACTATACGTATCTATATTACTTATACATTATTGTTACCTTTATCTTCAAATAATAAAAGTAATGTGTACCTGCAAGTGTATCTACGGCGTGCCTCAGAAGATAGTCAATATCATACAAAATTCCTATGATGAATTAAACTGCAAAAATGTTCATGGAGAATAGGTCATAGATTCGTTCAAAGTAAGACCGGTAAGGCCGGTTTCAGGCAAGGTTGCTTACTCTCACCCTTTCTCTTTCTTCTGGTGATCGACTGGATCATGAAGACGTCAACATCTGAAGGGATGCAAAAGATACAGTGGGCATCTAGGATGCACCTGGACGATCTAGATATCGCAGATGATCTAGCCCTTCCACCGCAAACGCAACAACAAATGCAGAAGAAGACGACCAGTGTAGCAGCAGCCTCAGCAGCAGTAGGTCTCAATATATACAAAAACAAAAGCAAGATTCTCCGATACAACACAGCATGCACTAATCCAATCACAATTGACGGAGAAGATTTGGAAGATGTAAAAACCTTTACATATCTGGGCAGTACCATTGATCAACATGATGGATCTGATGCGGATTTGAAAGCGCGGATTGGTAAAGCATGAGCGACATATCTACAAGTGAAGAACATCTGGAACTCAAAACAACTGTCTGACAACCAACACCAAAGTCAGAATTTTCAGTACGAATGTTAAGGAAGTTCTACTGCATGGGGCGGAATCTTGAAGAACTATGAAATTCATCATAAAGAAGATGCAAGTGTTTATAAACAGTTGTCTACGCAAAATACTTCGGATCCGTTCACCTGACATAATTAGCAACAATCTATTGTGGGATAGAACAAACCAGATTTCAGTAGAGGAAGAAATCAGGAAAAAGTGCTGGAAGTGAGTAGGACACACATTGAAGAAAGCACCAAACTGCGTCACAAGACAATCCCTTACATGGGATCCTTGAGGCTAAATAAAGGAGTGTCGGAAGATTGAATAACACGTTGCACCGATAAATGGAGACAGATATGAGAAGAATGAACAACAATTGGATAAAACCAGAATGGTAGGCCCAGTAGAGAGTGGGTTGGAGAACGCTGGTCCGCGGCCTATGCTCCATTCGGAGTAACAGGCGTAAGTAAGTAAGTAAGTAAGTATCTGTAAGTGTAGTCTTTGATAAAATATCAACTCTTCATTTGGACGATTTACTACCTAATATGTATTTCACAAACTTCTATATTTATCAACAGTTATATCTGATAAGATTTTAGACATGATTCTTGTGTTTTTAAAATGCCTGATTCAATGTCAGAAGTAACTTCAAAGATATGACAATTATGCAGTATATTTATGTACCATTTAATTGACTACTCAAACTAACATTATGTAGAAGGTTAATCCGCGTTCATATTAATTTTTATGACGAAGAATATGATCCTAAAATGGAACAGCTAGACACTTTGTAACTCAATTGGATAAAATAATAAAATACATGGTGTATTTTCGACAATCAAAGTTTAAACCAAATTCTCAAGTGATGGTGTCACTGTACTTTAACACAGTTAAAACAATATAAAGGTATTGTGGGGAAAAAATGCAATAACTCCTAAAAGGAGTGAATGAATAGCCTGACTATCACAAGTGATTCACATCACCAACTATTAAATGAAAATATCTAATGATTCATTCCCTAAGTTAGACAAACTATATTTCCCTACTTTGAAATTATTTGTTGTAAATGTCAGGCTCAGGGTGCGATTTATTTTGAAACGTAGTGTTTTTTTGTTTAAAAGAGAACAAAATAAGATAATTTCATTTAACTGATATCATGATTCAACGTAAGTTAAAGAATTATTAAAAAACTAGGCAGTAGATTTACTTTTCTTCCTGGTATGCAACTCTTCATCAATGAGCACGCATGACCCTGAAATTAGGAATCGAGTTCATAACCTTTGATATCACGTGATAACACTTAACCTCTAGACCACTGAACCGGGATGGTGTACAAATCTAACTTCAATTAGTGCATAATATTGAGAGACCGTCTTCCACTAACCAGTTCTTCCAGGTCTTCAACAGTTGTCTAAACTATGATCGATTCGTGACCTGAATAAAATCCAATGATCCACATAACCCCATAATTCATTTTTCCCGTAGTTTCTCAGAAACTGCCTACAATGTAAAAAAGAAAGTAGCTATCATTTACAACCAATGTACATACGTTATATCATATTAAAAAAGACTACTAGAATAATGACAATGAGTTTGGAAAAATCGTCCAGTGATACGGTGGAAGTATATTTATATATTACTAAGTTTGAACATTCTAAACGAAAAAACTTGAAGCTCATGAAGATAGTTTTGTGGAGAATGAATAGTGGTGTTAAAGTTACGTAATAACAGTAAAAAAACTGAGTAAATTCACTGTATATTATGAGAAAGGCTCAAAATCAGCCCAACGACGAAAGAAAGGAATTAGCTACTAGGTTTATGAAACAAAATATTACGTAATTGAATAGTGAAAAAAAATAGAAGCTACCAAGCTAGTAAGAGATTTAAAATCGTATCTTTTTTAATACATAGTTTCGGTTACAGATTTATAGTTGCAATGATCTCAGTTTAATGTTGTGCATTCAAAGTTGTTTGTGTTTTGATCATTTTAAAAGATTTCAAATATCAACTATCAAGCAGATGATATACGTTTATACTGTTAGATTTATCAATGGGAAAAATTGTATGATCTTGTTCTAGTGTTTCTATTTTTATTAATTTAGTAGTTACTTTATCATTTATGGTTTGATACCATTTGCACACCATTTACATAGATAGATAATAATGTACCAACCTACATTTAGCTTCTTATATTGTTGTAATTCAATTCTACATGAATCAAGTTGTAAATTGTTTTGTTTTTTTAAATTCTATGTCACCTACTTTAATGTTCATATGACGTAAACGATGTACATTATTTTGGGATCTTGGAGACTATTTTAAACTATTAGTTTCTTATTGGAATACAGTCTAAATAAAAACTTAGAATGTATATTATTGAATTACTTTATAATCGGATTTTAAAATAATGGAAAAGATAATGTAATTGCTGAGATACGTTTCTAAGTTGAAATTTAGAAACAAAGTATATTTATTTTTTCAGTATAGGGTTGTGGAGATTGCTAAATTTCATTGAAATCATCAATCTATCAATGGTAGACAACCAATGGAAACGTGGGAGCTTTGAACGACCATTTGTTCCTAATATTGGACTCTTTAGAAATGCGTATCCACGACCGTGGGTACTATGATCCAATCCAGGACCTTCGATCTTGCATGCGAATACCTGACCTCCAGACCACTGACCAAGCACACAACAAACACAACAAAAGATGGTGGTGCAATACTATGGATTGGTTGAAGTTAAATATTAGTGCCGTCGTATGTTGGCTCAGTCGCCTAAAGGCTAGGAGTTCGCGCACGAAACCTAAGGTTCTGGGTTCACGTCCCTCTTACAGGATCATGTGTGCTCACTTCTGAGGGGTCCCATTCGATGACTGAACGGTCGTTCAATGCTTCCACATTTCCCGATGGCTGTATAACATTAATCAGTTGACGATTGCAATGAAATATGTATAACATTCATTTCATATCATTATTTGATATCGTTTGACTTATCTGGACCAAAGTTCCATCAATCTTTATTGATAAATGTGCATTCCGTAAGGTTTTCCTCAATCCAGCCACTATGATACATGTGCCTCTTGGATTCCACTTTTAACCGTAATCCTTCTACTATGCATAACTTATGTTATAATGGTTATACCGAGGTATTACGCATATAATGCACAACTCCCAGCAATGACTAATTAAGTTTCACCACTTAATATCACCAACGTTAAAAAACTCAAACGCTTCCTTATTATGAATTAAACATCATATTCTCTGAATAAGTTAGTACTTACTTTTACTCACTAGCTATTTCTGTTAATGTGGCTTTCTGTCTTTTGTGAGTAAAAAAAATGCATTTTTAACCACTACTCTTTTGTAATTGGCTTTTATACGTAAGTGTTGTGTGCGTTTCTTTACACATTGACCTTTATAGGATTTTGATGAAAATATATAACTACGTTGACATTTTTTTGGAAACTTCAGTTTCAGTTTGGAAAGCATAGGAGGCTTGATGGCCTGTGTTAGTCCTGGCAATTGTAGTCTCTCAGTTGATTCAAATTTCTCTTGAAAGAGTCGACGGATGGAGCCTCAACCACGTGCTGAGGTAATGAATTCTACTCGTTGATGATTCGATGAGAAAGTCGATAGTCAGATTTCTATAAAAAAAACATTTTAAGTGATTTACTTGATGAGAACAGTCGGTTTCGTCCGTTACAGTAACAGTCTTTTCATGTTTTCTTTTTCTTTTTGGTTGAAAATTAAGTTTGCTTCAATCTTACCTAATAGTACACTATCTAAAGAACGTAGAATTTTTTTTAGTGCAATATTGTTTTCCCAACAAATCTTGAATGAAATAAAGATGTTTATACATTAGATTGATGATTAATGTTAATAGCATAACTAACACATGTAATCTTTCCAAAAAATGATAGTTTACTAGAGAAATTAAAGTAGTTTTACCATTAAAAGTAATATTGTTGCTATGATGTAGTTTTTTGTTCTGTTAGCCATTGATTAATGAAAGAAAAATAGGCGAGACTATAATTTGTGAACGAACCAATCAAATTTACGACAACAGGTCTTGGATTTCGATGTGAAATTCACTCATTCATTTGGATAAATAGATTTTTGGAATTACAACTGATGTTTTAATGAACTAGAACACAAGTAGGGTACAATCGAATTTAATTGACACTAAATTACAGAGCACATCAATAAAATCTGAGAATCATATAGTAAATCCTGAATTTGCAAAATATGAATCAATCCTATTGAACTTGACTGTTCCTGTTGAAAACATCAATCCATTGTCTCAGATTTCATTGTTCATGCGTTTTTTATACCAATTGCGTTCCGTTCCCGTTCTTTCATCGTCGACCATCTACTGAAATGTATACTATGACTGACCACCGTTTCATACTACTTGTGTGGATGTAAGTAACCAACACCACAATGTCAGTTCGTGATGAAAACCTTGAATCTAATTCTTAACCCTAACCATCAAATGTAAATTGTAATTCGAATTCCTCACACTGGTTTACAACCCTAATTTAGCCCTAGTAATTAGCTAGACACTCTCAAGGTCACTTTGGTGTCACTTAAAGGTCGTTTATAAAGTATAGTCTTATCGAAAAATCTAGAACTTTGTTATGTATTTAATTTATAAGGGTAAACTATTAATTATGTTAAATATTGTATTGCATTGTTACGAGTTAATAAATGGAAGATAATTATTTACTGTTAGATTACAATCTGTAATTGATACTCATTAAAATATGAATCAGGCAAGTAATTATATGGTGTGTCTGTTTCAATTATATCGATATGAGTAGTATAGAACACCAGTCGGAAATGGAACAGCTGACAGGTTTTTGTTTGGGAAGATCGAATCTAAGAGAACAAGATTAGAAACAGACAATAATTGTTATGGAAATGAAGGAATAATGAAGTTTGACACAATTGATGAACATTTTGCAAATCAAGTATTGAAAGTATGATTTTCATATTTTACCCAATAACTTTAATACATCTCGCTGTCCTCGCCTGTGTTCTCGTATATTACAATTTAACTAATACATAATGCAGTGTATAGCCTAAAAGGAATTAATCTGAATTAGAGAGAAAAGTTAGTGGGTTCGTAGGATAATTTTGTAAGTTAAGTGCTTTATTAGTAATTTCATTTGGAATTTTTTCCTGTAACAATTATTCCACAAAAGCAATGAAACCTTTATTATGTATGAATTATCCTGGTTGTAAAACTGAATACTATTGAAATAAATCTATTTTGATGAAGCTTTTTTTCTCTGAATTGGATGGTTTGGTCGTGGAGATCGGATTTTATATGATCAAGCAAAGAAAAATATATGTGATTGGTTAAGATAAAATTTTCGTTTTTAACTTTGAGAGAAAGAAACAAACTACGCATTAAATAACTTCAGGCCTACTCATTGCCGTAGTTTTTGAATATTATGAAACATATGACTTAATGGACTAATCACTTTATATCTTTATATCTTGAATGTCCCTTTACAATCTCTAGAATTGATGTATTGAAATAAACTATATACAATCAGAATCATCATTAAGAACTTCTTTTGATGTCTACTTCAAGTTTTAAGATTATTAGTGGTGAAAAATTTCTACCAGTTCTTTAATGTATATTCTTGTTCGTAATTTACAACATTAGCTATGAAGTTAATACTGGATTTAGAATGTTTTTCCATTGTTTTCTTTTGGATTAATTATACTGTTGTTCATTTTTTATATATCTAATTTCAGATTTTTGAGAAATTATTGTTTGGCTTGTGTTTCTTTCATGCTCTTGTACAAGAACGTATTAAATTTGGTCCACTTGGATGGAATATACCTTATGGATTTAATGAATCAGACTTACGTATATCAGTCAGACAGTTACAAATGTTTGTTAACGAATATGATAAGGTCAGAATTAGTGAAAATTAAGTTTTACATAAAATTATTCATGAGTATTTCGTCTCTCTTAAAATTATTCATTAATCTTAATGCATGTTCTACTGTCTATTGAACATTCAACCCACTAGTGTTTTGTCGGGAAATGTGTACTTTGCTCACGAAACTAAAATGTTGAGCACTTAAGTAAAACAAATCATCGGCATCCACATAACGTTCTTTCAACATTTACAACATGAAGACATGTTTTTCATTTTTTCAAACGAAAATCTAAATCACTGAGCCGGCATCCAACGGTGTCAATGTCTAACTTCAACTAATCCACAAAATTGAGCGATAGTAATTCACTGAAGACACTGGTGGATGTGTCACTGAATTTCGTGGATTAGTTAAAGTTAGACATTAATACCATTGGATGCCCGCTCAGTGGTCTAGTGGTTAAGTGCTCTCGCGTGAGACTAGTAGGTCCTGGGTTCGAATCCAGCGAGGCGGTACCTTGAATGCGCGCTGCTGAGGAGCCCCTCGATTGGACGAAAAGGCCGTCCAGTGCTTCCACGTTTTCCATGGTGGTCTAGCCTCAACTGACTCTTGATCTTAACCATTGAAATTACTATAATATCCACAAAACCCATCTGATGAAAATATAAATATTTACTATGTTAGTAAGTATTCTGTTGATACCCCATCTGTTGCATAAGAAATATGTATTTACGACTAACTAACCTATGGGCTGTGATCGATTTCATCTAATAACAAGTGCTGTATAATTATTAAATAATTAAATTAGTATGTCTTTTTATTCTCCTACTTGTATAGTTTTTGGTGATCAATAAACTGTTATATGTTGATACCTTACTGTTCATTGATTACAAAACTTTTTTTTCAGTTTTCTTCTACTTATGGAGTAGTTATGCCGTTATGGTAATTTCTTAATTCTGTTCATGTGCAATCGATAACTTATCCACTTTCTTTTTTGTCTTTAAATTGACCACTTGGTTAAAAGGAACTTAAGGACCATTAATCATTAACGTACTGCAAGTTGTTCAGTAGTCAGTGTGTTAATTGATAACTAGGTCACCTATTCTACAGATAGTATGGGTGAACTAATCGATAATCGGTCTCGAGTAAGAGAATTCATACAACTACTTTCTTATTATTAATATCATTTAATCCCAGAAAGTAACCTGTTATTGTTGTTGACATACCATAGTCTATAACTACATATTCTAGTTCATTTATTTATTTATTAATACATCTGAATATTGGTTACTTCATTCATTCATTTTGTTAATCATTCGCAATTATTTTTATGATAACTTATGTATTAGTTATATTATCTAACAGATTACTACTTGATCAGTATCAGCGTTATTAATATTATTATCAAATACATATTTTGGTATTGATTCATGATGAAAAGCCTAAATCATTAAAAATTCCCGTTTTGTGAATTAGAACAATACATAAAATTGAATAATTGGATGCCGGCTCAGTGGTCTAGAAGTTAAGTTTTCGAGCAAAACCGAAAGTCTTAATTTTGAGTCGAGTGTACGGGATTGTGGATGCTCACTGCTGAGTGGTCCGATACTAGAACGAAACGGCCATCCAGTGCTTCCAGGTGTTCAATGGTGGTCTAACATTCATCCATTCATGATATCAATTTAAATTAGATCCTCATCAGGAAAAATAAGGTGAAAATTTGATGTCGGTGAAGTAGTGTTAGATCCAATGATTTGTGTATCAAAACTTGGTAGCAATAAACTTATTTCAGATTATATAATTAATGTGTATCATTATTAATTAAACAATGTAACAAAAATTATGAGGGGTAAAAGTATTACGTAATGTAATAAAAAGGAATAACATATCTGTAATATTTTCAATTCAAATATAGAAGAATAAAACATGATTCTCAGTTTGAATTTGTGAGGATTGTTGAATTTCACAACTGATTGATCACTGGGTGGTGATCAATGTCATGTGTGTCAAGTCCTTATTTAGTGCAGATCGAATACTATCGACCATGTTGCAATGTGGCCACCAGTCTAGGTGAATCATTACTGTGTGCACTATATATTGAGATTAGATGGTCGTTGGAGGTAGTCGACAGGAAACCCTGAACCCGGATAATATAACACACATGACATTGATCACTACCCAGTGATCAATCAATTGTGATTACATCTCAGTACTACAGGAGGTCAGTCACGGAACGGACAGCTCAGTGGTAACGTCTCTGACTGTGAAGCTAGGTGACATAGGATCGAATCCGCCAGAGAGCACAAGTTCCCTCAAGATTACAGGTACAGATTGCTGACGAGTGCCAAGTAGCACAAAATCCGGATCCTGGGTTTCCTGTCGACTACCTCCAACAACCACCTAATCTCGATTGTTGAATTTATGTTGAAATAATGAATCAATCATGATCAAAAATTGATCAGTTCATGATTTCAATGAAAAAAAGATTTCATCATAAAATGATCCGATGTTTAGAAAATCAAGGTTGTATAGTGATTTGAATAATAAAGAAAACCATGTGAATGAAAATAATTTACGGATCAGAAATATAGAAATTAATCGTCCATTCTATAAATATAAAGGAAGCGATGAAAAACATAAAGGTCATAATAACAATCGAATAATAATCATGAAAAATAAGTCGGAGGATAATAATAACAACTGATTATGGTTTAAAAAGTACAAGATTAACAATCAAAACAAAAAAACGAGGCCAAAACATACTGGAGAATGTCATACATACTATAGTTGCATGTTTGACTTTTATACAAAGAATTCAGACTTGAATTAATGAATTCCCAACACTTCAACAGTCCGCGATTTTTTGCTTTTACTTCCTTCCAATCCAATTGTTTTGGCTCTAGATCACTATGAAGTATGATCTTTTGGGGGTAATATAACAAGAGTTGGTGAGGTGCTCCTGTATTGAGCTACTGATTGTTTTTCAATCCCATTTTAAAAAATATGCTGGGTATTGTCATGAGACATGTTTAGAAAGCGTTTGTTATGCAACACGAATATGACTTACTCCACAACAGTAAATGCACTTAGAGATGTATGTAGATATGGCCTTAAGTGAAAGTTTATTCTTAACATATCCACGAATCATAAGCATTGGGATATGGAGTTTGTAGAATTTCACTGAAATCCTGAACCAATGTAATTCAGACCACTGTTGAAAACATGCAAGCACTATACAACCGTTTCGGCCTAATATGCGATTACCTTGAGGTGCACATCTACGACCATGCAACCAGAAATCGAATCCATCACCTTCGGTCTCGAGTGCAAACATTTAACTTCCAGATCACTGAGTCGTCATCCACCATTATCGATGTCTAACTTCAAACAATCCACAATATTGCGTAACCATCATTTATTGTCATCAGTGGGCACCTGCCTCACACTCGAGAAGGTTTAACTCCACTGGTCACGCATTCCCACTAGATATCTGGGGGTTTCCTCCAGATGTTAGTCACTGGTGAGCTAATGATAATTTGTGGCGTGAAAAATATAATATATGTAATACATAGAGGTAGTGCTGAATTCGTGCATATGATGATTTCTCGGTTGATGCATTATTTGTTATATTACTAGTTACGTAATTATTAAGAACTGATATTGGAAACATTACATGTAAATTTTAATTTACAAAGTCGTATGCACAGAACTGTCAAGTTGAAAAGACAATATACTGATTAATACATGGAATTCGGAACTTCTATATTCATTTAATACAGGACAGGATTTAAACATTACACACCTAAATACTGATAATGAAGAAACATAAATATTTGCTACAATTCTGACAAGTACTCTTAGTTTATGAAGTTAAAGATGTTCAACAGAAGAGAAGAATTTTGAAAATAAAATAAAATGGTGAGACTGTAATTTATGAACGACCTTTGAGCAACGCTAAAGTGACCCTGAGAGTGTACATCTAATAACTAGGACCAAATGAGAGTTATAAACCAATATGAGTAATTACAATTATGATTTACAGTTTGTGGTTAAGGTTAGGAATTAGATGTCGGGTATTCATCACAAACTAACATCAACTATAATGCCAAAAGCTCTATTTAGCCAAATGGATGAGTGAATTTCCGAGACCTATTATCTTTTACCTGATTGGCTCGTCTATAAATTATAGTCTCGCCAAAGTTAGAGAGAATGATCTGAATTAGATAAGAACTTTCGTCTAAATCTGATCGAATGGTTTTATAGTATTTGGGTGCTGAGTTGATGTGAGACATTAAAGAGAAAGAATGTATTAGTAAAATTTCAGCGAATGAATTTGAAGTAAATATTTCCTTGAAAAAACTTGAACCAGATTGCCAGACGAAACATTAGATTTTCTTCAAATTCATCCGCTGAAATTTTACAATTACGTTGTATCTCTTTAAGATTCGATTTAGTTTTCATATAACTCTTAAATCTCATGTGTTTGTCATGGAAATACATTTAGTACACTCTGATAACAGTAAAATTTATTATTATTATTATTATTATTATTATTATTATTATTATTATTATTATTCATTGACAGGTTCCATATGATGCTATCCAGTATATGACTGGTGAATGTAACTATGGTGGTCGAGTAACAGATGAACGTGATCGTAGATGTTTAATGACAATATTATTAGATTTCTTATGTCAAAATGTTGTAAGTGATCCACACTATAAATTTTCTCCAAGTGGTTTGTATTATGCTCCGCCCAAAATGGAATATAATGAATATTTGGAATTTATTAAAGTAAGTCAAATGAAATGTGTTTTATTACATTTTTACTGTGTATATAATTTATAAACTAAACAAACTGAATTATGAATGGAAACTCTAACGTTAGTAATTCAGTATTCTAAATAATCTTAGTGTGCTCAATAATTGTAAGATTTAAATAAAATATCTCAAATCATTTTCAATAAATTTTGATCTAAGAAATAAAATCTGAAGTGGAAGTCAAATAATCTTGAGATGAACTCTTCGATGAGGTAAAATAATTTAAGCTGTTTTACGTTCTCTACCGTTGATTAATAAACGTACTCATTCATATGTTGCAAAATGTTATTTACTTACGACTTTTACCCCTCGTCGAGAAGCATAGGCCTCCTATCAGCATTATTTATCCAACCCTGTCCTGGGCAATACTTTGCAGTTTTTTCTTGATGCTATTCATACTTTTCATGTCTGCTTCCAATTTTCAACGCAGTGTGTTGTTTGGTCTTCCTCTTTCCCATTTCCCTTCACGACTCCAAGCTATGGCTTGCATCGTGATGCAGTTCGATGATTTCCTCAATGTGCGTCCTATCTACTTTCATCTATTCATAATTTCCTCTTCAAATGGAAGCTGGTTTGTTCTCTCTTCTGGAAGTCGAAGGAAGTAATATGACGCCACATGATGAAAGTCGATATTCTTCGGAAGCCACAGGGCGGATGACAATATGAAGTATATTTTGAGAAGGAATATTAATATCTTTTGCAGTTTCATTTAAAACTAATCAGTCATACTTCATTGATTTATTTGATATGTATTTTTGAAGAATCCACTTAACACTAATAACGACAAGCAGCGTAATAAAGTCTACCCCATATCATTGGTTTAATTATATTGATCATAACATTGCGTAGTCACTAGTCTAAGTGACTCGACATAGAGACACATGCTTGATATCTAGACGGCTTGAATAGTGCATTGTTAATGGCTCGTACACAAGTCTCTCAAGTTATCAGGCATAACTTTTTGATGAGTATCAATAAAGAAGAAACCTAGGTTAAGAGAACCATCCAAGTTTTCGTTAATTAAGTAACACCGTTATATATAGATCTTTATTGATTGCAATTGTAATAAAATAAGTTTTGCAATAATAATTGTTTAAAATCAGTTCCATATGTTATCAGATTTTGAACAAAGAGTACTAGTTTCCAAGCCTAAATGTATACAGAACTGAGTGCAGATAGTAGATATCATCAAAAAAATCAGTCTTTCATTTTGTTGTATAATAGATCATAGGTTTCCATTTCATTGATGAAACAAATAGTATAAAGCAATATTTAAATAACCTTAATGATATATGATTTATATATTACATTTAGGGTTTACCCGCTATACAAGCTCCTGAAGTGTTTGGAATGCATGGAAATGTTGATATCACAAGGGAGTTGAGTGAAACACGAACATTGTTCGATTCAATTCTACTAACTGTTGGTCAGACATCATCGGAAGTGGGTGGATTTACGGATTCACGAATTGATGCAATAGCTAATGATATCCTGGGTAAATTACCAAACGCCTATGATATATCTGAAGCATATAAAAAGTATCCAGTCAAGTATGAAGAAAGTATGAATACTGTTCTTGTACAAGAAATGGAACGTTTTAATAAGTTAGTTGAAACAAAATATAAATTTAGTTCATCCATTGATGTTACTACTCTCTTTAATTTATTTCAATAGTTCTCGATAGTAATCGGTCATTTCCAATTACCTCAAATCAAATTCAATTCGTATCCATTAGTTCTAGTAGTCTTTTTGGTGGAGTTACATTCTCTTAGATGAATAATTATATTCATGATCCTCTCATTGTTGTTCTGGACAATATCATCACCACCAAATTCGTGTAGAGGTGAACTATGACTGACAGCTTGTAATGTCGATATTGGTGTTTACTGGTTGTTCATGCATATTTATTACGATTGTCTCTCCCTTTGATCTGATTCTTGATCCTAAATTTGACCTTGATTTTTCTAATCGTTTAGCGAACTGAGTCGATTTTTATGTGTTTGCTAATTACTGACTTATATAAGTGGCCAGCTTCTAAAAATTCTCCGATCTTTGTATTTCTTCTGGTCAAAATCCCAACAGTTTTCCTATCGAATGGTTTCGGCTATGAACTCAATCTAAAAAACCAATGTTAGGTAGTTCGGGATTCCTGTTTGTTTTAATTTGTGACTGGTAAGAACGATTCATCCATACAACGGTTGCTTAGAGCTCTATTCGTTCCTCCTCTAGGTTATATAAATTTTCTATTAAAGTAATCATTAAAACATAAACTGATCAGCAAACCACTTGTGTAACTCAATAATTCTGAGATGGTGGAGAAGATTTGTAGCTCACATGGGAGACACAACCAAAACAAAGAAGTAAACAATGATAAATTTAAGGTCAATAAGAACCAATCAACATCGAGATGCACAGAACAAGCTGTGAAACACATATGGAGAAATCCGAACACTTCACTTCTATCTGAAGTTTGTGCTGATGATGTCGTTCAGAAGAACGATGAAAGCTCCACGACCAAACCATCTAGCTCAGAGAACAAAACTCCACCAAAAAACTCAATAATTCGGTCAACACAGTGCCAAAGTTGAAATTAAGAATATTATTCAGAAGTCGACTGCTTAACTGCTAACATCTACCTGGTGATCATTCAATATTTATCGTCAGGATCGATTGAATATTAAGAAACGGAAACTTGTTGAAATACTTCGTGCTGAGAATTCCATATTGTACCGAAAATATAATATTGAGTAGCAGTAGCCCACGGAGGGACTCCAGACGGAGTTAATAATGAGTAGAGCATAATAATAATGATAATAAGTATCTACGCTTCTGTAACTCACTGAGAAAATAATATAAAATTCCTTTCAAATATGCCTTCGATAAGTAGTCATCCTTCCTAAGTGATGAAAATTATTGGCATTAAATTAGATGAGATAAGCACCAAAAAAATATATTTTTATCCATAAAGTAACTATTATTGATTATGCATTATTACATTTTAGCGACTACTACGAATCCGAAGTAGTTTGAGTAGATAACTATTAATAAACACTTGTATTTTATGGATGATGGCTTTCGTAGTTATCTAAGTTTGTGTCCCATACAGTAGAACTTCCTTCATATTTGTATTGAAAATTCTGACTTTGGTGTGGGTTGACAGACAGTTGTTTTGAGTTCCATATGTCCTTCAATTGTAGATATGCTGCTCTTGCTTTGTCGACCCGCGATTTCACATCTGCATCAGACCCACGGTGTTGATCAATGATGCTGCCCAGATACGTAAAGGTTTTTACATCTTCCAAATCTTCTCCGTCGAGTGTGAATGGATTGTTGTATGTTGTGTTGTATCGGAGAATCTTTCTTTTCGCTTTGTGAATGTGGTGACCTACTGTTGCTGTGTCTGCTGCAACACTGGTTGTTTTTCCTTGCATTTTTGTTGTGTGTGAGATAGAATAGCCAGATCATCTGCGAAGTCTAATTCTTCCAGCTGCATCCTAGCTGTCCACCGTATCCCATAATTCCCTCCATTTTTTGTTGTATTGCTTATCATGAATATCAATTTTTTTTAAAATAATGAAATAATCACAAAAATCTATGCTATCCTTCAGAAATATATCTTCATGATATAGAAGTATGTCAACAAATTTCTGCATGTAAATTAGACAGTACCGACATTAGTTTGCATATATTATTGTGTTTTTTTTCTATAATCTCGGTTGGAAACAATATATTCTTTAGTAAAATTATATTTGTCTCAATCTAATTCTCAATCAGATTTATCTTGACGTAAATAAACTAATTAGAATAATGCTAATTATCTATTCATATTATCCGCCACTGAATTTTTAATTGTTTATTAATATCAACTGGTCAGTCTTAATTAATCATAAATAGTTGATAACTAGAAATTTATTTATTTGAGTAAAAATGTAAACCTAGGAGATCTATTCCTGGACGATGATGATGACGATGATGTTGATGAGGACGATGATATTATCTAGTTCAGCACTTTAAAATATCATTAAAACAGTAAAAGTGTCTATACGAATATTCGTCAAAAATTGGGCGCCAAGTATAGAGAAGTCATTATATGTGAAAATTATATTCCAAAATAATCTCAGTGATTGAAATTTAAAATAATTCCAATGTTTCATCCAATAAACTTCTCTGAACTTCTTCAAATATGACTGAATTAGCACAATATAGATTTGATCTGATTTTATATTGGCTATTACTTTAAAGAAGTCCCGATAAGTTTGTTGGACGAAACTTTGGAATTATTTTAAATCTCAATTGTCGAGATTATCTCAAATATAATTTTCACCTATAGTAAAAGTATCTGTTACCGATAAGAAAATAGATCCTATTTTTTGCCTTACTATACCTTTCTGTTGTGTTTTGATCAATCTTGATTATGAATAAGTTCTCATAATTTACTGTTTCTAATAACTTGTAATGAGGTATTCTAATGCATAGATTTTTAATGAAAAGGGAATTTGTTTTAATTTATTGTGATTCTTCTGGTTTTATAATATGGATGGTTAGCAATCAATATTGTCATTATTTCCCTCACAAGACTTAATTTTTCAGTCGTAATATCAATTCTAATGTTTGTTGAATGAATTAACACCACTTGAAAGTGTTGTTTACATATATCTCACTCAATGAGTTGAGAAATCGGTTCTTTTAATTATTTACTATTTCATATGAGATAGCTATCATTAGGACTACCTATGATACATAAAAAACCTCTTGGTTTGAATAGTGTTCTCCTAGTAGGGGTGGCCAGACCAAAACATGGCACAAGTCCATGAAGTCACTGACAAGTAGACTGAGCCATGTTGGTAGATGTAGACTACCTGCTTGAGGACCGAGAGATGATAGCAACCGATGGTTAGAGACCCTGAATGACATGGCTCAAAATCGTTTGCAATGGCCCAGGTGCATCCACTCTTTGTGTTCTCCCAAATTCTAGTCTTCTGTCTCTTATTTTCTTCCCAAATTCGTTTCACTGGTTTATACTCCTTGAATAACATCTTCAAACCCTAAACTTTCTGATTACTGCTTATACGTTTACTACCTCTACCACTACGGAATTTGAGTCGACAACTGCATCTCTGTGCTAATGTGGTATAGCAACTCGAACTGATGTACGTACGTACGAAGTTCTATGTTGTTATTGACTGACTGACTTACTATGAAATGAATTTAAAATGATGAATTAAGATATGCAAATTTTCTAAATTGAAAGTTAGAAAAAATATCAGACGGACATAATTTTGAATTTAGATAATAAAACCTTTCAAATTTATCTTTTCCTGACTTTTTATCTACTTTTAAAATCTCCACTTCAAATACAAGAAAGTTTTGATTTCCCGCTTAATGAAACGCTGATAAGTATTCATTTTCTTTATGATAGAGGGAAATTACATACTTATACGGATATGGGATCAATCGCCTGAATTATTTTTGGGTAGACTTATAGAGTTGAGAAGGAAATTGTTTTATTGATCTGAAACTCTTAGTGAATAGATGCCATAAAACGAAAGTATTTAATTGACAAAGAACGTAGTTTCATATTACAAGAAGACAAGCTTATTTATAAAGTATTCAACAAGTTAAATTGACTCGATTAAAACGTGTATAGTAATACTATGAGAATTGTATAGAAACTTTACTGACATATTATTAGATTAGTATCCTTCCGGTCACATTAGATCTTTCTGTTATATTGATAATCATCAAATGTACTGGCACATCAGAAAGTTATTATGATATCAAATCATTCTTAAATGAATAAAAGTATTATATGTAACAACCGAAATGTAACTAAAAACACTCCAAGATATTTAACTTTTTTTTTAAATTTTTAATTTCTAGTTTAACAACAATTATCAAATCAACATTGAATGATCTTAGAAAAGCAATCAAAGGTCTTGCAATTATGTCTGATAGTTTAGAATCCTTAGCAACTGCTTTGTCTATTGGAAAGTTACCAGCTATATGGGCACATCGATCATATCCAAGTTTGAAGCCGCTTGGATCATATATCAGTGATCTTATTGCAAGGTTAAACTTCTTTCAAGTATGTTTATGTAGTATTTGTATCAAGTCATTAAAAAATGTTCATTATTTAAAAAACCCACATATAAAACTAAATAAAACTGTTTTCCCATTACAGTGTTATGGAGATTGTTGAACATGAAACTTTACATCATGGGTAGACTGATCAAATAACTATTGTAAACTAGAAAGCACTAAGCCAATATCTATTTCCAGTTAGACTTCTATCAGGATTTACTCTAATTTGCATTAATATTTTTATACAAATACAAAAGTTTAAAAAAAATCATTATACAGAATTTATGTGATGGTGAAGAAGAATTGTAGCTCAGGTGGATGATTTTGATGGAGTTTTGTTCTCTGAGCTGGATGGTTTGGTCGTGGAGCTTTCATCGTTCTTCTGAACGACATCATCAGCACAAACTTCAGATAGAAGTGAAGTGTTCGAATTTCTCCATATGAGTTTTACAGCTTGTTCTCTATACCTCGACGTTGATTGGTTCTTATTGCGGACACTCATTCGACTGGAAAAATGTGGAAATACTAAACACAGGAAATTTCAAAAACACCAGAGTATTTTTACAAGCCTGGCACTCAGGTCAATCAGCAATCAACATGCGCATTGATCTCGATCCAATTTATCAACCAATCTGGAAAATTATGCACAAATATAGGAACAAAAATCAAACCAATGGGGGACACAACCAAAACAAAGAAGTAAACAATGACAAATTTAAGGTCAATAAGAACTAATCAACAACGAGGTGTACAGAACAAGCTGTAAAACGCATATGGAGAAATTCGAACACTTCAGTTCTATCTGAAGTTTGTGCTGATGATGTCGTTCAGAAGAACGATGAAAGCTCCATGACTAAACCATCCAGCTCTGATAACAAAATTGATTACAAATTACGCACTAAGAAGAATATGATTATATATATATATGAGAAGTATGTAGAAGTAGTTGTCAGATCATCTATTTAGGTCTTCTTTACCCATAGAATATATTCAGAACTGTTTTTCTACATAACGACTCGGGTTTTTCTGACATGAATCATTATAACGTTATGAGAAAAAGGTAAGATCAAATTGTATTGAGAAAGTTGAAATTGAATAGATTAATTACTTAGAATGATTTGATTTGGTCTACAATTTGATTAAAACTGACTAGCTATCATAAAAAGAAGTCGTGTATTGACTTTTTAAGATCCTTACAAACCAGGCTAGGAGATGCTCAATAGCTCATTGATTAAATTATTTGACACAACTCAAATATGAATGTAATAAACCTTTGTTTTTACTATTATAGCTAATCTATCATGCAGAACATCATTAACAGTATGTACATAGAATTGTGATTTAAGGAAGTGACAGTTCTTGCTAACAATTTATGTACTAAGCTTTTTTTCTTCATTATATGCAAAATCTTTTATAAGTTTAAATTTAGTTTAGTTTATAGATTAGATCGTGAATTTACATCAGATAAGGTTCGAATAATTTTGTCTGGTTAGCGTTTTTTAGCGAGTTAGTTTTCTACGGGATGTGGTCGCTAACCCCATGCCCAACCCTCTTCCTTTATGCGGGCTTGGGACCGGCAGAAGCCCTCGGAGGGACTGCAGGCGAAGTTACATCAGATAAAGTATACATATATTAAAAAGTAGTTTCTGATGGGTTTTCTGTTAAAATATAATATTGATAGCGGTCATGCTGTAGATAAATTCGTAACCCCCCTATCCCTTCCATGGCCAGTTATAACTTAACAAACGATTTTTTTAGTTTTTATTATTATTTATTTATTTGTTTTATTCTATTTTTGTTATCATTAACCTTATTGTCACATAAATTATTTGTTTGTAATTTTCCGCCTCTTTCTGTTTGAATTCTTCACTATCTAATTATTTACACACTTCTTATTACGTAATGATTTTAATGTTTTGTGTTGACTATTCCAAGTCTATTTACCCACGTGTGACCTTCTATTTCCAACGTTTAACTATTGATAAGACTTTTGTTATCGTATTTTATTATTCTTACTACTATCAGTATACCTGTCTTCCTACTATCAACATGAATTTTACCTATTATCTATGGTGACATATCCTATTTCATTGTGATTATTGACCCATATTGCTTTGATTGGTTTAACATTTTCGTATAAATATTCATGTATATTAGAGTAAAGCCTGATGACGAACTAATTGAAAACAATTGTTCGCTTATATGTGTTGTCCTAAAAGTGTATTTCATCATCACAATTGATCTATCACTGGATGGTGATCAATGTCATGTGTATCATGTCCTTATTTTAGTGCAAATCGAATGCTATCGACCATGTTGCATTGGGCCACCAGTCTAAGTGACTCGACACTTCGTGCACTATATATTGATATTAGATGGTGGGTGGAGGTAGTCGACAGGAAACCCGGATTTCGTGCTGCTTGACACTCGTCATCAAGGTGTACCTGCAATCTTGAGGGAACTGGTGCTCCCTGGCGGATTCGATCCCGTATCACCCAGCTTCACAGTCAGAGACGTTATCACTGAGTTATTTGAGAAGCGACCGACCTCCTGTCAGCTACCTCCAACCACCATCTAATGGTTTATGTTCATTTGATAGAAAGAAATCTTCAGTTAGATGACTTGAAAATTAAGAAACATACTGAAAATATATCCAAGTTTTTTACATATGAAATTTTCCATGAACAAAATAAATATTTTACTATGATTCATTTTACTTATGAACTTCAAGTTGATAGATATTGTATTCATAATGGTTATTATCTTAACTGAAGGTAATGATTCCTGTCTATTTCCAAATAAATTTTGAATAAATACATAAAGACATCATAATGTTTAATGGAAATTTTCGCGATATATTCAATAGACATAACTAACATTTAATCTACATTGAACTAAAAACAATAACTTTTAAATTCCTATCTTCATTTCATATCACCATCACTATAGGTGAAATAATTTATCCTATAATACTATCCATAAAGTATAAATTGCTCCTAACTTTTGCTCGCTGCATTGATGCTTACTTATCCACTGTAACACCTGTAAATGCATCATTATTCCACAAGTAGGATTATAGGAACTTAGAAAGTAAAACCATCTACCTGTTGTTACTTTACATTATTACCGTCCCTGACAACTCTTTTTTTTAATTTCAACACATAGATAATGGTACAAAGAAGCACCAAATACATATGCGCCACACAGATCTCATTCGATATGTGTGAGGGCTGTGATACTGCCCGGGTGCCCAAACCGAAGCAGGTGGTTTTCTTAGGAGGCCACACCCCGAGCCTTCGACCTGAAGGTCTGATCCACAAGGCAGTGGAGCATCGTAAGGAGATGCAGTCCCATGGAAGCCGGTGACCAACAATTGGTTCATTCGCCATTTGTTCCCGCAGGATACTGGAGCCCATGTGCACCATTGGTTTGGAATCCGGTTAAAGCGCCGGACATTCGCTTTTCGTCCTCTCATTTTCGTAAACAACACCCCCGCCACGAGAAGGCAGTGAGTAGGACTTCCCTGGCAGAGGCTATATATGCGTGGCCGTTAGAGAGTATTTCGAGAGGGAGAGCGGACTCTCCCCACTCTCGGCCGTACCAGGGCATTTGGTAATATTTAACACGAATAGTAGATCAGAAAATAAACTGACAGATGTACTATGGTAGACCTAACTAATACATCATAATAATTATTACCTTTTTGTACGATGCTATCTGCTTCTGCTTTATTTTCTCTAGTTGCAGATGATTATAATAAATTCATTATAGCTCAAGAAATGACCATAAATTCACTGTTCATACATCAACACGACGTCCACTCAAGAGAAATTAAAAATTCACAGCTGATACATTATATTACTGTAAACATGTACTAAATGTACTACCTAAACCATTTTTGATCTAGTAAACTGAAAATAATCTTATATCACATGTTTGTTCTCTACATTTAATGTTACTATGAATATTAAGGTGATCATGTCTATAAACTGGCGTGAATTCTATAATTATTATTTTCAGAATATTACTCACTTAATTACTTATGCCTCTTACTCCCAATCGAGCATAGGCTACCGACCAGCATTCTCCAACCCACTCTCTACTAGAGCTTCCATTCTAGTTCTATCTAATTGTTGTTCATTCTCCTCATATCTGTCTCCATTTCTCGGTGTAATGTGTTATTCCATCTTCCGACTCTCCTTTGTTTAGCCTTGAGAATTTCATGTGAGGGATCGCCTTGTGATGCAGTTTGGTGCTTTCTTCAATGTGTGTCCTATCCACATCCAGCACTTCTTCCTGATTTCTAGCTCTACTGGAATCCGGTTTGTTCTCTCTTACAATAGATTGTTGCTGATAGTGTCTGACCAACTGATCCGAAATATTTTGCGTAGATAACTGTTAATAAACACTTGTATCTTCTGAATGATTGCTTTCGTAGTTCTTCAATAATAATAATAATAGTAATAATTATGATTATCATGAAATGGTGAAATATCAATAATTTCGAAAATTCCTCGAAACAACAACAACAAAAAAGCCCATTTTATTTGATAACAAAAAATTTGTTCTGAAATTTTTGTTTCATTCATTTCTGTCATAAATTTGAAATCTAATCTCTTTCCATTTAAGATACCAATAAGCAAAAAAAAGAGTTAGTGTAATAAAATAAAATGGATAATTTTCTCACACTTTAAAATAAGCCATCGTTTAAAGACACTATGGTAAATAATAATAATAATAATAAACATTCCAAGCCAGCTAAAATTCCATTCTAATCTATTTCAATTGTCTAGTTCTAAAGCAAGATACATTTTTGTTTTTTTATTTAAAGTTCATAAACCGCTGGAAGGGTTGCAATATGCCTAGACCTATGACACTTCTGGCACCAAAAAAGCGAGCTTATATTACGCTACCATTCAGAGGTGACACAAATAGTCTCATGTTGAAACAGAGACTTAAATTAGCTATCAACCGGACATTTTATACAGCCCAACTTTTTATTATCGAAAAGACAAGGTCTATGTTTCACCAAAAGCCCAAACAGTATGAAAACGATTGTGTCTATAAATTTACATGTATGTGTGGAAACACGTACGTAGGGAGGAGCAATCGTGATTTGCAATTAAGGGTGGGTGAACATATACCAAAACGGTTGCAGAATCAGATGAATTCCAGTGGTGAAATAAGATCACAGGATAGACAGACATCATCATCCATTGCGAAACATTTGATTGAGACGGGTCATAAGGTTGATATCAAATCAGCATTTGTTGTCTTGTACAGAAGCCTTCAAGGGCGTATACTAAGGTTTATTGAAGTCTTGACTATACGGAAATTGAAACCCCCTTTATGTGTTCAAAAACAATTTGTACTTACACTTAACCTACCCTGGTAGTACTGATTTACTATCCAGAGTGGTAATCACATTTGTTTTTTGTGTACTTTAATATTTTTCCTTTGTTATGACTTACCCTTAACCTGTCTAGTTGACCTTTTAATTTTTCATATATAAATGTTCTTAACAAGTATACGTGTGATCAGATTGTTCGAAATGTATTGCGCAAATATGTATGACATAATTCTGATAATCTTCGTCGTCTCATTGCATTATCGTTATTTTTTTTTGTTTTATTTTCATTTTGGAATCCGATTTTCACATAAGCTGATCATTGGTTTTCTTTTTTGTTTTCTTTTAAACAACAACAATAATAAAAAAAATTACACAGGATTGGTTTATTCATGATAAACCATCAACTTACTGGGTATCTGGATTTTTTTTTACACAAGCATTTTTAACTGGAGTTTTACAAAATTATGCACGTCGAACAAAAATCCCAATTGATCTATTGGCTTTTGATTTTGAAGTAATTGATCATTTGTCTTTATTGATATTTCTCAGTGTGATTTTTATCTTTGAAGATAGTGTTCTTCTATAAACGTTTATATGAATATGGTTGATTATTGTATCATATTTCAATCGTTTAAAGATCCCTGTCATATTTGAGCGAAGAATATTCTTTTCGATCAATTCTCTTCAGGTTCTACAATTCATATATATCCAAATGAATAATCCGAAAAATGGCCAGGTTAAGGGTAAAGTACATCGTTTAAAGCATGTGAATTTAGGATTGTGATAAACAAAATATAATAAAATTGTTAATGTTGACACGACTCATATGTTAACTTGAATAAGCGTATACGTTAAGTAAAATTTTATGATCCATGATCAGAATAAATATGGGTCAAATAGGGTGAGAGAGAAATAATAGTGCAATTACAATTCGATCAAATAAGTAAGGCGTAATATGGAGGGGTGAATGCCAAATGAATGAATCATGTATAGTGGAGATTAATGATGTTTAACCAATAATACGAATAATAATAATACAAAGATTTATGAATAAAGATAACAGGGACAATTACAATTGACTACGAAAGGTCATAGTCAAATTAGGTCATTCAATAGTTAATATTACGATTGACTAATTGGCCTTGATGTTGACCAGCGGAGGAGGAGTGGTTGAATATATTTCTTCTGTGCGCGTAGCTCCGGTTTCTTCATCCGGATGGCTTCAGCCGTTTGAAGGACTTTCAGTCTGACCAGTTTTGGCAAAATATTACTTACCTTATAGATAATTGAAAAAGATTGGTTTATACTGGCACTATGACCGGTTTGTACTAAATGGGCCAATATTGAGCTGTTCACCTTCTTCATCAAACCTTTGTTTAGCCACGCTGGGAGGTTTTCACGAAAACGAAAATGCAAATTCCTAGAACTTCGACCAATATAATTCGCTCCACAGGAGCAATCGAACTGATAAATACAAAATGAGGTGGTCATTCTAGGTAATTCATCTTTTAGCTTCGGTGTAACCGTTGGGCGCGTAGATAATACTAATCGAAGTTCTCCGGCGTTAAAAGACTTTTGTATTGTCCTACGTAATCTCTGATTTAGTATTTCACTAGTCGCATCCCCTCTGAATTGTAGACACAATGGTGTACGGTGGCGCAACTTCGTGGATTGGTTGAAGTTAGACATTAACACCGTTGGATGCCGACTCAGTGGTTCAGTTGGTTTAGCACCTGTTCGCGAGACTGATAGGTCCTGGGTTCGAATCTCGCAAGGAGGATGCGCACTGCTGAGGAGTCCCATACTAGGACGAAACGGCCGTTCAGTGCTTCCAGGTCTTCCATAGTGGTCTAGCTTCAATTAACTCATGATTTCAACAAGCGAAATTTTTAAAAATCTCCACAAAACCCATTCTGACTATATATTTATGTTAAAATCAACAGTTTAGCATCTACGATTACCTTCATTTGAAATAAAATGTAGCTCTGTATGACAAACACGTAAATCTTATAATCCGAACTTTGAAAAATTGATGATTTTTTATATGATTTAATCAGGTTCGTCCAACACACAAAGAAACTAAAGATCCTCCTAATGGAGCTTATATTCATGGCTTGTTTTTGGATGGATGTCGTTGGGACTATGACAGGTAATTCCTTTGTAATTATAATCAATTGTCATGATAAATGAAATACTTTTATTTTGTGATAATGTTTTTCTTACTGAATTACAAAACAAACTACTGACCAGTATACCGATTCATTAATTGATGGACGGATATATATATTTTTTGAAACACTAGTGTTACCGTAAATTTTCGGTTATTATATGCTCTCAATCTTAGGTTTATGGATCTACTTTCGATAACTTTTTTGCTTATTTGTATGAGATTTTATAAGTTTGTAGATTAAAACTAAGCACAGTGAAAGACAAATAACGGGGTTTGGGGTGAGACTATAATTTATGGACGACCTTTCAGCGACGATAAACTGACTTTCAGTGTGTCCACCTAATAACTAGGATCAAATGAGGGTTCTAAACCAGTGTGAAGAATTGGAATTATGATTTACAGTTGATGATTAAGGTTAGAAACTAGATTTAGGATTTTCATCACAAACTGACATAAACTCTAATGCCAAAACTCTATTTATTCGAATGAATAAGTGAATTTCGTGCCAAAATCTGAAACCGGTTATCGTATACGTGATTGGTTCGTCCATAAATTAGAGTCTCGCCGGGTATGAATTTATTTTCAACTCTTGGGACAATTAAAATTAAGATGGCATCTCCGCCTCATGAAACATAATTGCAATTCTTTCAGGTATATAAGCATTGAATTTATTATTGTTTTATTTTTATATCATAAATATGAATTGTTCAAAGAAAACGTCTTGAATGCCATACGTTTTCTGTTAACTAAGGTGTTGATGTGGTTTTTTTTGACATGATAGGATAGCAAAATGACACTGTTTAGACAAATATTTCTTGTGTCGATTTACAATGACTTTCGGCTAGGGTTATTTGTTGGAACCTCGTTCACTGTGACATTTGTATTCTCTGTATAGATTCAAGTGAACTGTATTCATAGTGATTGTTTTTAAAGTGATTCTTTTTATTCCTCTCTGTATATTCATTTTTAAATGTGTGTGTGTCAATTTTAGCATGCAAATGATTGTATTTTGTTTTACTGACATGGTTTGGGACTAGTTTAGGGACTTGTTTTTGGAGAGTCAGTTAGTCCTCAATGCACCGTTCTTTCGTGTTCTTATTTTGCATCATGAAAATTGCATTGGTTCCAAAATTTCAAAGGTTAATAGGTTAAATCAAGGAGTTGGGGTGATTCCCGATTATTAAGTATGAGCATTAAGATTGAGAATTCAACGGAGTCAATACATACATATTAATGACGATACTCCAGCCACAACATTTTCATCTTAAAATGTTTCATATCATATAATTAATTTATCATTCTTTAATCTGGGCTGAATTTTCTCATCTGTTTTATATATTTTTTAAAGCATGGAACTTGGTGAACAATATCCAAAAATATTAAATGAACCAATGCCAATTATCTGGTTGAAACCTATAATTCGTGAGGAACTTGAGGCATTATCAACTAAACTAATTAGATACAGTTGTCCAGTTTATAAAACAAGTGAACGTCGTGGTACACTTTCTACAACTGGACATTCAACTAATTTTGTTTTACCGATATTACTCCCAACAAGTGTTAATCCAAATCATTGGATAAAACGAGGAGCTGCTCTTTTGTGTCAGTTAGATGATTAAACGGATGTTTGTTTGTTTGTTTTTCATACAAAAACTAAGTTTTTTTTAAAACATGTCAGAAACTTAAAACTACCGATGTATAACTAGTAAAGAGTATTTTAATGCAAACTAATATTTACTTAAAAATAAATCCTGAATGAAAGATATGCATTCTTATTCATTGCATCAACAAAGGTTGGATTAAACTGTATCAACAGATTATAGACATTTGTTATTGTTAGTGTCTGGCCAATGGATCCGAAATATTTTGCGTAGACAGTTGTTAATAAACACTTGTATCTTATGGATGATGGCTTTCGTAGTTCTCCAAGTTTGTGTCCCATACAGTAGAACTTCCTTCATATTTGTATTGAAAATTCTGACTTTGATGTGGGTTGACAGACAGTTGTTTTGAGTCCCAGATGTTCGTCAGTTGTAGATATGCTGCTCTTGATTTGCCGATCCGTGACTTCACATCTGCATCAAACTCACCGTGTTGATCATTGGTGCTGCCCAGATATGTAACGGTTTTTACATATTCCAAATCTTCGCCGTCGAGTGTGAATGGATTGTTGTATGTTGTGTTGTATCGAAGAATTTTGCTTTTCGCTTTGTGCATATTCAGACCTACTGCTGATGAGTCTGCTGTTACACTGATCACAATTAAACTAACAGAAGTTCATCAGAATTGGATAAATTAAAATCTGGTGCTTTTGGATATTATTACATTTCATGGGATATTGTGACATTCCTATCTATTAGATTGATGATTTAAAATATTCCAAAAACAGCCTTCAATCTGATCAAGTAATTTTTTATTTCAATGAGAATGTTTATATAATCTTTAAACGTATTAATGCGAACTGATTTTCAACTATTGCCATGGTTGTATTCAGAAAATTGATATGCAAAATTCAGTAGTATGAAATGAAGCGAGTTCTTACAACTTTTCAATAGATGTCAGTCAGTCAGCAACACCGTAGAACTTTGCACGTACGTACATCAGTTCGATTTGCCATACCACATTAGTACAGAGATACAATTGTCGATTCAAACCCCAATAGTGTTATAGGTGGTAAACTATAAGCAGTAATCGGAAACATTAAGGTTTGAAGATGTTATTCAATGGATGTAAATGGTTAAGTATACTGACGATAAAAATATGCAAATGAAAGCATAAGTATAGAGTAGATATAAACTTACCTAACTACTAAACCAGTTTGGTTTAAAAATCTGACAGATCCTTAAAGGAATGTTTATAATTGCTCGAGCAATCAACATAATGAAGACAAAAACGTAGTATTAATATTATGACTGAAAATTCATAGTACACACAAATTGTTTATACAGTAAATATAGTTCCAGTCAGTGAATTGAATGTGTCATGTTGAAAACTCTAGGAAGATACCACTAAACTTACTGAAAAACGAAACATTGTTCATTACAAAACCAGATGAAAGAAATAGGAACTATCTGAATCCATAATGAAAGATTAATGAGTGAATTAAAATATTCTTATTCAATTTAATTTCTTTACTTTAAATTAAAAAGTTCATCAATTCAGTAATGTTTTATCGCTTGGGTAACTTCGATGTTAATACAGTCTATTGTTAGGTATGCAGAGGAATATACCAATAATTATCGTGTTAAGTCGAATGGTGTCCTTGGACGTTAAATGTACATTTCCTATTGGTCGATGTTTGTTTCACTTGTTAAATATTGTGTAAATGTTATTTTCTATTTTATGGTACGATGTGGTCTGTTTGGTTAGTATATAAACAGATTGTGTTTGAAATATAATGATTCATATCTCAGAGGCTGTGGCTTGCGTTTTGGACTCAACTGGCTGGGCTAGACAACGAAGCAGGGACAATTTGGACTCTAGGTCGTTCATTACGTGTTTACGTGTCACTGGATCGATCGATAAGTACGCAGCGCATTAAACCTGCAGTCCACCCATTACAGCATTTACCTGTTTTACTTCTCGTAAACTGTATTATTTACATGTATACAATTTTAAGTTGACTTCTAGATTATATCAATATCATTAATGAAAATATAAAACAGTATTTTTCCTTTTATTACTTAGAGTGTATAGGGTTTTTGCAAGTACCTATACCATTTAATGATAAGAATACACTTATCATTTTTCAAGTATCGAATGACGGATGAATTCATAGGTATAAAAAATTTTCAAGTTTTGTTTTTTACAATTTGATTGTTTTTAGTAACTAAGTAACTTTCTTATCGTAAATCTATCAATGTTATTGACTTCATTCGATAATACAATCTAGTTTATAGAAAGATTTGTATTGAAAGCTTCAATCCTCAAATATGAATTATATTATAACTATCAAAATGGTATTAACATTAAACAATTAGATTCAATTAGTGCACTTGAATTAACAAATAATGAATCTAAAGTGGTCAGTATTTCATTTCAATGTATTTTATCTGGAACTATCGTAAGCGATAGGTTTCACGTATTTTTGCTGTTGTTGAGCAATTTTGTACGTAACGGTTATATCCTGATGAGAATAATGAATAGTAATTGTTGGAATCTATTTCTGGACTAATATTATACGTATATTTTTATTGTATGATCGTTAAGTACCTAATCTATTCATATTCATGTTCCACTTATGATAAGCATTATTTTGACCCATGAATTATAATTATACGATTTACCATTTTTGAGTTATGCTCAGTTTAGTAATTACTATCTCCACCATTCACAGCCACTTTTGGCTAGATCTTGTAAAATTGTTATTTTCTATTTTATGGTATGATGTCGTCTGTTCGATCTGCATATAAACCCAGTATGTTTGAAATATATGATTTATATCGCAGTGGCTGAGATCGGTGTTTTGGATTTAACAGACAGGGCTAGGCAAAGACCGAAAACAAATCTAGACTGCTTGTATTTGTTTTATGCATCCGTTCGATAAATCACTGTTCTCTAATTGGCGGTATCTTCACGTTATAAATTAATAGGGCGTAAACTCCACAAGTTATAACAGTAACATTTTAATCTCATTTCTGATAAATAAAAATTACAAGGTTGTTTACACTTTGAAAAGATCATTTACTGGTAGATTTCAAAGCTATTTTTATCTTGCTATTCAACATTTTATTGTAAAGTTGGTAAGACTATAATTTATGAACAAACTTTGAGTGTCTCCTAAGTGACCTGGAGAGTGCCTACCTATTTACAAGGACTAAATGGGGGTTATTAGGCGGTTTTAAGAATAAGAATTATGATTCACAATTGATGGTTAGGATTAGGAATTAGATTTACGGCTTTTTTCATCACAAACTGACATTAGCTAAAATGATAAAACACTATTTGGCCAAATGGATGAGTGAATTTCGTGCCAAAATCCAAGACCTGTTATCTTAAATCTGATTGGTTCGTCCATAAATTATAGTCTCACCCCTAGAGGCACTGGACAGCCGTTTCGTCCTATTGTGAGACTCCTCAGCAGTGCGCATCTACGATCCCGCCCCTCGAAATTTTAAACCCAGAGCCTATCAATCTCGGCCGTCCAGTGTTTCTAGGGCGAGATTATAATTTATGGACGAACCAATCAGATTTAAGATAACAAGTCTTAAATTTTGATGCGAACTTCGTTCATCCATTTGGTTAAATTGAGTTACAATTGATTGATCACTGGGTGGTGATCAATGTTTTGCTTGTCTAGTCCTTATTAGTGCAGATCGAATGCTATCGATCATGTTGCAATGTGGCCACCAGTCTAGGTGACTCGACACTGCGGGCACTATGTATTGAGATTTAGATGGTGGTTGGAGGTAGTCAACAGGAAACCCTGGACCAGGGTTTCGTGCTATTTGGCACCCATCAGCAAGGTGTACCTGTAATCTTGAGGGAACTGGTGCTCCCTGGTGGACTCGATCTCGTGTCACCCAGCTTCGCAGTCAGAGACGTTACCACTGAGCTATCCGAACCGTGACTAACCTCCTGTAGGACTGAGATGTAATTACAACTGATTGATCACTGGGTGGTGATCAATGTCTTGCTTGTCTAGTCCTTATTAAATTGAGTTTTGGCATTATAGCTGATGTCAGTTCGTGATGAAAACCTTGAATCTAATTCCTAACCTTAACTATCAACTATAAATTATAATTATAATTCCTCACACAAGTTTATAATCTTCATTTGATCCTAGTTATCAGGTGGACACTCTCAAGTTCAGTTAAGTGTCGCTGAAATATCGTCCATAAATTATGGTCGCAGCAATTTACTTTATATTTTTCAATAAAACTTATATTCTAGTTCACAGTATCAAAGAGTCCCGCGTGGTGCGGGATCGTGGATGCGCACTGCTGAGGAGCCCCATACCAGGACGAAACGGCCGTCAAGTGCTTCCAGGTTTTCAATGGTGGTCTAGCTTCAACTGACTCATGATTTAAAAAAAACCTGTGAAAGAGTCTATCTTTATCAAAATCGATTTATAATAAAATCTATCATTTTTTCAATAATCAATAAATATAAATCGATGAATAGTCTACAAAGATGATAATCTATAAATCTCTGATTGAATTAATTCAGTGAAACAAATATTTTTACCAAGTAAACCATTAATTATTTAATTATTCACATTTATATAGCAACAATATATTATAGTAACTATCCTACAATCCATTTCGATTATGGTTAGTTATGGTTAAGGCTTTTTATTAACTTACTTAACAGATAATATTATTAGAACAGGGACAATTTGTCCATTTCTTTGTACAGTTATGATCACTAGATCTCATAGCGGACTTTACTTAAAATGTTGATCGCTTAAATATCACTCGGTGATTTATTCTCCTCCCCATGTATATATGTACTCAAATCCTATTATTAGTACTTGCTTTGCTGCACTGTTATGCAATTTGACTATAAATTTGCCTATGTAATTGTTAGCACATATATATATTGGCCTCTCTGATTCAAATACGGTTTTTGTGCTTACAGATTTATGATCTGTGCTATTTGCTAATAAACTGTAGTTGCTGCATCTCATTACATTGTTGAAGTTTATAAAATAACGGTTACAAAGGTGATTGATTAACGAAGCAAAATCACTACAATATGAATTGTTAATTCATATTAATAAACTATGATAATCAGGAGTATTTGAATTATAGTATGAA